GAGCGCTGGGAAAACAGCGTACTGATTAGGCACACAGGAGCTCAGCCCTGAGAGGGGCCCTAAGGGATCAACATGGGGGGAAGATGCGATGGACCCTTTGGCCTGGGTATTTACCGGGTACCTGGGTTGACTGCACGCGGCTGGCTCAGCCGAGGACCCTGACAGGAGCCAATTGTCGCCCCATTGTTGATTGAGGCCTCCACTTGAGTGGCCCAAGCGCGGATTTCCCCCATCTACATTCACCACTGGTACTATAGCTGCTATATCGTCTCGTAGCCAAGAAATCGGACTCCACACCCCTCTCTTCTCATTTGTGTGTAGATTATCCAAGTAAAACGCATGACGTTTGACTATATTACACGAAACGGCGTGAGGGGGAGTAGTAGTAGAGATGAGAATCCTGCCCAATGAAGCGGCGGGAACCTTACGTCACATATTCGTGCTTGTCCTTTATTGCTTCTCAAGGCTATCGAGAGAGTACTGGATAGGGTCTGTAACTCAAGAAAAATATTTTGACTCGATCGCATTGAAGCCACGCTTAAAAGGAGAGGCTCCAAAGCCAAATTCGAAGCAAGTTGGAGTAAAACAAACTGTAGCCCCAGAATTCGAAACTCACTCTGACCATATGCGCTTTTAGGTATTTCAGTCCAAGCCCATCATCAAGCTAATTTATATAATCAAGTACAGTACATGATCTGGCATATCAAACAAAAAACATCATCGCTTTCATACCCTAATAGTAACTCGTTATTCTATAGATCGTCATACCAAGATAATAAGAATGGCTCTCATACATTATCATCACCTTTAGTTCTTGCACTGGTTCTTCTTGTCGCAGTCAGTCACACTGGCGAACTGGTGGATGTCGTGCATAGTCTTGCTGCCCACTGGCTTGCCGTTCTCGTTGGTGATCATAACCACGCACTGCCACGAGTTAGGCTGCACAGACACGGAGTGGCAGTGTGACTTTGCTTCCTCCTCGTGAGGGAAGTTGCACATGCGGAACTCCTTGCTGGGCTCGTTCTCGTTGACCCACAGCTTCACGGCCTTGATGTCGTCGTCCTGGTGGAACGACATGTTAGCGCAGCTGCTGTATCCAAAGAAGTGCGAACTGCCGTGGCTCGACACATCAACGGGCGAACCGGAGCAGTCCTGGGTGTTGTAAGGAGCGAATGCCCAGTCGTAGCTCGAGGCGTGACGAGGGAAGTCACTAGGAACACCGCTGCCCGAATCGGTGGTCATACCACGCTGTTTGGCAGACACAGCGGCAGCAAGAGCAAGAGCGATAGCAACGACGTTGAAAGCCTTGAACATGATGAATTAGTTGGTTGTTTCTACGTCAGCTCATTTTCACCGCCTTTTATAGTTTGAATAGATACAATCTTCGGGCAAAATCCTACGGGCCCTTACTTCATGGTTCATAGGCGTTGAAACCGGATCGACCCCCCTCCACCCTTTATGAAACTTTTTCAATCATGGGCCAATAACATCACGGATAATACTTGAAAGTTTGGCAAGTCGTGGTCTTCCGAGGGACTATCAAATCTCCATCATGCAATCCAATTCCAAGGGGTGAGTTATTGTTCCAAAGCCAATCAAGTCTTCTGAAAATCATGCTGAGTCAACTTAAGTTGTTGCACATATATTTCAAGACGGGGTACTCCTCGTGCCTGAGTCAAGTTTCAAACTGAATCCTAAAATCATAACCTAACAACATTCATCACTGAGCAACATTTTAGAAGCTGCATTGAAGGCAGCTTTATGTAGAGGCATTATTCTGAAATAATTTTTTGCATGTCGTATTTTCTAGATAGCGGACATTCTCATCGGACAATGGTTTCCTAAAATAATAACAATGGGGGGCGGGCGGGCGGAAAGTCTCTTAATGATTAAAATAGTTGAAGTTGAAAGCCAAATTTATTCCCAGATTGTGTCGTCAAAATCATTCTTTCTTTGTAACTTGTTATTGGAACACGAGTCAGTTCATCGCCTTGCTTTGTCTCGTAAGACGAATACATTTCTGTCTTATTTTTCTCGCCAGGATTTATTCCGCCTCTCGCCGTTTCACATGACCCTATTGCCCAGAATAATTTAGCTCACTGGCATGGTTAAGTAGATCCAGCTGTCAGTTATTTCTGCTACACTAATACAACCATAGTCATCGTCTCAGAAGCAATACTATTAACTACCCTCTTATATCCAGATCTTTATTTGGTGTTTATCTCCTTTACGCATGGTCATAGAGTGGAGATCTACGGCTGAGACAAAAACCTGTAGATAGAAAAGGAAACAGATTCATATCAAAAGAAAACTTTGAAGACAGCGTATCACCGACTCATACTCTGCCCACACCATATGCGTCGATTGGATTGCATTAACTGATACTATGTATCCATGCTTCGCGTTAAATATCTATCTTAATGCTGTTTCTTGTTGCACTGCTCAATGCTGGACAGCTTGTGGAGGTTATGGATATCCTTGCCATCAACAGGCTTGCCTTCGTCGTTCGTCACCATAACCACGCACTTCCATGAGTTCGGCTCAATGACAAGCTTGTGGCAATGCGAGGCGGCATCGTCGTCGTGAGGGAAGTTGCACATGCGGAAATCCATCTCGGGCTGACCAGCATTAACCCAAATCTTGGTGGCCTTAATGCCGTCCTCCTTGGTAAAAGTAAGGTTACCACAGCCATTGTAGCCGAAGTAGTCAAATTCGTTCTGGCTGCACACGGGCTGGGCGCGGCCAGAGCAGTCATCGTTGTTGTAGGTAGCGAAGCCCCACTTGTAGTTATGGAAGTTCGGGGGGAAACCAGCAGGGAAGCCCTGGCCAGTCGTTGTGGACATACCGCGCTGGTTAGCAAGAACCGAGGCAGCAAAGGCAAGCGCAATTGAGACAAAGGCGAGCTTGAACATTTGACGGGAGGGTGTTCCGGACCATTGATGCTAGTTACATTGCTTTAAGTAGTTTACTTGAGCAAAAAGAATCATTCTTTTCGCCAACAATTTCTTGGACGATTTGATTTCAGCTAAGGCCGCGCGTCTCCCTACTTCAAACTATCCTCAGACTGGGAACTTGCGAGGAAAAAAATTCACTAGGTTATCCTTATTAATCTCTAATTGGCTAGTCATAGTTTCTCGCTTACCAATTGGGTGCCAAGAATTGAAATTCGCGAACCATTAGTAAGCAACATTCCAAGTCTCTCAGCCACGCTCGAGTCTGTCTGCCGGATGGAACATGAAGGTCGTGAGATTCGATCTTTCACTCGTCTGACGAGTTTGATTTTTCATCTTGGGATGATCTTAATACGTTCCCAACTCTAGATCTATTGGTGACATAGACAAATTCCAAATGGCTTTAGAGCAAGAGGAATTTACAAGACATATGTTTAATTATGAGGTCGTGTCATGTCGAAAAAAAATTTAGTTCATGTTAGCGAGGTTGGCTGCAAGCACAGCCACCGGGAATTTGCTGGTGCATATTGTTTCCACGTTCCTCATTTTCCCCAGCAAGGGATATTTAAAAATAAAAATGAAATGTTCAGCTAGTCATCACACATGCGGGGAAAGATCCATTCACAGACCCCGTAGATAGGATGTCTTTTCTGATTTGTCATATACGTTTATCTCATTGGCAGGACTTCTCCACAACCCCAATGTGATTTTCAACGCCAAGCGATATCAGATCTCGATCAAGAAACTATATTAAGAGCAATGCCATTTCCCCGTTATAATTGGTTCAACGCGATCCTTTACCGCATTACCATGCTGAGTTCGTCATCCCCAAGTTATTCTGCAGCCCAAGGTTGTCAGATGTTGAATATTTAAAGAGTGTGCGCACCCCCCCCCCGTCCACCCATACTTGGTCTTCATGCGGTTCTTCACAAGTCTTTTTGCTTTCATCGCTGCTGCCACTATCGTGGCAGCAGCACCTCACAAGAATCATACTATGATCTTGGCTGAGAAGGCTAAGAATGACAAGTTCGTTGACGCCCCTACCTCCCATGCTGCCCCTCAAAACCTTCCTATTAAGGTTGACGATCTTCAGATGGCTGCTGCTTTCGCGCAACAGCCCTACTGCTGGGATCAGAAGATTGGCACAAAGGTCGGCGACGGTGAGATTGTTTGGACTACCGGTGACGGCTGGATCAATCAGCGTGGCACGATCATTCTTTCTAAGAGCTTCGGGCTTGTCCTTGCCATTCAGGGCACATCAGCCACAGATACCAAGGGATGGATAGAGGACTTCAGCTTTTTGTTGAACGAACCTGACGAACGGATCCGCAGCAAGCTTGAGTCGGGCTCCCTTGTGGAGACAGGTTTCCAGAATGCCTACCTCGGCCTTATGGACGCTCTCATTGGTGGAATCAAAGAGATGACTAAGAAGTACCATAAGAACAAAATTACAATCGTTGGCCACTCACTTGGAGCGGCTATCTCTCAGATTGCAGCCGTGCATGTCAAGACTATCTGGGATGACATGCTTGACCGTGCGATTCTCTTCGGTCTCCCCCGGGTTGGCAACGTTCATTGGGCTAACTCGGTTGACAAACTAATGAAGGGCCAACTGTATTATGTTTTCAATGGTGAAGACATTGTTGGCCGTGTTCCGCCGCGTGCGTTCGGCTACCAGCACCCATCGGGTCAGATTTGGATTAACCCTGCTAGCTCGAGCCACTGGAAATTCTACCCGGGTCAGGAAAACATCAACGGTCAGCTTTCTCAGCTTCCTACCTTGGACGTCATCACTACTCACCTTGGTTCATACTTCGGTACCCTTATTGGCTGGGGTACGGCCATTTGCCCCGCCCAGGTCAACAACGCTCCTGTCAACTAGGAGCTATGCAGTACTATGATCTTGGTTAATTTGCGTGTTTAGTTGTTGTGAAAAAGTTTCTAATGTTAAATCGAAGACGCGTTAAATAGGCTTCCAATTCAAACGCATCATTCCTTTGATTAGACCGATCTCAATTAATAAAGGGCTATCAGTAGCATCAGGATACCTGAACTTACATGAAGCTAGTTCTCAACTGACAAGATCTATATCGGGTCTATGCGGTCTTCCATTAATTGTCATTAGGTATTGACACGACAAGAACCATACATTGATATAATGAGGGTCTCTCCCCTGCTTCGTCCTCCGGACCCCCCCCCCCCCCCTTCTCAAGATTTTCGTTTAGCCTTGGTAGCATCAAGTGTTACCTTCGGTTAGCTTGGGGAGCCTTTATCGTTTAGCCTATCGCGCCGAGACTTTATCAATCCTTTCTTACACATTAAAAAATCCGCAATGAAATAAGACAGTTAGCGCGTAAGCATGCTTCTATTTTCTTTGCGCACAAGAGGAACCACAACAAGAAGCATCCTCTTCGGCTGAACAGAACCATGCCACCAAGTGCAACAAGAAAGAGTCGGATCTCTTGACTGTTGGGGGGAGGCAGATTAGCCTAGTTACAAGTCTTTTGGAAATCAAGAAATCTACATTCAGTTTGACACCGACTCTTCTGACACCCAACTGGACCCTGTGGCGTATAATTACCGCAAGACTAACACGTTGAAAGCTACTTACGTCATGTTCAGACCCCCTTACGAGGATGGAATTGCAGCCAAGGGTACCATTTATCTTGACACTCTGGACACTGCTGGTCTCAAAGGCCAAGATATTGTGATTGATGATTCACACTAGAACTTTTCTCATAATCTCGTGAGGTGGGGGNGGTTGGGGCGAAACCAGCAGAATGGGATTCCCGGTATTCAAACCTTGCCTAAAGCCTACAAGCCCACTTTTAAGATCTCGTGGACCAGAAGGCCGTGAAGAGGGGTGTTTTCCAGTCCACTATCAAGTCTGGAGACTGCTCGAAACTGGACCTAGGTGTTCTTAACGAGAGCATGTACCGAGACGATTTGGAGCGGCAATACATCAACCGCGTCTATGGTTTCTACGTCTTTCCTGCTTTCATCAACGGCGTGAATGTAAAGGCTGTGGTGGATCCTGGAACCACAAAAAAGTAGGAAACTTCCATCATGTTGAGAGGGCAATGAAGAAACTGTCTATAGTAACTAGGGAGGAAGTACAGGGCAATCTGCCATGACTTTCCCATGGCGACCAGGAGCTGAGCATTACCATCATCTTTGCTGGCGAAAACTTCAAGTCGGGACCAAGACAGACTCACTGGGATACAAAAGACTGGCAATATGTCATAAATGAGCATTATTGGACAACGCAACATACAGATGGATACATGCTTGGTGTTTAACTCATTCTTCCAAGTAGCCCCTCCCACCCTTCCGGTTTTGATCAGGAGAACGACCATATTGGTTTCACTTGGCATGCTTAGATATTGCCAACTTCAGACCAAGCGTGACACGATTTGACGATCCACATAATATGCACAAGGTTTAATATTATCCATCAGTTGTTTAAGTTGATATTATGATAAACAAGCACGTTAAACAGGCATGACTGTAACCTCTGTTGGTTCTGAGTCAAGGGGGGGAGGAGCACCGGATCGCACCGGAACCACTTCGCTCGCATGTCCATGCGGATATGTTCCGGTATTGTAAACAGAGCCATAGGGCATTTGATCGCTGTTCATAACTGGTTGCATGAGTTGGTTTGCGGATTCCGGCATATCAGAGCGTTCATGAGAAGGTATCCCAGTGGTACCATAGCCAGCAATGTCGTTGCGAGCTGAGGGCACATGACGTGAAGGTTCGAACAGGGTCACAGTCTCGGTGTTTGCAAGGAAGATAGCAAACGCAAGATCTGGGGTGATACAGAACATGTAATACAAGGGTGCAATGAAAAATAGAGGAATGAACACATAGCAAAGGACCAAGAAAATGAGCTTCACGATTTGAATGGCTGCTGTCACAACAAGGAAGACGGCCATATTGTCAATTAGCTTGTGGCTCGTGGCGATCTGTACAAGATTGTACTTCTTCTCCATCATGCTCATGTAAATAGTTTTTTCCGTGTGGGAGGGAGTGTGACGACGGTGCCTCACAAGGGCAACAATCATCATGATCCAAAGAATGAAGTAAAGGGCGAAGGCAATAAGCCACATGATAGACGAAACCCAGACGCTAATGACAATACAGCCCAAGAAAATGATGGTCAAGATGACACTGGCAGTGATTCCACCCCAGCCCTTGTAAAACCAGTTTTGTCCGTAGTAAGTATCCGCTATGCGCGTCCAACGAACGTGCAAGCTGTACATAATATACAACGATAAAGTAATGGCGACAGTGTAAGTCATTATGCCAATGAACGCATAGTTAATGTCTGAATAAAGTCGCAAAACAAAGGAAGCGACCTGCACTGTATTTTGTTAGCACTAAGCAGTAATAGCGATACATACAAACACACCACAATATCATAAGACCATATTCAAGGCGAGGGTGACGGCGAATAAAATAATAGAGGAATACTAATGCAAAAATACCGAACACAAAGATGAGCAAAACATGTACATTCGGGTCATGGTATCCATAGAACTGGGCTGAGCCACAATGTGTGCTGATTCCATCAAAAAGGTCGTCTACCTTGGTCACCGTCATTTTTAGTGACCGTGGATGAAGACAATATACATTGAACCGTCCAGCCGTTTGTCCATAACGTAAGAATGCATGGATGATGCATGCCAATCACACTGGCCTAAAATAAAAATACCTACAGCACGTGTTCCGGTGACATCTAACCGAAATACAAATCAACGAGCACTGCATGTAAGCCTAAATGAAACATACTGGTTGCAACGCCTAGAATAATTCTGCGCACAGTCAGTACCTTGTACATACTCGAGGACAATTAAAATAATAACGATAATTTCAAGCCATTCTGAGTGACTTGAGGTGACCTGATCCTTCAAAAGTTGAAGCATATCCTGAAGCACTTCTACGCGAATGTTTAGTAGGTCGATGCGTGGTTGGATTTCCAGGTAGCTCCTAGCGGCGGCGTACAATGGTTCTCGAAATGTCAGAAGATATAGTGTGCATACCTAAATCAGGCTGAGACCAGAATATCTCGGGAGAATCAACGACAGACCCAACGAGATGAATATTCATACGTAAAATGAAGAGCTAGCAAAGTTAGTCTCAGTTCGATCACGCACATGTCCAATGTGTTTCATAATGTCCATAGGAGGCATACCCACTTTCCCGCTTTCGGCAATGCTGCGTGGAATATCTTTCGTTGTATCGATGGTAGTCTCGATGACACTTTCAAAGAAGCTAATCTTGGTGGACTGAGCCAAAGCATGTGACAACGACAGCTTGGTCATGTAGCTTGACCCGCGGCGTAAAGTGATGACATCGTTATATATGCTGTCATCAGCCAAATGTACTCACCGGCTGTAATCTGCCAGGTACCAATTCAGGTCTTCGCTCTCAATATCTTCGTGGGCAAGGCGTTCCACCTCAAACCTGCGAATCTCCCGAAGCAGTCTTTTCTCTTCGGTTTGTGACATGCCCCATATCACCACGGCTGGCCGTTGGTTCAGTGTACGTACTTCCATATTCCATGAAGAAGACCTCAGGGACGTATTTGTCCATCGTAGATTTCCGGGTAGAAGAGGTCCTTTGCGTAGTCGAAGCGGCTTGGCGAGAACCGTCGTCCTCGCCCTCCTCGCTAATAGTCTGTAGGCCATGCTCACTTGAAGAAGTGGGGTCATTGCTCAGTTCTGGTATTCCAAGCAAGTCTCCAGTTTTAGGAGCGGTATCCTCCCATCGAAAAGGTGGGCGACCCTGCTGAAGGATCCATGGAGCCGTACTTGGCAACCCCCTAGCCTCATCCACGTGTTGGTAAGTGTACGTCGTATATACACATTCATCAAAGCGCAAAACATTCGTTTCATGTGATTGTGTCCGAGCTTGAAGCCAGCGAATCAATTCAGGCAGCTTGTATGATCTGCGTGAGTCAACAAGAACGTACGTGGCTGTGCTGTAGGAAGTCACGCGGGGCAAGCGGGAGCGCGCCTTACGCGTCAGTCGAAGTGCGTCTCTTCGCATATTGCCTTCGGGAATATTGTGCAACCCTGCCATGTTTTCAGAATCAACATCCGCGTCATCGTCCCATTCCAGATCGGGGTGTTGTTCTCCCTCTGGCTCACCTTGTGAAACCGATGATGGTTCATCAGGCAATATCTTGTGCTTTATTGCGCCTTTTGTCGACCTAATAGAGATAAGACTGTCAATACATACCGATTAGGGCCGACTTTGACAGCATTCATCGACATGATGAACGCTGGGAGGGAGATGCTGATGTCGCCCGAAATGTAAGCCACACGCAAGCAATCGGGATCGGGCCACTAACAAGGCAGAGACAAATAATCTACAAAGAAACCCTCGTGTTGCAAAGCCACCTCGGCACACCATTTGATGGCCAATCCATCAGATGGACATGGCTGGCGAAGAGGTCCGTGATGTCGGTAGGATTCTTGTCTCTGTGTGCACCCAGCTCCTTCACGTATCGCGGCCTCGAAACGTGCTAGTCGAAGGGTGCGGCGATGATGTGAGATCGTGCTGTTACCGCCGTCGGTGCAGTCAGTGACTGACGGTAAGGAAGAATTGCTAGTAGCACTGCTCTGAATAACTGCATGTGTCAAGTGCTTGTCCAAGGTCTGTTCGGTTGTGCGTCCAGGACTTGGTATCAAGTCGATATGTAGCATATCCGAAGGAGGAGTGGATCGGACTACAGGTGCATACGGTAATCCGCGATCCAGTTGGAGCTCTCTGTAAGCCTCTTCACGGCTCTGTACAGTGTATAAAGAAGCGCCATTACGGTAGAGCAAGCGACGTAGTGTTACTCGCGCACCTAGCACCTGTGCCATGGCACACAAGTACGACAAGCTTTCCCTCAAGCAATCCATTGTGATACCCTCTGGGGTTCCATCATCAAGTACGCCAATTTCATACAAGCATGAGCCATCACCTTCGTTGAGTCGCCACCGTAACTGTGTCACAAGACGATCAAACCGGTCAGCAGTCGCAGGAAGGATGTAATACTTGTATTCTGCGTTACCATTATCACTTTCTTCAGGAAGAAAAAAGTCATATGCTGCTCTGCGACTCTCAGTCGTGCTGTTGTCTTCACTTCGCAAGGGCGTGTTATTCTCGCTCATATTCGTAGCATGCCAGTGGATAATATAGATGCTACAGAGAACAGGCTCATGGACCAAGCAAGTACTTGCCTACCTGGAATGTTAAATGGAGTCGAGTCATAAGTCCACCTACCTGGCAGCCTGCCGGTAGGCTACCGTGCGTGCGCCGCGCGTGCTTTAGGGCCATCACGCACGTGTATTATCGGGGCTGGAATATCGGGGGCTTCGCCTAGCCATACCATGCGCCAATGATGATCGCGTCCAGCCCGTTGAACAAGCTGCGGGCGTTAACAGGGACGTGCCTTTTCACAAGGAAAGGATATGTACCGGTTGTTGCCGCTACACTTCTGGGAGAATGCATTTTAATCGCTTTGATTATTGTTTATGTACCTTGTGTGTATATCAGATGAGTCTGACCTCAGTCACAGAAATCGATTTTCGTACCTACGTGGCGCAGGCGCGCATGTTTCTCGAGGGAGAACGACGGTACTATGCGCTTGACCCGCCTGGAGGCTCAGGCCCGTGTGTGTATCCCGCAGGACATCTTTACATCTTTGCTGTGTTAGATCGATGGACTGATAGTGGGGCATACCTGCTCCCAGCACAGCTGGCGTTTGGCGGTCTATATCTTGCTACCAGTCTTGTTGTATCTCGCATCTATGATATGGTTGGTGCACCGCCTGTGTTGTTTCTGTTCCTCGTTCTCTCCAAGCGCTTGCATTCCATTTATATGTTACGCATGTTCAACGATCCTGTGGCCATGTTGGCCATGTATATATGCATGTACTTGCTGTGCTGCAGGAAATGGAGCGCTGCATGCTTCGCGTACTCGTGCGTGCTTAAATACTAACAGAAGAATTGCACTTTCTGTCAAAATGAATGTATTGCTGTACTTGCCGGGCCTAATGGTCGTATTGTTTCGTGCTTGGGGCGCATGGCGCACGGTGGTTTCGCTAGTTATCATTGTGGGCGGAACACAGGGGCTGTTAGGTCTGCCCTTTTTGCTTCATGATCCGTTCGCATACTTGAAAGGGTCGTTTGATTTCTCCCGTGTGTTTTTATATGAATGGACGGTCAACTGGCGCTTCCTGGACGAAAAGACATTCTTAAGCGCTTCTTTCTCGCACTTGCTTCTGAGTCTTCACCTGTTGTTGCTTCTTCTATTTGGTTTGTGTCAGTGGACTGGTATATCTAGGCAAGGTTGGCGGTGGATCTCTCTGCGATGGTGCGGTGATTCAGTGCCCATGTCGCCCTTTTGTAAGTCACGAGTCTAACCGGCAGATATCATCATGACATTGGCTACTAGTAATTTGATTGGAATTCTCTGTGCGCGAAGTTTGCATTACCAGTTTTATAGCTGGTATGCCCACCAGCTGCCCCTGTTAGCGTGGACGAGTTCCTTCTCGATACCTGTCACGTACGTGGCTTACTCTGCTCACGTCCAGTATCGTGGCCCCCTTGGTGCTCGAATGGTGCTGGAATGTATTCCCATCTACACAGCAGTCCTCTGCACTCATGCTGCTTTCCCATGTAATGTTATTGACGGGATTGTGGATATGGAAACCTGTACAGCGCTACTAAACGATCTTTTTCCCATCTGGCAAATACTCGGCCTGAGGTAGTTTGCCGCCATTTTGTTCGAGCATGGCCTGTGCACCGCGGCCCATTGCATTCAGGACACGTTCATCCCATGGAAGCCAGCCATTGAATAGGCCCTGCAGGCGCGAATTGTATTCTGGACACCAGTCGAGAAGGAGCCCGAGCTGAGGCGCCGTGGCTGTATAAGGCGGAAGTCTTCGGTTGGCATTGCGTCGTTTGCGCTTCTCTTGCAAGCGACCCCAGCACCCATACATATCGACTTCAAAAGATTTATACGCATTGTCTTCCGGAGCCTTGTGCTCGCTACCCTCATCATCAATACCGACGTAGGTGAATCGGCTCGTGCCGCCTATCATGGACGAGCGTGTAGGCCAGCGCAATGCCTTCGCATGTAATTCCACAAAGCGCTTCTTCTTGAAGGCGTAACTGACGACCGTGATACGTTCCGGATACCTGTTAGTGTATTCGTAGAAACGCGCAATGCTGAAGAGCAAGTTCTGGAAACTGTCGAGGGCAAAGTTTTCTGTGGTCATCCGAAGGCGGCTCAGGTCCAAGGAGCGATCAATGCCCTGGGAACCAGAGGCCAGCTTTGGAGCAGTCTCCTGGGTTGGTATATCCATGCCTGTCTTGAGAGGCTGGAAGGGAAGCTTTGTAGTAGAGTAATCGTCATCCAGCTTAGCGAACCGCGGAAGCTCGTGTGGCAGCTGAAGAGCCAGTCGGTAATACGACTCAGCCTCGGTAGACCAAGCTTGGTTGCGTGTCTGACCGCCGCTAAAAACAAGCAAACTAGTAGGGTCGGCTGCCGCGATTTTGACGCTGAATGATGAGCTGCCATAGTACATACCCTTCTTTGATATGCTGTATAAACGTCTTGACTGCGCCGTCCCGCTGGTACGGCTCAAGGAACCAGCTCGAGTCATTCAGCATGAATGCAGGATCATTTTCCTCTGTGTGTGTCAGATCATGACATGTCAACGTACTCCAAATAGCATGGCCAGCGACAATGACCAAATGTTGCAAAGGTTGCTTATCCTCACCTGGGTATTTGGGAAGCGCATCGCGCATGTGGAAGTCCTTCTTTTTGCAATCGTCCTTGGCAGCAAGGACACGCGGCACCTCAACGAAAACGGTGGGACGACGAAAATTAAAGAGCAAAGACAGGGCCAGCGCGCCAAGAAGCAAGGCGACGCCAAGATTTGTCACGCGCGAGCGAGCCGACATCCGTGCTTGCATATGGTTCCACATAGTAGGTCCCATCACCTTTTCGTACACATCCGTAAGGGTGTAGGGCAGCGACATGATGATCTGCCCGCGCGCCCTCGCGATGCGCTTCTACGACGATGGTACGAGCGGTCGCGGCGGGCTTAGTGTTCGGCCGAACGTTTAGTCATCCCTAGTTGAGCTGCCCGAAGCGCGCAGTGATGCCGGGCTTAGACTACCTATCCCACGATGGTATGACGCGTCTCGGTGGCACTGACATGCAGCTGAAAGCTAGTGCACCGCACCTCGTATGGGCCGCAGGCCACTTGCTCACATTTTTGGCAGGCGTGAGATACCTGTTTGCTGCCGCCACGTTCTCGTGGGCTGGCTATGAACTCTGGTATCGCATCGCTTACCTGGGTGCAATTGTCAGCTATGGTGTCGTCATCTATAAGAGTTTTGGCGTGCCTCGCACTGACAGAGCTTATGTACAGCGTGCGCTGATGGATGAAAATGTGCAATACCTTGTCATTGCCATGTACTGGTGCTGGATTCAGCCGATCGCCCTCACGCTGATTCCTTACGTGACGTTTTCCTTGTTCCATCTGCTTACTTTCACGCGTACAACAATTCTACCGTCTATGATCCCTGCGAACCAGGCAGCTGATGGTACTTCCACACCCGCGGGCGGTAATTTGTCGAAGGGTATTCAGTCGTGGGTGAAAGAAAACTACGACCGCGCCATGCGCTTTGTGTCGTATGCGGAAGTAGTGATCTTTGTGCGCGTACTCATTGGCGCTCTTCTCTTCCGGAACTCTCTGATCGCTCCACTGCTCTACGCCCACTTCCTTCGCCTTCGTTTCTACATGAGCAGCTTTACCCGGGCTGCCTTCCAGCATGTCCGTGGCGAGCTGGACCAACTCACCCAGCACGAATCATGCCCGCCAGCTGTGCGCAAGGGCTACTTGATGCTGATGGACCTGGTCACACGTTATGCTAGCACCGTGCTCAGCATTAACAAAGGCCAACCGGCTTCGTCCGTTCCATCTTCTGCGCGCACAGGCACCGCGTCCGGCAGCGGGTCGCCTGCCGACCCAACGAAGCTCAAGACGCGTTAGATAGTCTATGTCTGGCTCATAGACTTTCGCTGATGTGTTCAAGTACCTTGGATGCACATTATTCCGTAGCAACTTGTTCAAACTAGGTACCATCCAAGTCTTGCACTGCACTTGCGTGAATTCCTGCACGTGTTACTAGGAATTCGACCTCTGGTGCCGCAGACGGGCATGTTGGTGCAAATACGGTGCGAAATCGTCGTGGCGCGCTAGCCGTAGCTATACCGTGGGGTTCAGCCATGACTGCCATCAAGTACCGTGCATTGATGCAGTTGCTCCATACAAGACCCAGCTGTGCTGACTTAAGCGCAGGCAAATTCGCCTCGGAGGGGAATGGTGCAACGGAGGGTATACAAGCTAAAAGCCCCTGGAAATGCGCCGCTTGTAGTCCAAAGGGCACGGGCGGTGCCTCAGCAGAAATGCACTGAGACGGTGCGTCAGGGTTAGAAAGCGGTAGATGTGCTTGAGCCAGCGCATGTCGGACCAGCGCCGTGTCAGATGCAAAGGCATCCTTTACATGATTTGTCACCACGACAGCAGCTGACTCTGTGGGTGTGCCAGTGGCCAAGCGCTTGAGCCACTGTGCCAGGGCATGCAAGCGCGCAGCTCTTACGCTGTGGTGTTTCGCCATCTCCTGGTCGGGATCCATGGCGTCTTCTTGGAACAGAGGCGGAATGCTGTCGATCACAATGAGGGGCATGGTCAGGGTGGTCGTAGTGCGCATACGTGTCATCAATCCAGGTAGGGTATAGCACAACACATGTTCAACGGACTCGAATGTCAATGCACAGGCAAGGAAGACATTGGCAAGTACCTTTTCAACAGCCATGTCTACGCGCGAGTCCATTTCGTCGCCAGTGAGATCAACATGCTGCAAGTACCAGGAGCGGACCAAATTTCTCGTTATGTCCACCATGCGCCGGACCATATGACGGGCAGCACTACGACCGTGCGTCGTAATTATCGCAACGGCCCTCCCAGGACCACCACACAGGACTGAGTAGGGCGCTGGCGACTCATCCAACGTAAGTCCTAACGCCGTACACACAGTTGTATATAAAATCAACTGTGTTTTTCCAGACGCGCTCTCGCCCACTAGTTCAGACACCATCCCTTTGGCAAAGCCACCGCCCATGTACTTGTCGAGAGTGGCATTGCCACTCGAGAGAAAGCCGCATGCGGCGGCCAAGGGACGAGGCCGGGCAGGTGGAGTGCACCAAGCCACCGGCGATGAAACATGCGGGCTCGCATCGTCCTGATGGGGCGTACCTGGAACGCAGAGGGTATCCGTATGAAGCATGTCCCATGCACTTGGATGAGGAGGCGCCATAGCGCGTTCGATGATATGGCGAATATTTTTCGCCTGGGCCTCAGACACATTTAGCTCGCGCGCTAACGCTGCCGTCGTGAGCATGATAATTTGCTCCGCATCATGCAGACCCGCTACATATCAGAATATCACATACATACCACGACGACACAATGCCTTTTCCCGCATGGTCAACGTCTGGATCTCGCCCAGCGACAGCCCACGCATTCCATCACGACCAACGCAACTTGCGAGGCAAAAAGACTCCACATCATACACTTTGTTTTTCTATAGGGATACCAAGGCTACGAGCATCAACGCTGCCACGTTGGTTTACTGGTCATGCGGCTTCGACGCGGCGACGCAGCACCTGCTGCACCGCCCGCACCACCAGGTGAGTACTGCGGCGACGTAGGAGAGTATTGTGGCGACGTGGGCGAGTACTGTGGCGACGTGGGCGAGTACTGTGGCGATGTCGGCGAGTACTGCGGCGATGTCGGCGAATACTGTGGCGATGTCGGCGAGTACTGCGGCGACGTTGGCGAATACTGCGGCGATGTCGGCGAGTACTGCGGCGATGTCGGCGAGTACTGCGGCGATGTAGGCGAGTACTGTGGCGATGTCGGCGAGTACTGCGGTGACGTAGGCGAATACTGCGGCGATGTCGGAGAATATTGCGGCGACGTCGGAGAGTACTTGGGGCCTGCACCAGCTGTGCGGCGACCCCTAGGGCCCGCCGGACTTGTCGGAGAGTACGCAGGACTCGTTGGGGAGTAGGCAGGACTGGTGGGCGAATAACTAGGACTGGCCGGCGACATGCGCGATGTGTACGCACTACGCACATGCGTGGCCCCAATCATCGGGCTCGAAGGCGAATAGCTCGGGCTCGTTGGAGAGTAGGCAGGCGAGGTAGCTTCAGCAAAGATGCGTGGCGAGGTAGGCGAGTACGCCGGCGACGTAGCACCAGCAGCACCGACCCATGGACTCATGGCACCCATTGCAGGACTTGTAGCGTTGTACGCTGGACTGGTCGGTACATAGCCAGGGGAGGTCGGCACATAGCCATAACCAGGACTTTGTGCACCCAAAGGCGTACGCATCGGACTCTGTCCCGCGCTCAGGTAGTCGCTGTAGCCTCCTTCATCACCGCCCACTTGAACCAAGGGCGAGAACATTGCCTGCTGTTGCACTCGGAAGTCATCGACATTGGGAGAGCTCGAATCATAAGGCGTCATACCACCAGGTGTACGGCCGCCCATGTCATCGGTGTCCATACCGAGCTTGGAAGCCCACAGGTTTGCATACGACTGGTCGCGGTTGACAATGACATCCTTGAGTGTGTCCACGTCGAGATTCAGGTCAAAGGCACCTGTGCCCATCGGCGCCATCTGGCCAAGCAAGATATTCTGGCCAACACCCTTGCAATCGTCCATGTCACCCATCGAGGCGGCTTCCATTAAGATCTCCACCGTTTCTTCGAACGTGCAACGCATAAGAGCGCCTTGGCTCGTACGGTTTATACCGTGTCGGGTAATGGCCATGAGCGTACCCTGACTAGTCATAATATCGACAAGGAGTGCGAGATGGCGGTAGTTAACGTACGAACCATCAAATTCAATGACGTTGCGCACCTCCTTTAGAAGCGACCCACGGGCGGCCTCGATGCCGAATACACGGAACACCTCAACACAATTGTTAGAAATCGTGCGTGAGACATCCACACCATCCACCGCAAGCACATCCTTGAGGTTCGTACCATCCGTCTCAAGTACATACTCTTTGATCGTATCCCACTCACCAGTCTGAGGATCGAATCGACGCGAGGACTTGTCTTGCTTCACAATGAATACCTTCGAAATACCGGGCACACCCTTGAGAGCAATGTCTGCAAGCATTTGCTGTGCTAGACTCTTGAGGAACACATCCTCTTCGCCCTGAACTTCTTTGTCAGGGTCATTGTCCACAATTCGAATACGCAGAACCAGTTCCTCGGCGTTGTCTTCTGAGTGCATAACAAAGATATCACGACCGAACATGGCACTGATCTTCGACGCCACCTCAGCCATGGTCAGGTTCTTGTCCAGCATCTGGGCACGATCAAGCACAAGACGCAAAAGCCACGGGGACTGACGCTCCAGACTTGCTTCCACTTCCTCATCAGGAATTGCGAAGAAGGCATCGACAAAGTCTCGATCCTCAGGAATGACCGTGGAGCTAGGATCCGGGTCATAGAACACCTCAACAGCCGATGTGACAGTCTGCAACGTAGTGTATGCCAGGGCCGTCTGAATCACCTTAGCTGACTCAGAGGAGGCACTATACTTCGGATGCAAATAGACAGTCACCGATGGTGTCTTGATGTTCTCAGCGCAGTTGATAATCTCCTTCAGACGCGGCACACCAAGCGTAACATTTTTACTGGACACACCAGCATAATGGAACGTATTGAGCGTCATCTGCGTCGCCGGCTCACCAATACTCTGGGCTGCCAAGGTGCCACACATTTCACCAGGCTGCGCAACACTGCGAGCAAACTGACCCTCGATCTCACCCAAAATCCACTCCCATGCTTCACGCGAGAGATGATGCACTTCAATGACTTGCTTAGTGCACAAGAAAGAGCGCATGTGGATCTTAAATAAGAGGGTCGCATTCTCCTGCATCGACCGACTGATAGGATCATTGCCTCGGATCACCACCAAATTGTTCAACACACGCTGAAGTCCCTCCACAATCTCAAAAGGCGACAAATCACTAGGACGGCGCGGATCAATGTGAAAAATCTGTTGTGCGTTGAGAACGAGACGTGCGATATTCAGCGGCAAATAAGTATCGACACGGTCTGTACGGAAGATTTCCGTACGCAATAGCATACGGTCCCGCTCAAGCTGCTCAAACTCCTCGTCTAGAAGTTGCTCAAGCTCAGGCGACCAGTCGCCTAAGCCGGCGCGGAGGGTACCCTTTTTGAATCCACCATGGCTGAGATCAACTTTGAAGCGCCGACGGAACTCCTTGTCGTTCAATCCATGGGTAATCAATTTTTGGCGCTCTACCATGGCGCCATCAATACCATCTTCACCGTACGCAAACTCAATTACATTGTTGGTAGAGTTGCGTACAGTTCCATCATAGCAAATAGTTACATCCTCAAGAGCCTTCACCAAACGACGCTGGATGTAACCAGTTTCAGCTGTTTTCACAGCAGTATCAATCAGACCTTCACGACCAGCCATGGCATGGAAGAAGAATTCATGCGCTGTAAGACCTCGAAGATACGAATTCTCAACAAAGCCTCGACTTTCGGGGGTGAAGTCGTCTTTGGTGAAATGTGGCAGACTCCGATGGCGGAAACCGAACGGAATACGCTTGCCTTCCACCGACTGCTGACCGACACAAGCAGACATTTGCGAAATGTTGATAAAAGAACCCTTTGAACCCGCGATTACCATCTGCTTGACATTGTTCCAGTCTGGCAGATTCTGCTCCGCATGCGAACCCACATCATCACGAGCTTTGTTTAGAATGCGGTTTACATTTGCCTCGAAAGATTCGCGTAGCGTCATACCAGGGTCTGCCTTCAGCCAGTCATGACGAGCAGCCTGGATCAGATCCATAACGTCTGCCTTCGCCTTGGCGATGGTCTGATTGATGTTGGCCGTAGTCGCTTTATCGGCTACTGTATCACCAATGCCGATCGAAAAGCCATTGTGAAGGAGCCAGAAGTTCACCAGGCGCTGCACACCACTGAAAAAGTCACGGCATACCACAGGACCACGCTCCCGGAAAATGATGTGGATTAGACCACCTGCAGATGAACCAACAACCTTTTTGTTGATCACACCATACATGATTTCGCCGTTTTCGATGTGAACGCCATCATCCTTTAAGAAATTGTTGGCGGCCGCCTTTGCATCACCCAAGAAGACATTAATACCCTTAGGGATACACATAGACAGAAGCTGCTTGCCAGACCAATAAGGCTTAGGCTTCAAAATGCAGGGCTGAGGCACGATGCCGTCCCAGTCGGTTAGCCACATGAGCACATTCTGGACTTGATCGAAGTCAAGCAGGCAGTCGCGAAGTGTAAACTTGCGAATACCACACAAAGTGTCCTGAACGATGCCCATTACAGGCTTGTTGGCCTGCGGAGAAACAATCTGGCGCGGTACCCAGGCAATTTGCGCCAGTTCTGCTCTGGCTTCTTCACTCTGAGGCACATGCAAATTCATTTCATCACCATCGAAGTCAGCATTGTAAGGTGGAGTCACACTCAGATTAAGACGAAAAGTGGAATAGTCCATGAGCTTTACGCGATGGGCCATCATACTCATTTTGTGTAAACTAGGCTGGCGATTGAATAGAACATAGTCGCCATCCTTAAGATGGCGTTCAACAATCCATCCCGCCTGGAGAGCAATGTCTCCACGCCGATTGTATTTCAAGTCAATACGCTCGCCTGTGTCACGAATGACATAGCGGGCACCGGGGTATTCATTAGGTCCGTTGCGCACAAGATCGGAGAGGTATGCACGGTTGTAAGGAGTAACACGTTCTGGATAAGTAAGGTTGCGCGCAATGCTCTTGGGCACACCGACTTGGTCAAGCTCTAGATTCGGGTCACCTGTAATAACGGTGCGTGCAGAAAAGTCCACACGCTTTCCCATAAGGTTACCACGCAGTCGGCCTTCCTTGCCCTTCAAACGAGCACGAATAGCCTTAACAGGACGTCCAGATGATTGCAGAGACTGCGGCAGACCAGCAATATCGTTGTCCATGTATGTTGCAGTATGATACTGCAACAGATCAGCAAAGTCATTAAGTATGTGAGCCGGTGCACCCTCCTGCTCCATACGCCGGAGGTTGGCACTGGCCTTGATAATATCTGCCAATTTGTAGGTCAGATCATCTTGGCCCATACCACTGCCGAATTCGGTCACGCCAGGACGGACCTGCGGCGGCGGTACAGGAAGCACAGTAAGAACCATCCAGTCAGGTTGAGCAAAGTCTTCGGAGAGACCAAGCGTGACAACATCCTCGGGAGTGATCTTTTTCAGGATCGTGTGTACCTCTGAGGCCGGGAGAGGGCGCTTCTCTGACTGCGCCATTCCTCCGCTATCCTCGTCTTCATCCTTACTTTGCTTCCAAACAGAGAATAGCTTCAAAGCTTCTTTGCGAATAGCCGGCTGGAAGCGACCACACCCACCGTGTCCAATCTTCTGCTGCGTCGTATCACCAAGCTCGTCTTCGTCCTTTCCTTCATCTGCTTCACAGATGGTGATCTTGGAACAATATTCCCAAACACGCTGGAAGCGGCGTTTGCGGTTAGCACGGGTAGATTGAAGGAGACTCTTGAACACAGGATCCGAGATCTGCCGTCAGCGGAGACTCCTGAGAATACATACAGGGTCGGCCTTCAATTTACCACAGTGGACACAAACACATTCCAGGAGTTTCTTCACCTTACCCAAGAAACCAACATGAAATACAGGACGTGCAAGATCAATGTGACCAAAGTGACCGGGGCATTCCGCTTGGCCCTCGCCACAAGTCTGGCACTTGTAATTCCTGTCGATGGTTCCCAGGCGAGGATCCGATAGACCACCCACCTTGTACTTCCCTGTAGCATCGTCTTTCACCTCAGGAAACTCGATTTTACACACTGACAGTGCACGCTGCGAAAGATTAGCACTTCCATCACACGCAAACACCCACAATCTCCTCGGGACTAAGAATGCCGAATTGCACCTCCTTTACGGGTCGAACTGGTGCCACGGATGGCGCAAACTGATGACCCATCATCCTGGATGAGCCAAAAGTACTAGCAGATAAACACCGTTAGTTGTACAAGAGACACCAAAATCCAGCCTCGACAGTGAAGTGACGCTGGTCAGATCAGTGGGAGTACGAAAGTGGCCGACGACACTCGAAAAGACAACAGAAGCAGATTCTGAATGTCTCTAAGGAGGACACAATAAATGAGATTTATTGGCACCGGCCCTTCCTCCTCGTCGTCGTCGTCAGGTGTGGACAAAAGTCGCCACAACTCGTTACTTCTCTCCCGGCCGGCGAGCACTCGTCTGCCAGCGTCTAACGCGGTTTTCGGCACACGTGTTTGGAAGGCCTGCTACCAATCATATGTGTATATCGAATATCGGCGACAGAAGGTGCACGTGACACGATAATGCAACGACGTGAGTCGCACGCCACCTCCGCACGGTTCATTGACATGGTAGCCTCGCGCATGGGATTCCACGAACTCGTGGAGAAGGCTACCTCGCCACTGATACCATCCGGTCATGAGGATATGGCTCTTAACCTTGAAGTGTGCGATTATATTCGCTCAAAAGCCGTTACACCTCCTAAAGCCATGGAAGAACTTAAGACCCGCGTTGAGCACACTAACCCTAACGTGCAGATATTGGCTCTTGGTGTACGTATTGGCCTATTTATAACTTAGCTATCAGACGCATGCATTAAAAACAGTGGTACTTCGTTCCTCGAACAGATTGCGTCTCCTGAATTCATGGACACTATGACTTCCATGCTTCGCAAGCGACCTAATTTGGCACCTGCGGTGAAAGCAAAAATACTCCAATGCTTGCAAGATTGGAAATACTTTGCCGAAGCAAGGCCGAACGAACTGGGTTATATTAAGGAAGTTGTTCATTCGCTGGAAAAACAAGGGTACGAATTTCCACCCCCCGATCCCAATGCCGTGGCTGCTGCTAGTGTGCTCACTGAAACGCCTGTGGCCCCAGAATGGGAAGATAACACAGTTTGTACTCGATGTCGTGCGGAATTTGGAACATTTTTGCGCAAGCATCATTGCAGGAACTGCGGGCGAGTCTTTTGTTACAAATGCTCTAGTAAGAATATGACACTACCATGGTACAGTATTCAGGAACCTGTCCGTGTTTGTGATGGCTGTGCAAAACGAAAAGGACCTTTTACCACTGTATGGACACCTCCCGCCACACTTTCGGCTGCAACACAAAATTCCAAAGAACAGCAGGATGGTGATTTGGCTAGAGCTATTGCGCTTTCTCTGCAGGAACAGAACCAAAGTCGTACTGAGAGTTCCGGCCAAGTCGCAGCGCGCGGTGAGGGTTGTGATGCAGAGGAAGATCCCGACCTGGCAGCTGCTATTGCCGCAAGTTTGAAGGAGTGGGATGAACAGCAGAAAAGAGACTCTGTAATGACGAGCCCTTCGACGCCATCCACTCTGAGGCCTCTTGCAACCAAGTCAAAGACACATACGCATACGCAACGCACGCTAGAGGTTGACACAATGGACCTCGACAATATCCTTACCTTTTCCCAGACCGTGTCCTACCCAGAAGCAGCGTGGAAACAGACAGTTCCTATGAAAGGGCTGCCTCTCCCTATCCAGAATATGCAAGATAAGGCCTCCGCTTCTCGTGGAAGACTGGTGCGTCAATTGGATTTCGGACATCGTCGTTTACGAGAACTTTCAACGCTGCATGAAAAATTGGCAGACATTGTAAGAATGTATGATCAACTCTTAGACACTCAGTTTTCATCCCCTCTTGCTACGTATTCGAGTGGCACAACTCTAGATCATTCGTCCAAATCTGGAGATCCGTTACCTGCGGTCCCTGTAGGCCAGGAAGTGCCATCGTCGCCTCCATTACCGCATCATGACTGTTCAGCCGGACCTACTCCATTTCTACCAGATTTTAACTATACCCAAGCGCCTCATATGAACGCGACTGACACATCAGAACATGCTGCCCAGCCTGGAAATGATAGTTTGCAGGGAACCAGGCAAGAGGAAGCGCTGCTAATTGATTTATAGTGCTGCACCTCCACTTGTATAAAAACGGACACAATTAGTCGTATAGCCAGCGCGTTTTAATCTTCGAAAGCTATAGCTTAGCGCGGATGTCTATGTTGAAGGTGTGCTGAAAGGAAGTTGGGACAGGATGGACGTCGTCAATGTTGTTACCGCTTCAATCGCCCCGTTCACTGAATTCTCTGGCGGCGAATCAATTTGAACTTGAAAAAGAGCAGTGCGTGTATCAAGCCAAATGGATAAGGGTATCAAACCGATGCTAAACACCAAACCCCATATATAGCTTTGTATCCAAATATAACTCTGCTCGGTCCATTGAAATGGCACTGCATCAGACAACTCGGAACGGAACTGCCATTCCGACTGTGATTCTTCGCGCAAGAATGCCAACACCTGTTCATGGGCGTTCGCACTCTGAGACACATTGGGATTTGCACAAAATTCATTCAGTCGAGGAACCAGATGCGACAACATAGGCATTATAACGGTAAAATCAAGTGTGTGTACCCATGATTCTACCCACTCATGTGTGGGAACAAAACCATCTTTGCCGACTAATTGGGCCAACTCGAGTTTTTCTTGGTTGAGGTTGGGAGAATGAGGAGGCTGTTCGGATATGGTACTGTCTGCGTTGGAACTGGTAGTATGGGTGGAACCCGTCGGCGGGGAATTTGATTGAGAGGGAGCCGTTGATCGCAAGCGGTGTTCCTCGGCGTCACTTTTTAGCTCCAGTGGTTTGGCATCAACGCTATTCACCTCCTTGGCCTGATGCTCTTCCTGCTCGTCCGTCGCAAGAGGATGCTCGTCCTGACCATCTTTGCTCTGTATCTCTGTAGCATTTTCAAAATCACTTGCTTTGGTCATCACTGGGGATATATCCACCCTCTCCTTTGGCTGTTCGGATTCATTTGGCTTCGGCAGAACTGAATTCTTCGACGGCGTTTGGGGCGGGGGCGGTGTTTCCGGGAGTTGCTTCAACTTAGAGCCTTCTCTCTTGGCATGCTCCCAGGCTTCATGAATGGAGAGAATGGCGTCTTCAAAGTTGAAATACCGCATACGCTCAATCAACCCAGCAGATCTCGCTAATACGTAGAGCAATTGCACATTTTCCGTTGGATGACTCTGTATAGCCCGTGAAAACGTGTCGAGAAGTAAGCTTAGCAGTTTTGGATGATATGGATTAGACAAGAGGAACTTTGGGGATGTGAATTGTTCAAGCAGACGTTCCAAGCGACTGGCAGATACCACTGACATGTGCTTCCAATAAGGTGCCGTATTGTAAAGAATGAGCAGCATATTCGAATATATGGGCGCAAGATGTCCGGAACTAGTAAAGATCAAAAAGTAGATCCCATCCATCAGGCAATCCAGCGCCACAGTACCACTGCGCCGAACCAATCTCACTGAAAGCGTTACATGGTCCATGGTGCCAGGTATAGAGAGGTTCTCTCCGAATCGCTTCTCTGCCGATAAATCCTGCAATAGAAACACGGAAATTTGCGCCTGTCTCAATGTTGGAAGATGGGTCTTGTTCGAAAGGGCCACAAACAGAAGCCAGCTCAGGAGCCTTGTACACCAGTGAGCACTCTTTGTCACAAAATTTCGAAATGCATCATTGTGACGTGTCATGACCCACAAAATGACAAGAACCTCTGAGATATGCTCTTCCGCTGTCTTTACGAACGTAGATTCCACATTTCTTGTCTCGAATGGGCCCTGCGACACATCCATACTGCTCTTGAAATATCTTTCAAAACCGTTCATCAAGAAAGCAAAGTCATTCTCACGGTACAGCTTTTTGGTGTAGAATAAGAACAAGTTTGTATCTTGCGGTGTATCATGTAGAAGTAGCACGGCTAGCACCTGCAAGCACATGGACAGGTAGGATCCGCGGTGGCCGTGGTTCGAAAATGGCATCCAACTGTCCGGTTGGTTATTAGAAACTGTATTGAACAGACTGCACAAGAATGAGAGCACAACGGGGCGGTCCAACTCCATTGTGATAAAATTCAACGCATGCTTCTCCGTGTCCATAAGTTTTTCAGGCCCAATATACATGGACTTCGAAAACAGCACCAGTAACAACCGCATGACTTCCGTGCGACGGCTTAGATGCTCACTAGTTGCACCGCTGAGGTCCACCGGACTCCCGATACCTGCCTCCCAGATTGTGAAGTGCACACGACTGATTTCTGAGGTCTCGGCGGAGACAAACTGCTCTTCTGTCCAAGGCATTGTAAACCCAGAGTAAAAAAGAAGCTCCATCAATGTCATGAGCAGCACATAGCCTGTACATGGCTGTTCCTGCGTATTGGTATTCTGTTCAGTGGTGCCGTCTTGTAAAGGATCAGTCATTGTTTCATTACCGTCTGTCAGAATGAACTGGTCATCAATCGAGTTGTCTCCTTCGGACGATTTGGTATCGGCGCGTACAATTGATCTCTTCATGCTGCTCGATGGCACACCGCCGTTGCGCTTCTTCGCCGTCCACAAAGCCGAAAGTTCCAAGTTAACAATGTCTGTGTCCTCTTTCACGCATGTCTGGTATTCGTATAATATAGGAACGATGCGCGAAAGGACTCTGCAGCAGTTCAGCGCCTCTTTTTGACGATCCCTTTCGTCGACGCGCCGAGGTGGCGCTGTGCTCGCGAACAAAGCCCCCCAGCCACCTGGGTTGTTCGGAGGTACAGGAGCAAAATTCGGATCATTCACCAGGCTCTCCAAATGCATAGTAAGCACTTCGACTAGAGTAACCACATTTTCGGGAGCATCAGTGGCTGCCCTTCGGAGTTTTGCGAGAGTAAGAGTCGTGAATACCTCCTCTGCACTGTCAAAGAGGGTCGTAAATTGGGCCCAAAAGCGATGATCTGCGGCAGAAATATGTCTCTCTGTATACAATCGCGGAACACCTGCTTCCAAAGACGTCTTAAACTCTTCTTTGGAGGTATCCCTGCCAAAGAACAGCTTGGACGGATACGCCAACATGTCCATGGTAAAAGGACGTGCGCTATGAAGCACGGATGTACTTTGCTTTGTAAGCAATACGCGTTCGCCGTGGGTCGTTCAATGGGCCCGCTGCGCTACTCGACCACAGTTCCCTCCCCCCTTTGTCTTCGACTCTACATGTCTGAGCGGCGTGTGGACAAATCAGACCCTCGAATGGTGGCTGCAATCCGGCCATTGACGATCCCGAAAGCATGGGAAGAAGAACAGCGTGTGAGCATCTACGAGACCATGCTTAGCAGTATGTCGTATGTACAACATTGTGAGTAATTTCTGACATGGTAGCCTCATGACATCTATGGCTGTCATTTCACCGTATCCTGACTTGACGGCGCTTGGTCTACTATTCTCAGGTGCACTTGTTATGAATTTGAAGCCCCACTCGAAGCGCAAGGAGAGTAGTGACCTAAACACCAATGCATATACCAGCTATTTGTATGTCTGCGCCTATGAAACTGACAGTTCCAGCTTTGCCGCCCTGGTGACGGTGTTCTTGGCTCTTCGCAAAGTGTGTACGATAAATCTATCTAACATACGCAGCTTCTGGTAACCTAAACTTAATATATAGTCCATCATATCGTCTCCTAGGGACTTCCCTGCGGATGAGACTACAGTCGCTGTCCCTAGCACTGGTACGATATGGTCTAGCTCAATCTGATGCACGTGATACGGACCTAGCGTCGTATTGGGACGTGCGATCTATAGTCCCGTTTCTCCACCTACATTTTCCAACATGTCTGGTATTACGGACGACCAGGCGTACCTTCTTTCGCACAGAGGTCTTCAGGGTATGCTCGCGCTGCAATTTGCTGACATGCAGGTGTTCAAGTGGCCGCTGTGGCTGCTACGCCCTTGTACCTTCTGCAATCAATCCGGAAGGGTAGATTCTCGATGCGCGGTCTTGCGAGCTACAACTGGGTCGTCCCTATTCTCGGTGGCGCTATCGGTGCTGCGGCCGGATGGGGCGAGTCGATTCAGCTTACAACGCCTGTGCTGGCATTCCGCGTGGCCGGCGTGCGGGCCTCGGAGGAGCGCATGCGCCGTGACGACTTCCACCTTATCGGCTCCGTGGTGGGTGCCTTGACACTCCCTGCGCTCTTGTTGCGTCGCGTCGGCCTCATTAATGGTCTTTTGGGTGGTGCGGGTCTCGGTGGTGCTGTGGGTGTTCTCTCGTTCTACGGTAAGCGCTACGCCGATGAGGGCAAGCTCCCTGATCTGCCGCTGCCTGAGTCTGTTTCACAGAAGTAGTTGCCGTAATATCTATACTTGTCCGATGCTGCTAGGTGTGCAGTGTATACTGCCATTCAACCCACGCTATTCGGTGATGGACTCCGGCTCCTGGGTCAGGGTAGCCTTGTTTTGCTCGTCCTGTTCCCTTGCGTCATCTCCGTCCAAATCCCACGTTTCCGTATCTTCTTCAGTTTCTGGATGCACCCCTGACAAGACCTGATGGGGGCTGTCTAGGTTATCCAGGTCTTCAGCACGGAACTGGAGTGACGATGGCGACCCCGGTGTAGCGGGCTGGGCCTGTTGCTCTTGGTTGGCACCCGACATTTCACTGTCGAGTTGTTCGCGAGTGTTCTCCGAGACCAGGGTCGCCCGGCGCTTTGGTCTCTTATCCAGCGCTGTGCGGATAAAGTGCCGCATGCTCTGAAATGCTTTCCGGCTAGCCTCCAAGAAAAGAAAGAATTGGAAGACGTGCACACAGTCTTCGTAAATCTCATGGCGCACAGGCACACCTACCAGGGCGCACTTGTGGGCGAAAAGCACATTCTCGTCACGCAGCACCTCTGCATCGCCCGTTTGTATGAGCATTGGTGGGAGGCCATGCATGTCGCCGAATAGTGGGCTCACATAAGGATGCATGAGATACTTGCTCATGTTAGGCCCTAGATAAGCATTCACCGGATTCATATGGTCGCCTGTGCCCGGCCGCGGTAAGTAGTCAAATTCCTTGTTGGTCTCCCATGAGTCGCACGAAAGTGTCAAATCCACCCAGGGGCTCATTAAAATCGCACCGCTCGGCAAGGGGTATGCATTGTCTCGCAGATACATCATCAAAGCGATCGCCAGACCAGCCCCAGCACTGTCCGCTGCCAACACGATATTGTTGGCAGGAATATGTAGGTCATCAGTCAGGCGGAAGTAGGCGTAGACAGAGTCTAACAGGGCACCAGGAAATACCGTGTCGGGTGCCAAGCGGTAGTTGATGCAAAAGACGCGGCACTCACAATACTTGCTAAGGGCAATTGTGATCGGCCGGTGTGTTGTCGCAGACATAACGTAGTAGGCACCTCCATGCACATACAAAATCACACGCTCAGTTCGCGATCGTTTCCCGCTCTGCCATTCCGCTTGCAGTCGACGCCAGGTGTGTTTACCAACAATCCATTCTCCTGTCAGCTCCCGCTTACCGGTTTCTTGTGTGTCTTCCGATTTTAAAAAGCCTTTCAAGTTACGTCGTTTGACTTTGAACGTGACAGGAGTAATCAAACCGTCATCAGGGATCGGCAAAAACCGCAGTAATTCCAGTCCCTTCTGTAGTCCTTGAATGGTAGCTAAACCACTGTGCCGCTCCGCAATCTCCCGGATGGTGCGCGTGAGAATCGACATTTCCACGCCCCATGACTTTTTGGGAGGTCCATAGATCACATGTGATACAATAGCACTGCCAATGGATAAACCCTGGTTAAACAGTGCCGGGACAGCTTTGAGGGCCTTCGTCACAGTGAGGCTTTCTTGTGGTCGCAACTCAGCCTCAGGATCCACGCGGGAGTAGGCGGGCAGTTTCCCAGTTCGATATTGCTCCAGTAACTTGTTCAGAATTTGTATAGTGTTTGCACTGCTATCCTGAGTGACATCGGACGAGGAGTCGCGGATATAGTGCCGTGTGTATGAAGAAGCACTAGAGTCATTCTTCTTGTCTTCCAACGCCCCTGTATCCTTCTCCAGCAAAGAGGCTTTACTCTTTGCATCCACATCTCCCATTCCCGGCACTGATGCTGGTGACTCGTCTAGCTGATGCCGAAGCCGCTTAATAAATTCGTCGACGATGGAGAAGCTCGCATCCGAGTCTGCACGAAGGCGCTTGCGCATACGCTGCAGCTCTTCCAGTCCATCAACCTGAGCAGACAAAATGCTGGCCTGAGGTGCTTGTGAATGCTCTTCTGGAAGCGTAGGGCGGTTGAGTTCGGGAGACGGATGGTCTGGCTGCTGCGTCGGTTGAACCAACCAAGGGTGCATCAAGGCTTCATGGGCTGTCATCCGCTCGGATTTATGGCATAGACACCGTCGAATAAAGTCTTTGGCTGCTTCAGATTGCGTGCACCAGTAGGGTTCATGGAACTTGTAATCGAAGTGGACAATTTTGTCAAATATGTCGCTCAGTTCAGGTGCCATGAACGGTGTATACCCGCCAAGCAGGGCATAGGCAATCACCCCGCACGACCATATATCGACCAACTTGTCATAACCCACGCCGAGCAGCACTTCGGGGGCGACATATTGAGGCGACCCACACGATGTGAGCAGCAGTCTCTCTTGGGGCATGATACGAGCGAGGCCAAAGTCAGAGATGACCATCTTTTCGAATATATCATTGCGATTAGCAACGAGAATATTCTCTGGCTTGAGATCACGGTGCACAATCTCACAATCATGCAGGTAGGCCACGCCTGACAGGAGCTGGCGCATCACGCGCTGGGCATCCGCCTCGGTAAAACTTGTTCGTTGGACGATACAGCCGAACAATTCTTCTGTGTATCGGTCCATTACGATAAATAATGCCTCGTTGGTTTCATACAGGTCCCATAGTCGGATCACATTGGGATGTTCCACCTTCGATAAGATCTGTACCTCATCACGGGCCATTCGCGCTGGAAGCACTTCCGATTCATCGCCAACATCCTTGCAGTTAAACGGATTCCTTGCAATAATCTTCACAGCTCTTTTTGCACCTGTTTCCTTCTCCACACATGTTCTAACGATGGCGAAAGTGCCTTGGCCCAAGATTTCATCAAGCACATCGTACTTTTCCTTCATTCCATCGGGAAGGAGATCAACACCGGACTCTATGAACTGTAATTAGCATCATTCATAACTTACATGGGCGAGCCATCCTTGGTTTGTCTGCATACGTATGAGCCGACAATTCTAGGACGTACAGATGCGACTTGGCTCATGCCTCACTCCAATGTGGGGCTGGAGGCGGGGTCTGGCTCGACCTCGGACCCCACAAGTCACATGACCGAATGGATGCCCGGCATCGTGCTGCGGCGTAGATGAGCGGCTCGCTCGTTCGACGGTGTATGGACGTGGGACATGCTATGGTACAATATATGCTTACAGAATCGGTTCCCAACTAACCCCGCACCCACATCCATTCCCTTTCGCTTGGGGATTTTCTTTGATGGCGAACTGGCTTCCGATCAGTTCCGTGACATAGTCAATCGTGCTGCCCTTGACCAGTCCCAAGGAGACACTGTCGATGATAACTCGAGCATCCCTCTCTGTGAAGACACTTGTGTAAGCAAGATATACATACTAATCATCTTCTTCGTAGTCACTCGTAAGCTCGAGCTTGTACACATAGCCGTGGCAGCCACCGGGTTCTACCGCCACACGCAGGCCTAGCCGATCGTCGTGCTCCTTTTCAGCCACTGTGCGGAGCTTCTGGGTCATGTTAAGCAAAGATCACATACCTCAATTGCACGCTCTGTCAACAGAACGCCCAGGACATCGCCCTCCAAAGCCGTCGTATCCTCAGGGTGTTCCGGCTTTTTAACAATACTCACGAAGCCTCGACAATTTGGGCACCAAGGCAAAGAGTTAATGGAAGTAGGGGAGCGCATGCGGGCAACGCCACCTACCGTCCAGCTGGCTGGCATCCGTGCTGCGTGCGCCGCAAAAAGCGTGCTTGTCGCAGGTCGTATCCATGACCGAGTTGCCGTGCCAAGACGGAGCATAGCTGGTAAGTGGCTATCGGAAACCTGGCCACACCTTGCGGTCGGACCACACAACGCATCTGCCAGAAACGCAACGAAAGCACAGTCCACGTGGTACACGTGACGGAACCGGTCGACTGCGGCTTGCAGTTTTCGCGGGCGAAGAACGGCGGAGGGCGCACCTACACCGGCGAAACGCGGAGGCGCTGTAACTCTTCGACTTGCGATCATCATGAGTATCGAGGAGATTTCGGACGATGTAAAGGACGTGCGTATCAGAGTCATGTTTTCAACTGTGGAAATACTAACACCTGCCCCAAATTCGTATGTGTAGCTTAAGGTCCAGGATGCCGAGGCTGAGGTGAATGACGGCGAGGTTGACGTGCCCGAGCGTATCCAATCGCGTGCCGAACGCAAGAGCCGCAAGACGCTGCAGAACATTGGCCTCAAGAAGGTTCCGGGTATTCAGCGTGTGACTCTGCGCCGTCCTCGCGGTGTACGTATTGTGTGAAAACTTACCTGTAGCACCTGTACGTGGTGGCCAACCCGGAGGTGTACAAGTCGCCTGTGTCGGACGTGTACATTGTCTTCGGTGAGGTGAAGAACGAAGACATGAGTGCCTTTGCCCAGGCCCAGGCGGCTCAGATGGCCCAGGCCCAGGCTCAGGAAAAGGTTTTGGCCGATGCGGCTGGCGGCGCTGCCGAACCCAGCTTCAACGTCAGCGACGTCGCTTCCAAGAAGACGGTTGAAGACGATGATGAAGACGATGACAGCCCGATCGATGAGACGGGTGTGGATGCCAAGGACATTGACCTTGTTATGGAGCAGGTGTCGTGCTCGCGTCGCAAGGCTGTCAAGGCGCTGAAAGAGAACAATGGCGACCTGATCAACGCCATTATGAGTGTAAGCTGAGGGGTTGTGCCACCTCTACGACCACGCTTAAGAGGTTTCGGGTGCCGGTGCCAGGTATCCTGGACGCATCTTCAACCTCTGCATAGAAAATAGCTGTACCGTGGCTTGTCTTGTTATACGAGGGGTGTCATCGGCGCTGCCGTGTGGCCGGCCATGGAGGATGCTTTGGATTATGTCATCCTGGCTGGTCAAGTGATCGGGGCTGGTACGCGTAGGGCTACCACCAGGTGCCGTTGTGGGATTCTCGACCATGTCGCGGTCTTACGATAGAGCACTTACTGTGTTCTCTCCGGATGGCCATCTCTTCCAGGTCGACTACGCACTCGAGGCGGTGCGCAAGGGCACATGCGCTGTACGTACGAGCCGCGGCTAACGATCAGGTCGGTATCCGCGGCAAAGACGTGGCCGTATTGGGTGTTGAGAGAAAGAGCTTGCAGCAGCTCCAGGACCCCCGCACCGTTCGCAAGACGGTCATACTGGATGACCATATCTGCCTGGCATTCGCGGGTCTGAATGCCGATGCACGCATCCTCGTTGACCGTGCGCGTGTTGAGTGCCAGTCCCATCGTCTCACTGTGGAAGATCCCGTCACGGTCGACTACATTACGCGTCATATCGCGGGAATTCAGCAGGTATGCTTTTTCGACTGACGCAGAAATATACGCAATCGGGGGGTATGCGGCCCTTTGGTATCTCGACGCTCATTATCGGCTTTGACCACAGCGACCCGGTGCCACGTCTCTACCAGACGGAGCCGTCGGGTATGTTTTCTGCGTGGAAGGCCAACGCCATTGGCCGCTCGTCTAAGACGGTCCGCGAATTCCTCGAGAAGAACTACAAGGAAGATATGCACGAGGACGAGGCCGTGAAGCTGGCTGTAAAGAGCTTGCTGGAAGTGGTCCAGACCGGTGCTAAGAGTATGTGCGCAGCACTCACACTAGATATCGAAATTACCGTCATGACAGGCCATGGCCAAATGAAGGTGGGTCTTGGCTCACTGACACCAGATCCTGGCGCTGGAGGAAGTCGAAGCAATTGTCAAAGCGATTGACTCTGAGCATGAGGCAGAGGCGGAGCGTCGCCGTACGCGCCTGGCTGCTACGGCGAGTGCAGAGGCTTCCATGTCGGGCGGCCGGGCCGACTAGGTCTCTACGTAGCTAAGCACGCCGTTGCCTTCTATTCCACCACGATCGGAGCGTGCTTGGTGTTTGTCCGGTAAACTCTGATGCACGCTGGACGTAGGAAAGGAGCCAAGCTTGTTCACTTCGGCATGGGCGACCAAACTCTGTCTCGTCGTCCTCGTACGCCCGCTGCGCATGCATATGTAGTTCCGGCGAATCTGGCGCCACAGAGCGCCATGCAAACGTCGACTCGTCCGTATCTTGCTCATCCATAGAGGGCCGCAGCGGGCGCGAGTCTATCGGGCTTGACTGCCTGGGGTATATCCGATAGATCCATGAATGCAAGGCATGTGGTACCAAGCGAAGCCAGCCTGGCGCCGGCACAGCGGCGTCTTGGAGGCGGATTGGGCCCGGAGTGTCTTGGGCCTCTGGCGCCTGGACTCGGCTTTTAAGTAGGCCTGGCAGCGTGACAGCAATAATAACCAGGGTCATAAGCATAGCGTTCCGCCATGTAAATAGGCGAAAGGCCTGAGGTCCCGCGAGCTGGCCGAGCTGGTCGCCCACAGCGGTATACACGAGGGTCGAGCAGCACACACCCAGCAGCGTCGACAGCCAAAAAGTGAAGAGTGGAATGTTGAGATGCGGGGCCATGATGTTAACTAGGAAGTGCGGTGGGAACGGCATCATGCGCAGCATCGTCATGTACGAGAGCATCTGGTGTTGGTACTGCTGTGTGACCGCTTTCCACGTATCAATGCGTTGTTGCCAACGTGGCATAGTACGCACGATGCTGCCCACATACCGGCTGAGAAGGTAGCACAGCGTCGCGCCATTCGCAATAGATAAGCATACAAGCGGTAGGGCGATGACGACGTTCCACAGGGCGCCGGCCAGGATCGTTAGGTACATGGCGCCAGGAATCGAGAAGGTTTGAATACTGCGGGTGAGCTGAGCGCACATACAATAGAAACACCGACACCCACACGAACATGACAGCCCCCATGTGCTCCTCGTTATACTTGCTTAAGACCTGGCTGAGTTGTTGGAGCTGGCGGAAGGAACGCGGCAGACGCATAGTAGCACGTTCCTCCGCCGTCATGGGGGGCAGTACAAAGAGCAGCACCATTCCCACAAAGATTGCGCTCAGCGCAAAGAGCGTCATGGCCACCAACACGGTCCGCACTATCAAGCGTCGCCGCTCGACAGGCGGCAGGGGCAACGGCGCGTGGCTCTCGTGGTAGGTAGGCAGCGACTGCCACGCCAGCGTCGAGGCCATAAAGGGCGTATCAAGATGTATCTCATCGTCGCCAGCCTCCTCATCGAGGCGAATGTCCGGTGCAGTGGGGGCCATTGCTCGCAATGAGCCAGTGACAGCGGAGAGCGCGCGTGGAGGCGCGACGTGGCCCCGATGCCTGGCGCGTGCGAGCGGCATGAAGCCGCCCTGCGTCCAGCCGGCGCTCAGGCCGCGTCGACATAGTCTTCCTCAGGGGACATGGCTTCTTCCTCGCGCATCCTACCTACTCGAGCGCAAAGATAAAAGCAGGCCTCGGGTGAGAGCGGCATGCCGATATCCTCAATGCGCTCCCCCACACCGTCCTCCGCCGCATCCGAGCGAGATCTACCGACGGCCTTTCTAGATGAGGGTATGACTCACGCGCTAACCGATGTTCTGCGTCTCGAGGCTACACGTCAGCTTGAAGAGCGATGGAATGGGATGGAAAAGTGGGTCAATGATCGCATGCGCGTCGTCGAAATGCAGTTGATGCATATGGAGCGCCAGTTTTGGAAGCGCAGCCACGCTGCGGTATTCAAAGGACCACCACGCACGCCTCTCTCGTCCGTGGATTCGTCCAGTCTCTCGAGTTTGTCGTCTATTACGCCCATCAGCGCCTCGCCCGACATCGACTCGCCCCGCTCGCTCGATGCATGTGAGGCACCATGCTCGCCCGAGTCGACGAGCTGGCTGTATTCCATCATGGAGGACACCGAGTCCCCCCTCCCTGGTACGCCCACATACTTACACACAGGCGCAGCAGCTTTCCAGCACGCACTGCTGCTCGAGCCGTCGGCGTCCAAGAACGCCAAGGCTGGCCCTGCCACCGACCTCCCCCAGCTCTGGGCGCCGCCACCCTCCCCGCCGGCCGTCCAGCCCGAGAGCCTTAACATTCAGGCCAAGCTTCGCGCGCTTCTGGGCAGTGATCGTCCAGAACTGAGTGCGGAGCTGCAGCGTATCCTCAAGCATGGCCCACACACTGTGCGCCGCAGCCTGCTCGAGCATATGCAGCCCATCCTCATACCCTTGGCGCAGGATCACCTGGGTCACTTCGTCGTGCTACGCGCGCTTCGCGTGGAGCCTGCTCTCGGGCAGCGGCTTTGCGGCCACGCGGCTACCCTCGTCCGCAATCCGCACGGCGCCCGAGTCGTGCAGTACCTGCTGGACCAGGACTCGGGCCTGCAACATCGTGCGTTGACCGAGCTACTCGCGTGCGACCTAAGCCAAACGCTTCTCGCGCCCGAGGCGCTTCCCGTGTGGCGCCAGGTGCTTAGCACAGATTGGACAGATTCGAGCATTCGGTCTCGCTTCCGCAGCGCGGTGAACGAGGCACTGCAGGGGCAGTGGGTCGCTACGGCCAACACAGAAGGCGGCAGTGCCCTGTGCCAGAGTCTCGTCGAGCACCACTGGCTCGGCGAACACGATAGTGGCGTGCAGGAGCTGCTCGACCACTTTCTCGACATCGCATGCCACCAGTGGGGCGTTTGGGTCGTCCAGCACATGCTCGAGCATGGCACAGCGGCCCTGCGGGCCGCCATCGCGCACCGGCTCTTGCAGGCTGCCAATGTCGTATCACTCTCATCGTACGGCGGCAAGGCTATCCAGTCGGCCCTGCAGTGGTGCGGCGACGCGTTCCAGCGGTCATATGCGGAGCGCCTGTGCCAGCTTGGAGGGCCAGTGCGCCCTTCGCGCACAGGCAACGCCACGCTCCGTCCCCTGCTGATTGACCTGGCAGCCGCGCAGCACGGCCTGCCGATCATAACCGAAGTACGTGAAGCCACTCACACAGCTCTTGACCACGGCTCATCCCGCACGGCGCACCCTCATGATTCGTCTCGTCGAGCGGCATGCGGCCTTCCTCAAAGGGAATCGCTCTGGCGCGCGCGTGTGCCTCCTGTGCGAACGCGCTCGTGCCATCGCTACTCCGTAACTAGGCGACACACGCATCGCGCAGGAGTGCACGCAGCTGGGCAGCGCGCCGCTGTGCGTGTTCGAGGCAGAACTGCACGAGCTCGGGGAACGCCAGCTCGCGCGGCTCGCGCACGGCACAGTGCCCGAGCACCTTGATCCAAAACGCTTCCTCACTGTCGGCGCCGTCGACAAGCCCGAGATGGAGACGACCCATTGCGAGCGACTCTTCGAAGGCTGTCATATCCGCAAGCAGGTAGGTAGAATCATGTACGCCAAATGTCGCGAGAATGGGCATGCCATGGAGCGCGAGGGGCTGGGTATCATGCGCATCAAATACAGCTTGGTCCACGGACGGTACGCTGCGAGGCACAGGGAGTCGACATTGGTGCAGCGCGGCGACCGCCGCAAGCGCGGCAGCATCCAGCACCGAGCCATCGGCGCTCAGACATACCACATCGACAAAGATACTCCAGACCGCTACGCCCTCCTCAATACATAGCGACGAGCGCGGGAGAATGTTGGATGCATTGAGAAACATCTGTAGCTGGTGCGCCATGACTTGCGCGTCTTCGCTGGGCGGGCCCGCCTTGTACTGCGGCGAGCACAGCGGCGAGAGGTCCACGGTTGGCACGAGAAACCCCTCATTTGGGCGTTCGTACGCGGGCTTGCACAGCTGCGCATGAACGCCTGCTACCACCATCGTGCTCTGCCCCCAGCGCACCAGCGCGCTGCCCCGCGCATGCGACAGCGTGCCGACGGCCACCGATGCGGGACGCCCATCCGTGAACGCCCGTCCATCCTCACGCACACGCTGTTCTAAATGCCGCTGCAGGTACTCAGCCGGATAGAGCTTCTTGAACGTGGTCATGGGCGCAGCATCCGCGCCACTGGCGACCTCAGTCATGGCGGTCGGAGGAAGCAAACGTCGCTTTGTCAGCATGGCGCCCACCTTGGCGATGGTCACCACTGTATCGGCGCCCGGCAAGGTGCTCCTCGCAGGCGGCTACCTGGTCCTTGACCCCGCGTACACGGGCTTGGTGCTTGCTACGGATGCACGCTTCTACACAAGCGTCGCGACGCTGCCCCCTCAGGGCATTCCACGCATACGCGTGCGCTCGCCGCAGTTCCGGCAAGCCGAGTGGGTGTACGACGTACTCATCCCACCCTCCAGCGCGGGCAAGGCCCCAGAAGCCGTGGCTGAGGAGATGCGTCTGGTGCAGAGTAGTGAGTTGAATCCGTTTGTGGCCCTGTCTCTCCTGTACGCCGTGCAGCTCGCCCTAGAACAGCTCGGCGTCGATCGCGCAGTCAAGGCACTCGGGGGCGGCCTGGACATTGTCATCGCCGGCGACAATGACTTTTACTCGCACCGCCGCGACGGCCAGGTGCCAACCATCGCCGCTCTGCGGTCTCTCGCGCCGTTCCACGCGCACAACTGCGTCCTGAGTGACGTGCACAAGACCGGACTTGGGTCAAGTGCAGCCATGACCACGTCGCTCGTCGGCGCCCTGCTCATCCACCTTGGCATCGTAGATGCGTCGCCCTCGCATGCCCTTCCACCACGCTCGCTCGCCCTCATACACAACCTGGCCCAGCTCGCTCACTGCGCGGCCCAGGGCAAGGTGGGCTCCGGCTTTGATGTCTCGGCGTCCGTGTGGGGCAGCCAGGTGTACCGCCGCTTCGATCCCGCGCTCCTCCAGGGTCTCATCCGTGCCGAGCAGGGGCAGCGCATTGTCACCCAGGGCGCGGCCCCAGCAGCCCCGCGCGAGCCCCGCGCCTTGTCGCCTGTCCTGCAGCCATCGGAGACGCTATGGACGCCCGTCGCGCCCGAGGGCGCCACACCCACCGCTGCTGAGGGACTACTTGCTGCGCTACCCTCGGACGGGGTGCCGCGGCCTGCACCACTGAAGCTGCCGCCGGGCGTGCGTATGTGCCTTGCGGATGTCGATGCGGGTTCCAACACTCGCACCATGGTCGGCCAGGTCAGCCAGTGGCGCGCGCAGCATCCTGAGTGGGCCCGGCAGCTGTATGCCGTTCTGGCAGCGGCGAACCAATCGGTGGTCGACGGACTGCTCCAATTGCACATCATGCATGCTATGGACCCCAAGGCCTATGCGGAGGTACTGTCGCTTCTCGCAGGCACGCCATCGACACAGTGGGACTCGCTCCGTACGGCTCCGTCGCCTGCGCTCGAGGCATTTATTGCGCTACGCAATGCAATGCGCTCAGTGCGTGGTGGTATGCGCGAACTCGGCACACGCTCCGGCGCACCGGTTGAGCCCCCGGAGATGTCGCGTCTCCTGGATACGACCATTGCCGGCGCGCCTGGCCTGCTTGGCGGAGGTGTACCGGGCGCTGGTGGCTACGATGCACTATTTCTTCTCTTTCTGTCTCCTGCCAGCCTCACGTCACCTGCGCCCGTCTCGGCGCCTGCCGACGTGTGTGCGCTGTGGCAGCAATATACGGAGCTCCGCGTGGGGCCCTTGCTCTGCGGAGCGGACGATCCCACTAGCGCGGCTGCGCCGAGTCCATGTGCTAGCGCGGATGAAGCCATGCAGCACGTTGCTCATACGCTCGCACACTCGCGCGGCGGCCTGCAAATCGTCGCAGCGGACGCGGTCCCTGGTCTCGCGCCGTTGGTACACCTTCTTAGCTGACTAAGCGACATAGCTCCTTCCCTGACGACGATGGCAGCGGCGCTCTTGCGCGAGGCACTGCCACAGCTCGACGAGCCGATCGTTACGTACCTGGATCGATACATCCAGGATGCCGGCGAGGATCCTGAAGTTGATGTCATGGCGCAAGCAGTGTGTCCGATCCTGGAGTCGGTCGTGGTGAGCGATCCACCGAATTCGGCCGCGCGGCAGGCCCTGCCAGCGCTGCTCCAGCAGCTGCGTGCGCTCGTGGCGGAGCGCCTGCCTACGGATTCTGACCCGCGGCAAGGCCTCACGCGTCTCGACAAAGTCGTCGATATGAGCGCGGCAGGCGCAAGCAGCACCACGGCCTACGACGCCGGCAACGACGGCATTGACCTGGCCCTCGGCAAGTCGACTCGACACCGCACGACGGTCGATGTGAAGAAGCTGGAGCGCCAGGAAGCCAAAACGCGTGCTAAGCTGGCCAAGCGTGCGCAGCGCGACCTGTACGAGTCGAGCAAGCTCGTGGAGAACGCAAAGAAAATGGCCTCGTACGAGGAAATGTACATGCAGGTCAACCCGCTCGAGTCCATCAGCGCTGGTGCCGCGCGCGGCAAGAACAAGGATATTTACCTGCCCAACATCGATGTGAGCTTTGGCAGCCACCGCATCCTCACCAACGCCGAACTTACCATGGCCCATGGCCGCCGCTATGGTTTAGTCGGCCGTAATGGTGTGGGTAAAAGTACGCTCCTGCGCCACATGGCGCTGCGTGATGTGCCGATCCCTACAAACATGTCGCTATTGTACGTTGAGCAGGAGATTGTCGGCGACGATACGCCCGCCGTCGAGGCCGTACTCAAGGCCGACGTGTGGCGTGAGAAGCTGCTGAGCGAGGAGCACAAACTCCAAGCCGAGCTACAGTCGCTCGAAGACTCAGCCGCTGCCGCTGTAGCGCGCGCAGATGTCGACAATGGACTTGCGCAGGGCTCCGCCGTCGACCTTCCCACGCGCCAGCGCGAAAATCAGCGCGATGAGCTGCTGTCGCGCCTCGGCGACATTCAGACCAAGCTGGTCGAGATGGAGGCTGAGACGGGCCCGAGCCGCGCGGCCACGCTTCTGAATGGTCTTGGTATCGTGGGAGCGGACCAGCGAAAGCCGACCAAGGCATTCAGCGGTGGTTGGCGTATGCGCCTCGCGCTCGCTCGTGCCCTCTTCTGCCAGCCTGATCTGCTCATGCTGGATGAACCGTCCAACATGTTAGACCTGAATGCTATTGCTTGGCTCGAAGACTACCTGGTGAATGAGTGGCAGGGTACCCTCCTCGTCGTATCGCATGACCGCGCCTTCCTTAATCAAGTGGCGACCGATATTGTACACATGCACTCGGAGCGCCTCGACTATTACAAGGGTAACTTTGACCAGTTCTATGAGACCCGCGACGAGCGTCGGAAGAACCAGCTGCGCGAATACGAAGCAAACCAGCTGAAGCGCGCGCAGCTCCAGGCGTTTATTGATCGATGGCGATACAACGCCAATCGCGCTGCGCAGGCGCAGAGCCGCATCAAGGAGCTGGAGCGCCTACCTGTGCTCGAGCCGCCAGAGAAGGAGTCGGGCGAGCACTTTACGCTGCCAGAGGCCGAGAAGATCAGCCCGCCGCTCCTGCAGCTGGACGACGTGACCTTTGGCTACTCCCGGGACAAGATCCTGCTGCGTCATATCAACTTCGATGTCACAATGGACAGTCGTATCGCGCTGATCGGCAGCAACGGCGCAGGTAAATCGACCCTGATCAAGCTGCTGATCAACCAGGTTGCGCCGCTCTCGGGCGATGCTAAGCGCAACCCCCGTTTGCGTGTGGGGTACTTTTCGCAACACCACATCGACCAGCTCGACTTAGCCATGAGTCCTGTGGCCTTCCTTGCGTCGCGGTTCCCCGGGCGCACTGAACAAGAATACCGCCAGCACCTCGGCTCCTTTGGCATCACAGGCACGACTGGTCTCCAGCGAATTGCTACGCTCAGTGGTGGCCAGAAGAGTCGTGTCGCGTTTGCCCAGCTCAGTCTTATGAAGCCCCATGTCCTCCTTCTCGACGAGCCGACCAACCACCTGGATATCGAGGCTCTGGATGCGCTCGTTGATGCGATCAACCGCTGGAACGGCGGTGTGATTGTCGTGAGCCACGACGAGCGCTTCATCCAAAGCTGCCTCCGCGAATTGTGGGTGTGCGACAATGGTACCGTCTACAAGTTTGTCGGCGATGTATCGTCCTACAAACGCATCATTGTCGAGTCTAATAAAAAGAAGCTCGAGGAAGCTATGCGTGCCGATGCCTAGGCTGCCGGTGCTGCATAGGCCAGCGCTCTGGCCACCGCCTCTTGCGTCGAGCTGAATGCCTCCATCACAGTATCGTAGCCTGTACCAGGAGCCGCCTCTTCGGCCGTCTCAGCAATGCTTTGAACACGACTCGTCGTGTTCTGCAGTACTCGCACCATCTGGTGCGCTTTGGACACGCGCTGCTCGAGGGGACTCGCCGCGAGCGGTGCACCAGTCCCATGCTCGACAGCCGGCAGCACCGCCTGCCAAAAGTGCTGCAAAAACTCACAGGTGGCAGCATGGCACGAAACCATTTGTTTATACACAGTCGGGGGCAGCACATGAACCGTCGTGGCCTGCCGACCTTCTTTTTGCTGCGTCATATTCTTAAGCATATCGTCCAAGGCATGCCGCATCGTCGAGCCGGGCGGCGCCGCGCGGGTCAAGTCAAGGTGCCATGCCTGGAGGTGCGCCCGAAACTGCTCCGCATCAACCTGCGCACCGCTGTTTGCAGCATGGTCCCCCACTGCGCTTGCTCCATAATACGCGTTGGGGTCCTGGATATCCAGTCGCCGCCTGGGAGCAGCAACACGTTCTTTCAAATCGTCCAGTACAATCGCTGTCTCGTAACGCGTCGGTTCTGACGGTGACCCATACTCCTCTCCTACACCTCCTGTCTTGCGGCGCACTCGCCGTGCATCAGCTTCAGTAAGCTCGCCAAGCGACGAGTTGAGAAGCGACTCGGCATGACGATTAAAGCGCCGCACCAAGGGCAGGGCACGGCGGTCATAGCCTGGACGCATCGTCCAGTCCTGTGTATTCCCCGTCGCTTCATGGTCTTGCTCTGTGGCCGACAAATCCAGCAGCGCATCGTGAGGGTTGTATTGTGTACGTGGCTCGGGTTCTGACGTAAGTAGGTCAACGTACGATCGTCTTCAGGCTCAAGGTATCGGTCGAAAATGTCGTCGTCCGGAAGGTGCTGTTCCGAGGCCGCCGACCGCTGTGACGTACGAAGCCGATGGTACAGCTTTGACTGGAAATAACGCATCCAAAAGGTACTCTCATCTAGCCTCTGCGGCACATTTTCGTCGTACGCGCGTGTCAGTACCGGGTATTGCTCAAAAAGCTGGCGTATCAACTGCGGCGTGATGTTGATCTTCAATTCCCCCGACTCACCCTGCGTCGGATGAGGATCAGCGATCCGCGCACTTCGTCCCGTGCGTTGTTGTACACGCGCTCGTTCAGCGCGTAGAAGAGCGGCCCGTGATGGGTGTGCCCAAAAGTCGGCGTCAGATAGGAGACCCGTGCCGACCACGTCCTTGTGAAGCGCAAGAAGGGAAGGATGCGCCAGGAGTACCTGACCACGCAGCTTCAGCTCCGAGATGGCCGAGACCTCGCCTTGCGCCCGGCCCGAGCTCGTGGAGTCTGTACGTGCCTGAGTCGGCCCTGAGCTCTCGGCGGAACGCACTTTGGCAATGGCGGCGGCTAGTCGTTCTTTAAAGAGTTCACGATGCGCCATAGCCGTCTCTCTGTCTGCATTAAAATTCAACATTGCACTGGTTTCTCCGTGTATGGTATGACCCTCTTTCGCTACCAGACGCAGGGCCACTTGCGCTGCACCTGGCTTCGACACTTGCATACCGTTCAAATTGTGGTCCTGAATTTGAAAGGCCGGAACGCTGCTAGAAGAGCTCGATGGAGTCCACTTTAAGACACCATCTGGTCCCAGTTTTAGTGTTCCAGGCACCTTTCGGTACGAAACGGACGCATATAGAGCCTGCGGCGCGCTCGTCGCCATGGCTCGCGATGAATCTGTCGCAGGTGGAGGGGTGCTATGCCACGTGTAGAGACCTAAAGTCGCCGCGCCAGCTGCACCGTGCGTGGTGACGACGATGGTCGGCAAGCTGAACTATTCCAAATGGGACAATCTTGAGCTGTCAGACGATTCAGACATTGAGGTTCATCCCAATGTCGACAAAAGCTCCTTTATTCGCTGGAAACAGCGTGACATTCACGAAAAGCGTGAAATGCGCAAGATTCGTCGTTCTCAACTTGAAGCGGAGCATCGCACAAACGAAGCGGTTACGCCTTTACTTACTGCCCTTTGTAAGCAGACAGATGAAGAGGGAGCGGCAACGTATTCGCGTGAGGTATCGCGCCTGGCAGCTGGTCGGCAGGCGCGAGGGAACAAAGACGGTCCCGATGGCCCCACACTAGAGGACATTCTCTTATCTCTGCTTCTCCAGATCAATGAAGAACCAAACGTGAAGAAGGCGCATGGTACATCTGATTTGGATGCTGCTCTTACTACCAGTATGAAGTCGCATCTGATCAAGATTGAAAAGCGCCAATCGGAGATCTCTAGCGAGCTTGCCGAGATGGACGAAGAGGACGCGCACAAGATTACTAGTGACAGTCTGCGCGACGGGTGGAACAGTGGACATGTCAGTAAGGAAAAGCCCTCACCCATTCCCGAGAACAAGGCAGCAAAGACGAGTCAACATATCGAGACACTGAACCCTGGTGCTCTCGCTGGATCCGCGGCGCCCTCTGCCCCGCCAAGCAAAGACGACTCTGATGATGAGGAGGTTCCTAGCGTAACACCCACTATGAAGTCGTTTGCTAGTCTTCCGTCGTCAATTGCTTCTCTACCGCTCAGTGCCGAGAGTCTGCCTGCCGATTTTCTCTCGTCCAAACGGCTCGACCTATCGGCCTTTGAAAAGATGTTCCAATTCATCGGCTCACACAAGGAATTGCTGCATCCTCAGTACGGGACGACGGATGCCCTTCTTATGCAGGCATTTGAGTCTCAAATGGCGGGCCAAAAAGCCCTTGCACGTATGTGCACTGAAAAGGCGCTTCTCATCCAGTATTGTCTTAAACTTGGTCGAGATGGCGTTAGCCTCTTTTTCCAGCGGTATGTATCTCACACTGATTCCAGGATGATGAATACGGATGGAAAAGCAGCTGTTCTATTCTTAAATGACGTTTTGGCGACATACACTCGCATCGCACAGCGAGCCAAGGCCCTCCGTGAACAGCAGCAGGAGAACAGCGAGGGCGTAGAGCAAATTCAACTTATGGCACAGGATCCGGGCACCGTGATTTCTTTCGATATCCCTGAGGGCCCACCGCCCGAGAAAATACGTCTCGAAGGCGAAGGTGTCGAGCATCTCGATGCTAATGAAGTACGCGAGTGGCTACAGCGTCGGTGGGATATTTACATGAGCTTCGATGAAGACTTCCGGGAAGCCCTTGCCTCAAAGAACCTAGATAAGGTAAATGAAGTGCTTGGCCGTATGCCTGTCTCAAAGGCAGAGGTCATTGTTCAGGACCTTGACCGCGCGGGCATCCTCAACTTTAGCAGCACTGAGGTACGCGATGAAACCCACGCGTAGGACAAACCGTCCTGTGATAGGCTGTGTATAGCACGTGACCTTTTTCGCCCCTTCCAGGGCGCCACCGCAAGAATGTTTGTGTTACGCCATGGCAAGCCCTGCGGGTCCCCCTGGCGGCCACGATAATTCTGCTGCATCGTTTCTTGGTGCCCTGATCTCACTTACATCACACTCAAATATACGCTATCAGGGAATTCTCTCCAATATCGATGCGGCTCATGCCACTTTGTCTTTGGAGAAGGGTACGTCGACACTGGTTAACACGCAGTGCAATCTTGGGGTACAGAGGGCCGATGCGCAGCTATGGGAAACCCGCAAGATGAGGTTTCCAAGGCAGACAATGTATATGACTATATTGTATTCCGCGCCGCTGACGTGGTTGATCTCCGCATTGATGATCCGTCTCCTAAGAATGACGTGGTAACACCTCAGCAGGTATGTATCATTCCAAGCAGTATCAGGACGAAACCATACGGATGTAAATGTGGATCTATGATCCCAGCTGTCCGAGAGCGCTTTCTCATGTGGATAGTTCCGCTGCCTTCCTACTGATTCTCTCTGCGTTCAAAGTAAGAACCATACTAACTTTCAGACACCTTCGCAACCAGCCGTTTCTCCCTATGATCCTTCGAATGACCCAAATTTATTGGGCTCTTATCCATCAATGTATTCGCAAATGCCACCACAAATGTATGCTATGCCGACTGAGGCTTACCCTTACGGTGGGTTTGTACCTCCTCCGTACATGGGACATACTATGTATGCCTACCATGGGCCCAACTTTGGGGCACCACCGCCTCATATGCAAGGTATGCAACCACCACCTTTCTTCCCGACGGCGCCGGACAGTGCATCATATGCGCCGAAGCAGTCGGGTGCAACAACTACGGCCTCTCGTCGCTCTCAGTCGCCAAAGAATGTGAGTGATGTGCAAAATAACTTGGCTTTCATGCAGGACAACGAGGCCAAGCCTGTCGATACGCAGCCGGCAATGAGAGATGCTCCATCGGCAACAACGTCTGCCTCAGTGCCCTTCTCTGCGCCTAAGCCAGAGGATGTGCCTTCCGCGAGCGAGGGCCCAGATTCCTTGGTTACAGAAACACAAGCTAAGAAGCCAGAGATTTCAGAGCCGTCCGCAGTGTCTGCGAGCAAAGACGTCAAACCGAACGCGGCTGCAGAGACAGGTGAATTTGACTTTGAAAAAGCCAATGCGCGCTTCAGCAAAAAACCTACGACACTACAAGGCCCCGATCAGACATCTGGCAAACTGAGTGCTATTCCCCCTGCTGAAGCGCAGACCTTTTACGACAAAAAGTCAGGCTTCTTTGACAATATTAGTAGCGAAGTCAAGGACCGACTTGAAGGCGGCCGGAACCGCCATGCAATTGCGGAAGAGAAGGAACGCAACATGCTTACCTTTGGCGATGAAGCGGCGAACTTTAATGGTCCTCCTCGTCGTAGCCGCGGCCGTGGACACCGCAGTCACGGACGAAGAGCAGGTGGCCGTAACCATGGCCCTAGCAAACCGGAATGGGTATAGGGTTCATAATGTGTTATACGAGTAATCCTACCTATACATCTTTGGATCCAGCGGGTATCCTCTGTGCCAGGCTGTGTAATGAGAAATACAAAAATACGTTTCATACATTCGCACGAGCCAAATAAAATGAACAAGCTTCATACAACGCTGGAAGGGGTATGACACTTGGCGGGTGCCAAGATTGTCCCAAATGAGGGGTGGTTGGAGATGCACCCGTTCGCACGAGGCAGGGTGTGTTAGAGACCCATTTCGAAAGTTCGCGTTGCAACGTGCGAACCACTTCGTTGACCTCTTCTGTTCGGGGCATGGATTCATGCAGTCGGAGCAGCAAGACACTAACCATGATTTGGCATAACTCGGTCTGAGATATGAACCGCCTAAGTGTCTCTTGTGTGACACACGCATCAGCTGGTCCACACGGTAAGCTCAACCCTGCCAGACTAATTGGCTGCTCCAACTTGAAAGGATAATCAGACCATAAAGACTGATTCTGAACTGTGTCTTTCTTAACACGCGTAATAATCTCCAGCATAAACAACATCCAGACACAACGTTTGAGCATTTCTCGCTCGACGAAAAAGTGCGACATACCGGAATCAGTGCCGGAAGGGGATGATACACTGGACAGGAGGTGTGATGCAACAGAATCTCCGTATGCCAAAGGCGACCAGGCACTCTGCTTGTCCTGGCAACGCACCATAAACATACTCATGAGAATCATGCATTGGATGAAGTCAAGGGTCTTTTCCTCTTCATGTAAAATTCCTTCCATAGGGCATAGCAAACCACGTGCAAGGGAGAAGCACTTCAAACCAAGCTCCCACGGCAAAGCTGCTTGCGCCGCCCCAGCTGCATGTGCAGTTACATTTACAGCAGGCACCAAAGAGGACCCAAGCGCACAGAGAAGCAAGAGCACTGATTGACGCTGGCGACTCTGTAAAGGCGAGCAGGTGACAGTCATAGAGGACAAGGTGAACGAAGATACATAAGATTCAATCTCACTCCATTGTAAAAATGGCAAAGAAAAACTCAAATCCTTTAACGCTTTGCGAATCAAAGTGAGAGTGGGTATTTTTTTAAGCAATGTTTGGGATTGATTCTTCAAAGAATCAAAATCAGATTCCTGCCAATGCTGTTGCTGGGGAAACAGCTCGAAGGTATCGGTCACACCGATCTGTTGGGCGTCATACCGCGTTGTTCCAGGAAATTCAACCATACCAATCGATTTCTTATATAAATCCATCAAGGAAGAGACATACTCTTGTTGCGGACGGTAGACAAGCTCACCAGTGCTGCTTAGCACACGAACACAGTAAACATCTTGTTGATTTCCCTCATCTGACGGCGCCGACCTCAACAAAACACTAGTTGGGCTAGTCGACGTCGTCACCAAAGAAGAATTGAGACCACGCGCGTCTTGGTAATCAATTATGGCCCTGGTAGAGAGCTCCGCCAGCTTGAACATGTTCTTCGGATCAGTGATAATGCCTCTGACAGTTTCCACATGCTTATGGCGTGAATCACCAACTGCACAAGATGGTGTCGATAAATTAGGGTTCGATGCACCTTTATCCAGACTAATGGCCATAGGCTTGGTTAGTAATGTCAAGTCAGGGTTCCCCTGAGTCGAAGACTCAAATGCCGTGGTACCATGACCTTCCCCTAAATTCACAAAGTTTTGATCCACAATCGCATTCATTGATGAGGGTGTAGTCGAAGGCATCACAGACTGCAAATCTGAAGATGTTCCAACAGACTTGTCCATTGCCAACATTGGTTGTGCTGTATATGGAAAAAGATTATCCGTAGTCCACATGTCAGAATTGGGAAGGATAGGAAGTGGCATCGATGATGGAGCCCCGGCAGGCTGATTCAGATTCGAGACAGGCTGCGAGGCATCAGTATCCGTAGATGGAGCAGAAGCGTTGACTGGCTCTGAATTAGGCATCGTTGTGGGTAATGTTCCCATAGAGCCCCACAAACTTTGATCAGAAAGCCATTGATCATTCTTGAACGGTTTGGAGTTTGACTGTAGTACATTGTTAGGCCCCAACGAAGCCATAGCTAGATCAAACCGTTCATTTGCCAAGGCGAAAGAAGGGGATAGATTTCTCTCTCCATTTTTCACATTAGACACTTGATGGTTTTGATTCTTAGACTGGCGAGCGTTCCGTTTCCTGAATACAATGCCAGCATTGTCCATGATGGCCCGTTCCCGTCTTGTGTGAGTTCAACAATACGTACTTGCTAGGTGGACCACGCTTCCTCAAAATGTCATCACTAGTGCATACACGACCAGATTGTTCACAGTGACCACAAGTAGGTTTTTTCCGATCGCACTACAACGTCAGCATGTATAGTACTCACTTTGATTTTGCGTTTCCGACAATAGTCACAGGCGGCTTGTCCCTCTGAGGAGTTAGGAAGTCGAGCACGGAATGCCTTCAAAAATTCGTGCGCATAGAGTGTGTCACGGCTGTGTTGACCCAGGTTCCAACCACCAGTAGCCATGCCTCGACGGCGATTAGCTGGTTGAGAGGAGGAGCGATGAAGGTCGTTCGCATTGAATGCCAGAGGCAATGCAAAAGGCTCTGATGTTGGAAAGAGATCCTCTGACATCCACACAGATCCTTTAGGAAACAGTGGAGTCGCATTCGTTCCGTCATTCATTGAGCTATTGTTATTATTCGTATTATTCAAAAGTTCCAAAGGAATGCCAGTATTGAAGCTAGCGGCTGATGAGGGCATGAGAAAATCAGAATGCAGCATTGCTGTCCCAGCATCATTCTCTAGAAGAGCCAAGTCTGTGGTCCCTTCAGGGAAGCCCTGCCAGGACATCGCTATGGCAACCTTGTGGTTGAGAGAACGCGGTTGCAGCGACTGGACGATTGTCAAAGAACTTAATTCTGGCAACCGATTTGTCTACATGATTGCTTTCAGGGTCTGAACACGAAATAATTCAACAAATAGTATTGCACGATGCCTCCATAATGCATGCAGGGTAATGCCACATGCATATCTAAGCAGACTGCATCGTGACTGTGTGACTGTTCCGACAATAAAAAAATATAACCTAATTGGAAATTCAGGTGAACCCCCCCCCCCCTTTCCACGTGGAAGACTGCCTATCTCCACGCGAACGCGACAACGATCTGTAGACATGTTGGTTTTGGTGATAGGTGCGTGTATATTGTATATCGGACTGACACTCGAGCAGGGGATCTCCATATACCTTACAGAGTAAATGATCTTCCTTCAAAATTTAGAAAATTACTGGTATGCTACTCATTATGGTCTGCTTACACTAGTAGGTACCCGGCAAGATTCATCAAGTGGTTTGCACCGGAAATATATGCGACAAGCCTACATACGAATACCTAAAATCGCTTGCTAATGAGATCCACATTGTTGGTGGTGACTATGATGAGGTAATTACCCGGTAGTTTGACGCCAGATTCAGCACCTTCCATCGTCGTTGGTTCTTCAATACCCGCCTTTGCGTATTGGAGTTATCCATGGCCATCAGATTGTTCCCTCTGGCGATAAAATATCACTTTCTTTGCTGGCTGACTCCATGAATGTCGACATTTTGATCAGTGGATTTACTCATCAGCTCGAGGCATACCGCCAAGAGGGTAGATTCTATTTGAATCCCGGGAGTGCGACAGGTGCCTGGTCACTCGATATGCCATTTCCTGTCTCACAGGGGAATCTCTCTGGACAGCAATACGATGAAAAATCGGCCTCGAGGAAGGTTGAAACACAATCATCATTGGAATTTAGCCCAGCGAAGGTGGAAAATAACAAAGGCGATATACCTTTGAACAATGCCAAAAATACTGCCATGCGCTCGACTCCTTCATTTGCGCGTGCGTACACGGTTCATGCTAACTTTAGTTCTTGATATCCAAGGTTCCGCCGTTGTAATTTATATCTATCAACTTATCGATGAAGACGTCAAAGTCGAAAAAATCGAATATCGTAAGAATCCAAACAGTGATGCAACATCAGCATAATAGTCTCCCGTTGAGCCTTATATCACCTTAAATAGCTCGCTCTCCTCGTTCCTATGATCGGTGTTCTGGATATCTGATCGACTCCACATTATTAAATATGGCCGACGCTATCATTCGATATACCTTATTGCCACTCCACTATGATGATGTTGGGTGAGGGCGCATTCGTGTTCCGCCACGTTCGGAACACACTTCGATCTATTGGAAAAGATAATTGCTTACGCTGTAATGGATATGCTGTGCTTGTTAACCCTAAATCATCCGTTGATACTGTTCTGGGCACTACTGCACCCCAGCCACCGACTGTGAAACAATTTACAGATGGGAATAAGAATGATACGTTATCGTATCGACAGGACTTTGAGTTTTTCTCAAATATGATAAATCATCAATCCTCAAAAATATCGCTCGAAGGGCGTCGAGCTCAAGTTGAACGTATCAAAAGCTCTGCTACAGGCTCACGTCGCGGTGGATTCCTACCTGATTCGTCTCAAGCTATAGCAGATAAACTAAATGAGGCAATCGATTTCTGGGATGAGCACCCTAGTATGTTTCAAAATTTCGAAACGAACACCATGGAAGCTGATTCTAACCATGAGAAACAATGCAAGGACATTGCCATCATAAAAAGGGATTTGATTTCAGTGGCCCGCCAATTGCTACAAAGATCACCGCCAATGGCAACCAATATGAAACAATTTTTGCATGAAATGCATACCAAAGTGAATGCGCAACTATCAACGACCCTTCCTTACGAGCCTATGCCAAAGGTTGGACGCAAAGTAAATCTGACTAGCGCGACAAGTACACGGGACGAAATAAATCAGGCGGAGGAGGATGGTGTCCTGTTAATGTGTTATGTGAATTGTTCTGTACCAGAGAAAGAAACTGTCAATTTTTGCTCTGGCTTTGCGGTCCAAGGTGGGTCATCCATAAGTCCAGAAGACAGTCCAGGTCGGGGTGAGTTGGTAATTACATGTGCACATGAAGTGAGTTAGCCGAACTAATGCAAGATGGAAACGGTGGTACCTGCTGCAGAATGCCCAGACAATGGGGTGATTCTTGCCATGTCTCGTAAAGGACACATCTTTCCTGTTGAACGCTTACTGAGTTATATGCCTAGTACGGACTTGTCGTTGCTCCAACTCAGTGAAAACGCTATTCAAATTGACCCACTGACCAGGCAGATTCGTCCTGTTATTGAGTCGCAACTTGAAACTCTTCCTGTGTCTCCCTATCCCGCTGTTGTAAACACGGAGCTTTCTGTGTGCTCTTTCGGAGGCTGGCTTCCCCGAACAGATGAGACATCCGGCATGGTTTCACGATTTTTGCATGAAGAAGTTATACGAAACCGATGGGCTCGTGCTACCCTTGTTGGATATCGGGACCCCATTGGACGTCAAGCTGAGACCGGAACATATGATGAGCTAGCTCAATTGGACTTTGTCCTCGACTATGAATCTCCTGAGACGCCAGCCTCTATCAAAGATGCAGTCAAAGCGTCTTCATTCGCATTTCCTATGCCTGGCTCGTCAGGTGGGCCTGTGGTTGATGTTAATACAGGTAGCGTCGTGGGGATTGTACGAGGGACGAAATCAAGCAAACTTGGTGATAGCCGCGGAGATGCTGTCCCTGCCGAGAAAGTATTTGAGTGTATGTGTTGGATATTCTGACGTCAGTTTTTGCTTTGCCAGGCTTGGGCAAACGACGCTAGATGAAGTGGCAGTTTGTTTTATTTTTTGCCCTTCCTGTATGACGCACTCAATAAACTGCTTGATGTGATTTAGAGAGACTCTATATAGCTTTCTTATTGGTGATAGGTCCCGATGTCGGATCTGCGGGGCCGACGTCAGGACTAGTCTTCGTGGAGCCGTGCCAAAGGAAAGACTTCAGGCGTTTCCAAACCGATTGACTCGATTCAGTAGCATCGAGGCCGAGAGTATTGACAGTTTCTGAGTTCTCAGATGTTTCAGTAGTATCCTTAATGGATAGGGGCGTAAGTTCTTCAGTGGGCTGCACTCGGAAACTTTCGAGATCAGAGAAGTCATCCTGTTCCACCTGAAGATAGGTCAGCGCTAAGTCTACTACTTACCATCATTATTGAATAAGCATATACGCCACCAATGAAACTGGAGAGAAGGAGGAAAGCGACTGTATTGCGAAGCAAATATGGCTTACGAGCGCGGCGATAGCCAAGTGAGTTTTCATATCCTCCGGGATGGTACGTTCGCTCTAACTTTTTTGTCTGAATAACAGTATCAGAATTGCGAAATACTGTAGTATGAAGGGAGGCAGCCTGGATAGAACGGATTGTGCGACCCGTACACCGCACAATAGGCTGCAACATGGTAGTCAAGAAGTGACGAAGGCAGTTAACTCGGGCTGGTGGCACCCTCCACATTGCGACGCGCAGTCCATCCAGCAACTATTTATGGCTACTCAAATTTCTCGTGCTCTATAGTGACTGTTGAAACAAACTTTGTGCCATCTTTTGTTGTTGAGCATTCGTACTGAAGCAGCGCATCGGCTGGTTGAATTGACCTTCGAAGTGTGGAGGCGAATTGATCCGCTACCATCTCGGCGATTTGAGAGTCGGAAAGTTTTAATTGTTTTCCATGCTGATCCAGCTGTTCATCAACACATGTAAGCTGAACATCTGGGAGGCCACATGCCACGATTTTTTTAAACCCTTCGAGTGCTGTACGATGAATGTTGAGTGCAAAACCATGCGACGTTATACGATGTTGTACCTGAACTCCAAGGGAGGCGATCTTGTGTCGCTCGTCGCTCCAGACACCAGTATATCTGGCTTCTGTTGATGGTGAGTCCACTGTGCTGAGTCCAATAGATGGATGAGCAAGGACAGTTCTCAGAATAGTTTGAAGTTTAGATACATAGCAACGGGTGGACATCTGGCGTGAGTCCGAAGACGTACATTCATAGCACCTAAGTCGAGAATGGGATACCCAACCAGTTGCCCGGGTCCATGGTAGGTCAATAGTCCTCCCCGACGCGTTGCAACAATGTCAACGTCGGGGGCTGACCTTGCCGCCCCTATCGCAGCCGCATCGTCTCTCCGCCCCAGAGTATATACTGGCTTATGCTGAAGTAAAAGCAATACATCATCGTTTGCCACCTCCCACGCCTTCAACAATGGGGGAGAGAGGTTTATGGGAGAAACATCTGGACGCCAATCAACCTTTGCATGTCGTAACGCTGCCCGCGCTAAGGAACGACGCTCAATGAGTTTTTCCTGAATAATAGCACCGAGCTTGTATGGCAAGAGCGCAGGTACATGACTTACAAGGAGTGGCCGAAGCCCTCTCGAAATGGCAACATCGCATGACATTTTTGGTCAAGAGTGGAGCCTGGGTTTGCCCTCCACAAAATAGATACACGGATCAAATTCTATATCGTATGATCGCCCCATAAAAGGTCACATACTGGACCTGAACTTATTTGGCCAGACTTTAGAAAATACCACCGAGGAGCCCCCCCTTCTGACTGGAAGAGCTGGACTTACTTTGACCTCCATTTTCGTTTGAAGAACTAGAGCCATTCGAACCATCATTTCCGTTGTTGTTACCTCCAGAATTTGTTTGTCTCGACGAAGATGTAGGAGCTGCGCTGGATTTTCTAGATGCTTGGCCACCTGAAGGAGATGGATTTGCTTTACTTGATGACGAAATAGAAGAGTTTCCAGATGATTTGGCTGTGGAGGAAGCAGCAGAGGTAGAGCTGCTGCTAGAGCTTGTGGTACTCGTTGTATTGCCACAGTCAGCAATATTTTGTAGATCGAGCGTAAGTAGATGACTAACTCCGCAAACGAGATCATTAAAGCCGTTATCAATCAGCTTTCCAATACCTTGTTGCCCAATACCTTTGAGCCCCTGAGCCACTCGGGTCTTTTGATTGTCGTTCATTTTCTTCAGGCCCTCACCTATACCGTCAATAAATTCTGTCGCCTTGGTCACGTTGAAAAGGACCAAATCGCCAATAGCAATCGAATAGGCTGTATCCACATCAAATTCATTTGCCTTGAACGCGTTCAAAACATATCCATTAGATCCATCCAATCTTACGATGATTGTGTTGTATACATCCAAATTCTTGCCGACGGAATCAGAGGAGCCGAGCAGACCTTGATTCAGTAATACATTATGAATCTTTGCACAAGTCTTGAAACCGGGATCCACCTTCGTCGATTTAGCTGCTGGGATAACACAGCCTGGAAAGTTTTGCACATGAAATTGTGCCGTAATTTTTCCGTCGGGTGGCGTACCTGTTATGCGCGATTCGTTGAGAATGTCCATAAGTTGCATTGAGACTGGCAGATCGTTTTGGAAAGTAAGTTGGATGTAAATGAAGGGACGGAGATCAGGACCCGAGAAAAGGTTGAGTAAATCAATGAAAGTTTCAATCCTGACAAGTGGTCGAGAAGCAAGACCAGTAATCACTGTAGATAAGTTGAGCCTCTCCAGGCCAGGAATCAATGACTCAAAAGTGGACAGCGGTGGGTTAGCATTTGCATACCCGTGAATATCGATTTCGCTCTTATATGGAATGGATGTCTTGCCATGGAAGGGCTGAGCCAGCGCATATTGTGAGACAAGTGTCTGTGCGACAGTGGAGTTGTCGTCAGCAGGCTGGAAATGGAAGTGTATGGATACGTTGTTTTTCCCGGGAACGATAAGTTGGTTGTCAAGAAGTGCACGGCCCACCTCGTAATTTTCAAAAAACCCGGGAAGCTGTATCCCTGTCGTATGAAGAGTGATGTTACTAGGATTTGTCAAAATAAGCTGAATCTTATTATCCAGATATTGAGGTGTACCTTTTGTCACGTCCGCGCGAAGGGCTTGAACTTTACCGGTGAAGCTGTTAAGCGTGGCAATAGAAACTTGGATATTATCGAATGGAACACCGTTGATGGGTATATTGCCGATAGGCATGTTCGCCAGAAGATTCACGGCACCACTAAGCGTGACAGTCGTTCGCGGCGTGACCAAGAAGGCACTGATCATAGCGGCAAACTTACCGTGATCCTTAGCATACAAACGATAGTTCGTCCAAGACAGTCCAACCGATTGCAGGTCGTTTGGTCCACGAGAAGTGCCACTGTCGGCATTTAGAAGAGGCAGTCTCAATTCGCCAGCATCGCCGCCATCGAAACTCAGCGTAGCATCCAAACCGGCTTTCACAGGTTTAAGTGAGAAGTGGAATGGGTTTGAAAAGGTAGCCATAGTAAGATTCGTGCCCGAACGTGGTGCCCATGTATCTTGCTGATTCATGATAGTAACGAACAAGTCAATGATATAAATACCATGCACAACCTTGTAAATATGCCCAGGAAGAATAACAGAAAGCTTAAGTGTTTTGAAGGCATTAGAAAGCCACTTGACCGGCTTGTTGCCGTTCTCCTTCGTCACTACTGAGTCTCCCTGAATTAAAAGAGTTTGATTCCTCCCTTGCAAATACCCCGAAAACAACTCGCCAGTTGTATTGGTCTGTGTATTGCCCTTTTTCTGAGTGATTTGCCCTTGTAGATTCGCATTGGTAGTAGCATGTGGAGCCAGGAAGAGGTTAGAACCATGAATGGGTCCTTGATATTGGTTACGAAAAAATATCTTGAAATTGGCTGTTTCAAGATCGATACCTAAAGACGCTGGCGAAGGAATGCTTGTGCCTGCGACAATGTTCAACGCATTGGAAGTGTCACTGGGAATATCGAAGGATGTAATGCCCACACCTGGTAAATTGTTAAAAGCATCAAACGAAACATCTTTGCTGATTTTCACTTTGTCAAACACAATGTTCAATGCGCGAACACGGAGCTTGTCCGAATGAATCGTCCAAGTAAAACTCTTGCCGTGCAAGATGAACTTTGCAAAGTTAGTGAATTCACCTTCATTGGTGATCGTAAGATCACCAGAAGTTATTAAGTTAGGCACGCCCTCTGTAGCAACCGCACGGATGGGTGGCAGTTTGATTGTCGCGATGTCCTTGCCTTGCCAGCGAACACTCACACCCTCGGGGAATTCAATTTGTGCGTCAAAAGGCCCGGTGCCTAGCAATGACCCCTCTAAATTCAGATGGAAGCCTTTGTCAGTCATTCGAGAAACATTGGCGACCTGGAAGGCGAGCGTGGCTTGATTCACAAGATTCTGTACAATAGGAGCACCGACAGGGCCGATCAAATAAAGAACAGACCTGTCTGTATCTGTTGGCACAGGCTTTTGCACAAAGTTCAGATTGGTCTGATAGTCGTCGAGTTTGACTGTCGACTGGATATCAAGTTCCACCGCAAGCCCTTTCATAGTATTTAGGATGGCACCAAACACATCGAACTGTTTCCCTGAATGCCAGCTCGGTGGATTTGGGTCCGGAGTGGGTTCCACAGAAGTCTTCGTACTCTGCATTTGCAGTACTTGGTTAAACAGCGGAGGCAAAGGACCAAGATCTGTCCCTGTGTTTCTTGCCGCCGTTTCAATGAAGCGAATTAGAACCTTTGGATCCAAAACCATTGAAAAGGGAAGTGAGCGAGAAACAATCTTTGAGTGTCCTGACGCATGAACAGGATTCTTTGACAGGTCCTGATCAATCTTGCCAATATATATCCCGTCATAAATAGCCCTAGCATTTACTTTAATAAGATTGATGGAGGCTGTAAATGGGTTGTCCAGCTGAAATGTTGCTTCAGCAGTTGCTGTCTTAGCAATGTTCCTAGGAATCGTTAGGCGAGCCTCTGTAATCAAAAGTTGGTGCAAAGGGGGAATTTGTGTCGTGAGACTGATGCCAGCGAGCGCTTTTTTGAGCGACGCAATATCTGTCGTAGAAGAAGACCCTTGGATATTCGCAGTTGAAACAACACCCATAACATAGTTTTCAAGCAGTTGCTGACCCGCCGCAGTGTTCTGAGAACCTTGTGGTGAATAGTGTACATCCGTAGGGATTGTGTTAAGACCAGGTTGAATGACAAGATCGTCGATATCTGCACTTCCAATCGTACGACCTTTAAATTGCAGACCGAAAGATACGTCGCCAGTTCCAACAGTGATATGGGACGGATTGTACAAGTGTGCATTCACTTTAATCAGCAAGTAGCTTTTGTAGCCATGATATACATCCAGATCTGAGACTGTAGCAGGTCGCGCGTTCAGGTTCTGTAAGCCTAGCAGAGACGTATCCACCGAAAAAGGAATATCACGGATAGTCACGTATCCAGCAGCGGTACTCGCTTTCGCGTTTGCCGAGCCATGGAGACCAAACTTGACACAGGTACCGGCCGTAGTGTCGGCAATAAAGTCAGCAAATGTATCGTGTTCATTGGACCTAGCCGACATAGGGGCATTGGAAAATTGTAAGGACATGATACGTTGCTGTACATCCGTTGTGGCCTGAGAAAAGGGTATACTGAGCGTGGCAATATCCTGGTTGTGGTAGTTCTCTATGAACTCGCCACCTGCCTCGCGAATGTCAATAGGGAAGCCAAATGGAAGGAAGAACGGCGCCTGGGTGTTGTTGGAACTAGTGGAGGGAGTCCATGCATTCGACTTGCTAAACATCAATGTCAGCTGGTTTAAGTTGATAGCTTTGATAACATTGAAGTGAACAGCTGGAAGAGTAGCCTGAATTTGCAAGGCCTTGATACCCTCGTTGAGCCATTGGACATTCGAGGGACCGCCATACGCACCACGAATAGATACAGGAATGGATTTACCATGTACCACATCAGTAAACACTTGTGACAGAACGTCAAGCCCATGCCCTGACTGACGCACAAGTCGGCCTGCTAGGGGAAGCTGCGTTGTAGAAACAGCATTGAGAGTGAAGCCCTTTGCAGCATAAGATGGGCCCAAAACCACACCATCGTTCAATATGTTGACACCAAAGCGGGACAGTTGTACACCCACCTGGGAAGGATTTTGAATGAGCGCAGTGGCTGTAAGATGAATGCCACCTTGAGGGTCATTCGAAGGAAGATCATAACGAAGGATTTGGACCCGGTTTTTAAGATTGTTCATACCCGAAAGTATAACAGTCTTTGAGATCGTCAGATCTGAAACTTTGATACCAAGCGCAGATACAGATAGGTTCTGGCCTTGGATTTGCCAAATAAAGCTGGGGTTCGTGACCAAATACTTGGTAAACTCTGTCAAGGCGTCCGCATTGGACACGGAAAAGTCAGCCATAAGATTGAGCTTAGCACCCTCATCAGCAGCAAGCTGAATGTCTGGCATCTTAATCTGGCCCAGCACGTTACCATTCCATGCCACTTGCAAACCACTGGGAAACGAAATGGAAGCATCAAAGGGACCTGAGTTCGTGATTGACCCTTCTAACTGTGTTTGGAAAGATTCGGGTTGTGGATCAACGATCGTGACACGTTGAATAATTAGAGCGGCCCCATCAATAATCTTTTGAACAATAGGCTTGGCTAGCACAGGAAGAAGCATATTGAGAGATTGATCAACCCGGAGTGGTACACCAAGCTGTACAAAAGCCAACTCTGTCGAGTATTCGCCGATGCTGGCCACGGATTGAATCTCCATATCAATTGTGGCCTTGGCAAATGCCTTTTGCACAAAGTCAGCGATGTTGAAGCCGGTATACATGTTCTGGTCGCGCCTCTCAAAAACAGCCAATGAACCTGAATCTGAACTCTCCGCCATGTCAGGCAGGTCAAGCGAGCGCTTCTGTAATGGGCGGGTATTGGCGGAGGACGTAGGAGAATATGTGTACCCGCCAATCTTAACAATACCATCAAGCTGCTTTGTATCCAATCCTGCATCAATAGCATATGCTCGCACAAGAGCAAAAATATCAGGGGGATACAAATTCAAATGCAAGTCGATGAGCGGTGATTGCGATACACTTTTGCCATTACCGACGAAGTTAATACCTGTGTCGACCTGAGCGACATTGAGACCATGTGCGGTAACATTGGCCTGAATGTGTGTAATTTTAAGGCCTGCTGTAAACGGATTGTCGAGAGTGACAACAGTTTGTGCCACATCATTTGTGATACCAGTCGAAGATAAAATTTTAAGAGAAGCTTGCTGGATCAGCTGAACACCCAAACCAGGAAGCGTAGTATTCAGACGAATAGCGGAAAACGCAGGAATTAGTGATTGGATCTTTGAGGAGCCATCGAAACCGCTAATATTAAAAGGAGTACCGAGACCGGACACGAAACGATTCAGCATCTCTTGCCCGTATGGACTCGCCTTGGGGTTAAATTTGGAGCTAGCAGTAACTGTGTTGTTACCGATATTAAGATTCAAGTTGGGAATAGTGACTTGACCAACAACGTCTTGAACCACCAATAAAAATGATACATCTCCCACTGCGGCATTTACATTGGATGGGTTGTAGATAGAGGTGTTAACAGACAATAGTATACCGTCGTGATCTCCACCTACTACGTCCACACCGAGAATGGGAGTTGGATACTGTGTGAGACCTTGGAGACCAAGAAGCCCGCTTTCCACAGAGAATTTGATATTATCGAGGCTCACTCGACCAATAGGCATATCAGTGATGACAGAAGATGATCCATTGTAGAGATTAATGATTTTGTCCCCAAAGGTGAACAATTTAACAAACTGCTCAAACTCATGACGCGATTCATCTGTTTGAGAAGGAAGCTGCATGGGGCTGGGGTTAAGTGTGAGAAAAAGTGTTCCCTCGAGCTGCCCAGCTGAAACAATGTTCAACTGAGTTGCTGCCTTGGAATATACACCATTGACAGAGATGACAGGATTGCCATTGAGCTCGTTCACAATGGTAATTTCGTTCTTTGTGGATAAAATATTGAGCGGAAAGCCGAACGGTAGAGCCAATGTAGCCTCTAGGCTATTAGAGGAGGCCGTAGGGCCGTAGGGATCAGAATCAGCTTCGTATGTTAAGTTAAATTGCTTGATAACAATGCTCTTAATCGGATTGAGTGGGTTGGGCGACTGGAATGGCACGTTAAGAGTCAGTGCCTTGATACCTTCAGATAGCCAGGTGGTAGGATAGCCCTCAGGCAGGCTAACACTGACACCGCGGGCAACGACAGGACTAATTTCAAAGTTCAGATATTTCGTAAACAAGTCGCCCAAAATATTCAACTCCGTTTGGTTTTCGTTATGTGGGAGCAGTCGACCTTTGAGAGTCACGATGTTGACGCCAGGCGTGATATTGAGGTTATCAGAAACACCAGGACCCAAGAAAACACCGTTGAAAAATAGGTCGGTGGCTAGTGTGCCCAGCTGAACACCGAAAGGAGAAGGATTTGTCAGAGACGTAACAGCTTCGTATGATATCCCACCAGCAGGGTCCGCGCCAGGAAGTTTAAAGTCAAGAATTTTTACGTCATGAAAGTTGTCCATTCCATTGATAACCACATCTTTAGACAAACCCAGATTTTTAAAGGTAGGTAGAAAACCCAGTGCCTTAATGTGCACATTGTCACACTTTAGTCGCCAAGTAAAAGATGGTTGGGTCACCAGGAATTTTGTAAACTCGGCAAAGCCCTGCTGGTTAGTGATGTTCATTTTCGTTAGTTGTTTTAGTCGGCCATGTCCAGCAGCAACACCAATGCGATCGAGCCGCATATTGCCGAGCTCGAGTTCTTCCATAGGTTGCTCGTCAGTAGGAGGCGAATTCCAGAATATATGCACAGGAGCGTTAAAATATAATTGAGCTGGAAAGACACCTGCTTTTTTCACTTGGCCTTCAAGCGTGAGATAGAAGGAGTCATTTAGAGGAGAAGTGAGATTTGAGCTGTAAATATGCATGACTGAGACATTCAGCGTGTGGTTCGCGACACCCCATAGAATCGGAATCGCAATCAAGAATAAGTTGAAAATGATGAAAATGGGTAGCAAAGTAACTGTGAAGAGTAGTAGTCGATGCGACAAAATTTTTTTCGCGTAGGGAGTGCCGCGCGCCGCCAGAAAACCGATCGGTTTTCCTGGCTGGTGCATATGGCCAGCTGGAGACGCTGCGGCAGCTCCTCCGGAGTCAAAGGCTGGGAGGCGACGACGTACGCCGCCCTCCCATGGTTCTTTCTCCATTGTGGTGACTAGCAGTCAAGAAACGCCAGACAAGATGCGGAGACCCTGGTGAATGAGGATTGCTTTGGGGATGTATCCAAAATGTCGGGCTTACGAGAGATGTGGGGCAAGCACAAAACCAATCAGGCAGGTCTTCTGCACCTCAAGATTCAGCCCCGTTATGATTCGCACAGCCCCACACACGAGCCCTTGAGCCGCGCCAGCGCCAAGCTAGACCACGTGGCAAAAGACAGACGAAAGTGGCCGCGGCGTTGCTCACCAACGCGCAGGGCGACGAAAGCGCGTGGTGATGACATTCAAGCCGGCACTTACGGTCACGGAATGGCCTTCTGTGAACCCACTGAGCAGTGAGAAAGACTATCGCGGCTCCATACACTGGACGCAGCATTCACCTCTGCTCATTGATAATGGTTCGTACCCACCTAATTAACGTGCAGGGTCATCGGAATTGCGGGCGGGATTTTCCTCCAGCACACTGGATGCACCGATGTATGCTTTTGACAATATTGTTTCTCGATTTCTGGATCGGAAACGGAGTACCAATGTGATTTTGTGTGGCTCCGACTGCTATGTTGACGCTCAAGCGCGTAGCAACATCAAGAGCCCTTTTGACGCAGACGTCGTATGTGGCATGGACAGTATGGTACGTGCTTAGCGCTCATGGAAGGAATACATACTTGACTACACATTCGGAAGACTCGGGATTGATACGGAGCGTATTGATCATCCAGTTTTAATGACAGAAACCCTATGCAACCCTGAATACAGCCGGGCACAAATGAATGAGCTCTTATTCGAGGCCTATCAAGTGAACTCGGTGAACTATGGTCTGGATGCACTTTTCTCAGCATATTCAAACAACATTCGCAACGATGGACTGATAGTATCGGCTGGCCGTTCATCAACTCTAGTGGTGCCGCTGGCAATGGGTCATGGTGTACTTGATAATGCGAAGCGACTGACATGGGGCGGCGCCCAGGCGGTGGATTTCCTACAAAAACTTTTGCAGCTCAAATATCCTAACTGCCCTCAAAAGATTACTACCTACGAAGTGCAGTGTATGCTGGAAGAACTCTGCTATACGTCGTCTGACTACGACGCCGAGATTCGGCACTTTCAGGTCCCTGAGAACCTGGCCAAAGCGGATCGAGTCGTGCAGCTCCCCTTTACCGCTCCCGAGCGAAAAGAGAAAACTCAGGAGGAGATTGAGTTGGCGGAGGAACGCAAGCGCGCAGCAAGTCGGCGACTACAAGAGCAGACACGCCTCATGAGGCAAGAGAGGGCGCAGCAAAATGAAAATGACCTAAAATATTATACCCTTCTGCGAGAGTGGAAAGACAAGGAATCGCAGGAAAACTATTTGGCACGTCTGGAAAGCGAAGGTTTCGACACTGAACAGGAATTCGAACGCGTTTACAAGCGCCTTGACACGTCGGTCCGCAAGAACCGGGCCGAGGAGCTTGGTGAGGAGTTCCACGAGGAAAAGAAAGAGCCTGAATTCCCTCTAGCTGATGTGCCCGACGCGGATCTCGATGAGGAAGGGCTGAAGGAAAAACGCCGTCAACTCCTGATGAAAGCCGGTTACGAAGCGCGTTTGCGCACTCGCGCTGAAAAAGAAGAAAAAAAGCGTTTGGAAGAAGAGCGTGATGCCAAAGAGCGTAAAGAACAACGCGAAAATCCAGAAGCGTGGCTAAAGAAGATACATGCGCAATACAACGAGATCTTGGCCCGAATTCATAAGCGGAAGCGGTTGCGGGACATGTTGCCGAACCGGAAGAGTGCTGCTGCTCAACAGCGCATGAAAAGTATCACAGCTTTGGCAAGTGAAAATGATGCAAGCAGCACGGGATCACAGCGTCGGCGCAAACGGGGCGAAGACGAGGACACATTTGGCGCAGACGATAGCGACTGGGCCGTGTACCGTACGATCAATGATGCCACCAATGAAGAAGAAGAAGCAAAAGATCATGAGCAGCTGGAGGAGTTGGAGCAGAAATTGTTGGAATTTGACGATAAATTTACTGAGGAGGATACATACGCGGCTATGCTGAGTCGCAAATCCCGTCTTACCAATACGTTCTTGCGTGGTTTTGAACCTAAATGGGATCCTGAAGATGCAATCCAGTTCCATCAGCTGCATCTCAATGTCGAACGCATCCGTGTGCCTGAAGTCAGTTGGCAGCCTATCATTGCGGGTGTTGACCAGGCGGGTGTCGGTGAGCTATGCCGCCATGTACTTCGATCTTTTGACGAGACTGTCCGGGGTCGTATGATCCAAAATGTACTTGTGACAGGTCGCTACTCACAACTTCCGGGCTTTGATGTGCGCCTACAGTCGACCTTGCGTTCGGTGCTGCCGCCCCATGCTCCCCTATCGGTGCGCCGCGCACGTAACCCACGTTTCGATGCATGGCTGGGCATGCGGCAATGGGTCTTTGAGCAAAACGAGGTATTCCGTGCCACTTCTATCAGTCGAGCCGACTACGATGAGAAAGGCCCAGGCTGGTTCCAGGAACACGGCATGTCTGCCTGTGTCAATAGGTAAAATAAAAAAAAAAATCACAAAGGTGCTACGAAAGGAAGCCGACAGAAAAGAACGAAGCGAATAAGTTTACCAGAGACGCGTCTCAAGGAGCAGATCGCTCTCGGGAGCCAACGACAAGCACGCACGCATAAAGTTGGTCACAGCAGCGCGCTGGCGGTTCAGGCTGTTGACCACATCCGTGCCGGGCTTGACCAGCGGAGCCTTGAGACTATAGCTTAGCAGACTCAGCACAGAGTACATCGACTTCCACTCTTGGTCCGCCTCACCCGGCACACGATACGTGATACGGGTCATCAGCTCAGCCATAATAGCCAAATCGATAAGGAGCGGGCTAGCCAGCAACGAATCCTCACACAGATTTGTCACATAGAGGCGGTTCCGGCCACCCATACACAGCTCACTGGTGTAGTCGTCCATAGCCACCTTTTGGTCACCCACCGCAGGGATGTACTTAATAACAATGCAGTGGTCAGGACGCTCACCCTTCGAAGCCACTTGCCCATCCTTTGCCGGCTGTCCAGGGCGGTACAGGAGGTGATTAGCCTCGCAGCAGTCATCAACAACGCTGCTCTTGCTAATTTCCTTGCTGCGGAACTGGCGCTGCGAGCTCAAGTTGTAGCCGTCATTGTTGCCAAGATGGTTGTAGCTCGCAATCGACAAAGGCTTGATGCCTGCATTGACAAGATATTCAGCAAGCACACTCTTCACCTTAGTCTGACCAGTCTTTAGGTCATCACCGCCAATAAAGGCCTGATAACGCTCCGCCAGTTCAATCGCACCGGGCACGAAGGTGTTCTGAGGAGCGCCATTCACATAAGGAACACCCTCAAGAATGCAGGCAATCGCGAAAATCGTTGAAGGAGAGACTTCCTCATGGTTTGTCTCAACGGCGCGGAGCAGGTTGTCAGCCGTATCGTTCACGCCAGGCAAAATGTCTGAGTAGCGCTCCGTGTTGGCAGTCCAAACCACAATGACTTGGTCAAGGCCGTGTTGGCTCTTGAATTGCCGAATGTCATTGCGCAGGTGCTCGACATGTGCCTTCTTTTCCTGGCCAGGAATAACGTTATCCGCACGCTCCTCCTGATTGGAAGCGATAAAGTCGGGGTAGTAGACGGACGGCAGCGGCTTGATCTCCGCCATATATGGAGTAAGCTGGCGCTGCAAGTCGTAGTCTAGCACCTTCGCGCGTGCCATAGCCTCGTCCATAGGGAGACTGCTGATATCCCAACCACCAATGACCAGGTCGTTCGGATGGACCATCGGCAGAACATTGCTAAAAGGCACCCAAACATCCTTCCCAGTTGAGGCGTCACTACCCAGGCGAATGGTAGAAGCACGCACGAGAGAGCCATAATAGTTGGGAACCTGCAGACCATCCTTGTTGTGCCACTGAATGTTGTGTCGGTTTGCCAGAATAGTGGCAGAAATGGTTGTACCATTGTTACCGCCCAGGCCCACGAGCATGAGACCGGTCTTGGGGACCTTGCGGGAGGTACGGAACTCAAATTCCTGCTTGTAAGGGGTCGCGACAAGCTCCTCGCCTTGCAGGTCCATCTTACGCTCGACGTGTGTGTTCAAGTACTCATACTGTGCCGTTATGTACTCATCCGAGTAGTGCAGGCGATCAGAGGCAACGCGGATCGTTTGAAAATCCTCGTGGCGCTGGGCTGTTGGGTTTACGGAATGCGACGCGGAGGTGCGGGCAGCATCAGAGGTTGAGTTAGCAACCGGGGCCATATTGTTTGAAGATGAAAATGAGATTTACTTTGATAATAACGGAGGAGCACAAGTGCGTTTGGTGCCCCGGTACTGGTTATGCCTAGAGCACAGCTGGTTCGAGAAAATGGTTTAGTGGGAGAGATCCTTCTAGTTAGCTAGAAGGACTACGATAAACGTTGTGTCTAAACAGGAAGTTGCTCGATTGGCATGTATAATAATATCTGGGGTGTCACGTGTGACCGTGGTGCTGAGCAGCAGAGGCGTATTGGACCACTGGAATTCAATACCATGATTGGCTAGTGTCAGCTCTATCCAGCGCGATAAGAACCAAACCTACCACTCCACTCGCCATTCGTGCGCCAGGCAGGATCCTGCCCGGTCAACTCATCGGCCTGGCCAGGTTCAAGACCCACACAGGCTTCTGATTTGCAAGTACGAAGCACTGCCAAGTCCATAGTTCCAAAAAGTGGGCCCAATGCATGCGCAAAGCTTGTGTCAGAAGGCCACTGCGCATCTTGAGTGAGTTTGCGATAGTTCTGAGTAAGTGAAGCACACATACCAAGTCGCCTTTGCTGTTAATAGGCTGCTGTCAACAACATACCTTGGAAAAAGACAAGACCTGCCTTTTGCAGCTCAGCCAAAAGAACTGGAGCGCGCTCCGGCATGGCCCCATAGCTGTCGGGCCCAGTCCAATAGTCATTAAGTGCCCCCGTACTGGCTCCCAGCGGCACATCACCAGGCACCTGCAACCGGACACGGCCCTGATCAAAATGAGACTTCAAGCGATGTCCCATTGCCTTCAATGGCTCCATAGTGCCAAGGCCTTGGTCGGCCGGGAAGAAGCCATCCTCAGATAACCTCTCCAACGTGATTTGAATATCCTTCGCACATGCATTCTGAAGTGAGAGCTCGCAATACGTACATTCACAAACCAAGGCATGTTTTTGGTATGCAGCACAACCTCTCGTACAAGAGATTTTGTCGAAAACGCAGCGATTTCAGCGGCACGTACACCGCCTGCTTCATGGTTGGAAGCACGCTGGCCAAAGCAATCACTTCCAATCCGCACATCGGTGCTCCCTAGAGCCACAGCAGCCTCCATGTCAGCTGACATGCCCATGCTGAGCCCAAACTCTGTCTCAGACTCGAGCGTGTAAGCATCGTTAACATCGCCAGCTGGCGTCCACCAGTGGGTATTGCGCAATTCGGTCTGAAAATCCGCATCAGATCGAAGAGCATCCATCAAGAATTTGCGCGATTGAAAAAGAGTCTCAAAATCGGGGTTCTCGTGTGTGCTGCCAGCCGCTCGGCTATTGGAGAGAGCACCAATTGTCATAAGACCACGGAGACGAAGGTGAGGGCATCCCAAAATGATCTTCTCAGCCAACTGCAATAGTAAGGGTTTTTCCTGGCTCGAAGACCAGGCGCTTGTCATCGCAGGAACACCGCTTTTGCCTTCTTCGCCACTTGTATTCACTTGTACATATACATAGAGCGGTTCAGTCCGGCGCGACGCATTTTCAACTTTGGCTAGTGCTTTATCCAGTCCCTTGGCTACCTTTTCAGAGTCCAGTGATTGAACAGCATAAAGGTTGGGAACAGCAGCAAGCACCTTGGCCTTATTGCTCTGCAAACCACCAATAAAGTGCCAATGAATGTCGTCAGGGAGAACCGCGGCTTTTTCGACAAGCTCCTGTACATAATTTTCGCCAAAATGACGATGATCAGTCCGTTCGTACACAGCCATAAGATCAGAAGGCGGGTGTAGTTTAGAAACAACAAGTAGGCGAGGTTCAAAGGTTGCACGAGCGGCCTTGCTAGCTTGCGTGATGCGGGATCGCACAGATTCAACCCGTCTCTGTAGTTCATCTGCACGATCCTTGGTGGCGCGAGGGATAGGGCCCCGAAAGGCAAGCAGAAAGTCTGATAGAAGAAGAGCTGAAACCAGCTCAGCTCCTACATTTCCAAGAACGATATCCACTCTGTCATTTTGTAGTGTCTGAATTTTTTTCCAAAGAGGTTCAATATCGTCCACAATAATGTGACTAGCATCAAATTCATTTCTGCAAAAAGACAAGAATAAAAGTTTCCTGAATAGCGCCTTGGACTCGGGTTTGGTTACACTATAAGTGCGATTATCCTGAAGCAGCTTTTCCATCCACACAGTACAATTATGAATATTTTGACCTGATGCACGAAGGGATTCCAATTTCGAAGTCATGAACGGATCATAGTCTTTCCATTGCGTAGATGATTCAAATATATGTCTGAGGCGGCGATAAAGGTAGCACTCAGTGAACAAATAATCAGAATGGAACCAAGTTGGCTTGGCCTGTGATATAATTGTATCAAAAGGTTCTGATGTAGGTGCACTAAAGCTATTGGGACCCTGGCTTGTAGGAAGGGGCACCCCCAAAGACTTTAAAGGGCGATCATGTGTCAGCTCGTATTTAATGGCTGATACCTTTTCAATGATGACTCTGCCTTCGTGCACTTTATCGGATGCGTTACTTGAGCGAGAAAGTTGATTGCACTCACGAAATAGCCCATCAACAACCTGGGTCAATATGATGGGCCATTTATGCACTGTAGTTTCGTAGGCAAAGCTTGACTGGTAAGTGTCATTAAGAACGCACCTTTGTTTAATGGCTGCACTATAGCGAGCCACCTCAGGTGTGTACATGAAAACGACAAGAAAGCGGAGGTGGATCGTCCTAAGAATTTGAACAAATTAGCTGCTCCACTAACGTCTTTCCGTTCTGTCGACACGGTGGCGAGCACCATTTAGACGATGCCGTGCGTTCTCAACCTTTGTTACTAACTTCAGCATCAATTTGCGTGAGTATACCGCCACGATATCTAATTCCTTTCTTAGCTTCCAACAATTTTAAGTACGTGTACGCTCTGCTGACCTAGACTCACCAATGTATCCATTATTCGCTTAAAAAAAGGAGGGAAACGCTTTGAAGTACGTTCCATTGCACTAACACAGATTGCATGCTACAAGAACAAGGTAAAAGAGTGGCGCTCAGGAGTGTATGTGACAAATGAATTTACCCCAGGGAAAAGGATTTGGATGAGGTAGTCCAAATTGAAAGTGTGTTCCTGAATGTGTCAAAAGGACAGGTGGCTTCGAATGAAGATCTTAAGAAGGCTTTCGGTACGACGGATGCAAAGGAAGCACTACTTGAGATTTTGAAAAAAGGCGAACTGCAGGTGGGCGAGAAGGAGCGTAGCCACGAGCTGTCGAACCTATGGGTAGAAATTGCTACCATTGTGGCGCAAAAGTGTATTGAACCAAGCAGCCAGAAACCCTACACGGTGGGCATGATCGAAAAAGCGATGAAAGATGCGCACTATAGTGTAAAGCCCTCTAAATCTGCCAAAATTCAAGCACTCGAAGTAATCAAGCTTTTACAGTCGAAGGAGATCATCCCGTTGGAGCGTGCACAAATGCGTGTCAGTGTCACTATGGCGGCGAGAGAGGGAAAGCGACTTAAGGATAAAATCTTGCCCCTCTTTTCTCATATTGAGGAGGAAGAATGGGATGACTCCTGGGAAATTGTGGGTACAATCGACCCCGGATCGTTACGTCAAATCAATACACTTTTCGAAACGGAGGTCAAAGGCGAGGGTGGCGTCGAGACTTTAACATTTTCTACTGTGAATAATGATGACGATGAATGATCTTTAGCTTAGGCGAGACACTAGATAAGACATGAGGCATTCCTGCTCATCGGCTGTCACTCGTAGCAGAAGCTGGATAAGTGTGCCATAAGCTTGGGCATCGCGTTTCTCAATGTTTTTCAGAGCAGTCTTGTCGAGTCGCCATACATATGTGTCGATTTCGGCAAGTACATGAGCATTGCGTTTCTGTTGTGACAAAAAGGTGAGTTCTCCTGCCACTGTACCAGCCAGCATAGCCTCATGAACCTCATTGTTACCCTGAGAGAACAAGTATCGGGCTTTGAGCATGCCTGACTCGATAAAATACAGCGCATCAGGTGTATCGCCCAGCTGCCAAAGGACCGTATCCTTTGGCAGAAAGAGCTCTTGCATTTCTGGTACCAAAATCCGGAAAAGATAATCGCACTCGGAATGCTCCATATAGGGTCCCAGTGTACTGGCAAGCACAGAATAGGGACGATGCATAGCATGGTCAGAGAGACGAGTTGGACTCTTAGTAGGACGATGCAAATCCTGGGTGACTTGCTTGGCCGCCTGATGCAAATGTTCATAGCGGGGTGAATTTACAACGCCTTCTGCCAAGTCAATAGCCAGGCGATCATTACGATTTGGCATGCGGAGTGCTGTAGTATCAGCCATAGTCACATGTTTCAATGTTTTGCCAGCAGAGAGATCACTAGAGTAAAGTCCACGAAGATATTCATCTGATGTCAGTTGTCCAACACGTACTCTCTGTCCACTCTAATGCTTCGTTCAAAGAAGCAAAAACCTCCAAATAGGGCACTGCGTCAATCCATAAATCCACTTTTCGAAGGGCAAGAGCAACATCACTATCAAGTCTCAGGCCACAGAAGACAAGATGGACCCCCTTAGAGCTTAGCATGCGATGGATGCGTGTCATGGTCTCAGCTGCTGAGAAATCCATGTTGTTTACGAGGGTGACATCCATGATTAGGAAGCGAATTGGGTTTTTTTTCCATGTAGCCAAATCCAGCAGCTGTCGCACAAGCCGCTCGACTGAGTTGACAGTCCCAAAAAATAAGGAACCATGGAGTTTAAGCACTTGCGTTTGCCGACCGACCTCATCAAGGAAACGGCGCTGCGTGAGCTGTCGTCGAACTGTGCTGCGGGCAGAGTGTCCAGTGAATACAGCGCGTACAACGTTTCGACGGGCAGACTGCATGACAAAAATCAGGCATGCCAACAAGATCCCCACCAGACTGCCCACAACAAAGTCTGACAACGTCATCACCACCACAATAATGACAATGGTGATATACTCTAGTCGGTTGACACGTCCAATGGTGTCCCATAGTGCCTCACGAACAAGGTCGAGACCCAAGACGAAAATAAGCGCCCCAACGACCATAATGGGCAAATATCCAATCATACCAGGGCCCATAAGCAAAACCATGGCAGTAGCACTGGCAAGCATAAGTCCACTCAGTCGCGAGCCGCCTCCGACGCGGTAGAACAGAACCGAATTTACATAACAGAGGTAATTCGGCACTGTTCCTAACATACCCGCACATACATTGGAAATACCATGCGCCACAAGCTCCCGATCTGTATCCACATTGTCCTCACTGAGGCTAACACCAAGTGCCGGTATATTGAGAGGCACATGTAGAATCCCAAAGAAAACTAGGGCCATTTGGGTAGGCATAGTGGCCCATAAAGCATTCCAGTCTAGATTTTGAAAGTCAAAATAGGTGTAAAACCGATAGAATGGTGCGTTTGCCAAATGCTGGATATCAAAAACCCATCCTTGCTCCCATAAAGTCTCCATATTGGCTCCAAATAGAAGAAAAGAAACCATGTAGAATATAACAGGGATGATCAAAAAATAGACTGGCATAATCAGTGGGTGGTGCCAACGTGCTGTAATGGCCTGCAGAAGCACGGCAAGACAAAGAGGGACAAGCCATTGTAAAATTACTTGCGCATTAGCTGATAACGCCTGCATAGTTGCCAAGTTGTATTTGAACCCATCCTCGCCTTCCAATCGAGCGGTCACCGCAAAACCCGTCTCCATCAAGAATACACCGACACCACCGATGCAACCGACAAGGATATGTCTAGGAAAGTAACTGATCAAAACACCTAGCCGAAGAGCACCCAGAATCAAAAATAAGAGTCCTGTGAGCACCGAAGAAAGTGCAAATGCCACCATCGTTGTAGAGACAATGACTTTTGGGTTGTCGGTTCCCGCGACCTGAACAATCACTTTTACCAAGATGTGATAAAATGGCACGACTTCAATCATCATACTTCCATTTCCGCCCTTAAAAACTGACCCGCCTAGGGTGTATACCATCTGAGAAATAATACACGTAACAAAAAACATGGAGACACCGTCGCCGCCGAAAGACGCGAAGATTGGCATGGACGTAGGAAACGTAATCATCCCGTAGGACACACCATCAAGAATATTCAGCAGTAAACCGAGTACCACGGCTGGGACGTTGAGAAGCGGCGCCTTTGCCATGGCAACCACGTCGTCCTTTGAGAGATTTTTGGCCTTTTGTACCCACGCCTCTCCATTAACCCGTGACTCTGTCGCAGCTTGAAAAATCTTCTGGCGTGCTTTCAGGAAACTCCACTGCGAGTCCACATTGACAAGGGCCTCTGCACCAGTGACAACATCCTTGAGCTGGTCGCTGACGGCCTGATATCGGCTGGGCGTTTCATACTTGAGGAGTGGGGTTTGTTCTTCCGAAACATGCAGCAAATTCCTTTCAGGTACATTGGCTGACGTTCTGATGGTATACGAGAGAGATTGGTCTGATAAAATATCACTGTCATTACCGTGCGTAAACGCGCCCAGCATCTGGCCAGCGTCTCCGTCATCATTGACCACTCGATCGGCGAGTTCTGCAGTCTTATCGCGAATATTATCCGAAGTGGCAGTATAATAGGAAGCAGATTGCTCATCTGTCTTGTTGCGAGGTTCTGATAAAACATTTTGGAACCGACAAATCCGTTAGATGATTTCATACGCACTAGCTGCGTCCTTCGAAATTACTGAAGGACGAAATATGAGGAAACGCAGACCCACCTGCCCCCCTATCATGTATGATGCTCGCCTCTAGATCGCTTGGATCGCTGATAAAAGCGTCCTGATCCCCGGTAGACCCTGGACATTGGCTCATGCCAACTAATGTGGTGGTCCGCACCCTTATCTCGCGTCGCTTGCAGCCAGGTAGATTTTCTAGCAGCTTAGTCAGCACAACACTCGCTGTTCACCTTCCGTCGTCGTCTAAGCTCGGCGGCATGGCTTCCATGGATACAACTATGGACGGTGCCGATGGGCCCAAGAAAATCTTGTACAACATGCCACCAGAAATGGTGAGTGGTGAAAATAAAGAGGAAGAGGTGCTTCCGGCCATGCCCGACAAGGAGGCACCTGAGGCAGGTACTCCACCACCTGCACCTGGGGTGGACTATGGGGACTCTTTACGACCGATTGCTCTGCATTTAGAAGGCGAGCCTATCAGTCAATTGTCTACGTCTAGGTTAATGGCTTACGTTGGTCATACAGGCGTCAAAGCAAAAGGAATCGAATGGATCAATGACACGCGATGCGTGGTTGTTTTTGAGTCTTATGCCGAGGCTGTCAATGGTCTTCAACGGCTTTTATTGTACGAAGAAGACTATATATTACCTGAAGAAGGCCATATCCACGAGCACAAGGAAATTCTATTGCTTCCACGCCTAGTCATGTCCTTTCCCCGTTCTCTGTACACCACCGTGGAGGAACAAGCTGCCTCCAGCCTCCCTGAACTACAGACGAAGATCACTGAGAAGAAGAAAGAGATGGAACTAGCATCTGATCCAGCCCCGCAAATATATCGCGACATGGAGCTGGAAGAATTTGAGCGTAGTATTTTATCTCCTGATCATTTACGCGTCAAGAAGCTCAGGCAGCCGCTCTGGGTTCGATTTGCCCTACATAACCATGATACCAAGGCAGAAAGATCCGCGCAAAAGAGCAATTGGTACCGACAACATGGACGGGGCGCAGGCAAGGAGGTCGTGTCGCGGCTTCTAAAGGTGGGCGACGTTGCTTCTTCAAGGCGCGAGCGACGCCATCGCTCTGGCCCATCCGAATCTCAACGTCGATCTACAGACACAGACACAGACTATACACCTCTCTCCCTGTTAGACCGTATTGGTGGTCGCCCTGGTCGTGATTGGGAGGATGACGAATCGTTGCGATTTACGCGTGATCGTTCCGCTTCACCTGAGCGGGCTGATAAGGGCATGAACATTCGTGGTCGAGGCTCTGTGCGTGCGCCTCGATCCACCATGGCCCGATGGGACGAGGACAGCGGCTCGTCGCGCTAGATCCTGCATGCCATTACACTCCACATACCATTTGACCTCTCTAGAATCCTATCACGTGCGGAAGCTCCGCACGCACCCTTACTGCCATGCGAAGGCCTCGTTGGGCCGAGCTGCATTAGATTTTGGTAATTTTGAAAAATAGTCTTTCATTTCCTGTGAGAAATTTTCACCTTGAGAAGGCGCGAGCGCTACGCCTTCTTACCGTATTTCTTAGTGTGGTGCTCATCTGAGGCACCTCCTTTTGAAAGCTTTCTCTAGAACCAAGCAGTTAGTCGTTCGACCCCTTCGAACGCATTCCATCAAAACTATCAGCCAAGATGTCTAAGTACGTTTTTTAAAAAATGGAAGATCACTAACCACAAGGCCCGAGGATGCCCCTGTTGCCACCGATATGCAGATTACCGACGGTGAGATCCAGTCCAACTGGGAGGAGGTTTACGACAACTTCGACAACATGGGCCTAGCGCCTGAGCTTCTCCGTGGTGTATTCGCCTACGGTTTTGAACGTCCCTCGGCTATTCAGTCGCGCGCGATTGTGCCTGTCATTAAGGGTCACGATGTAATTGCTCAGGCCCAGTCTGGTACGGGTAAGACCGCTACTTTCTCGATTGCCATCCTGCAGCGTATTGACCCGAACCTTAAGGCTGTGCAGGCTCTTGTCCTCGCCCCGACTCGTGAGCTGGCTCAGCAGATCCAGAACGTCGTTGTGGCTCTGGGTGACTACATGAACATTCAGTGCCATGCTTGCATTGGTGGTACAAACGTGCGTGAAGACATGGCTCGGCTCAGCGATGGCGCTCAAGTGGTTGTTGGTACGCCTGGTCGTGTGTACGATATGATCAATCGCCGTGCTTTCCGGACCGACCACCTTAAGATGTTCTGTCTGGACGAAGCTGACGAGATGCTTTCTCGCGGTTTCAAGGACCAGATGTACGAGGTGTTCCAGCTTCTGCCTCAGGACACCCAGGTCGTGCTTCTTTCCGCTACTATGCCCGAGGATGTGCTGGCCGTGACCAAAAAGTTTATGCGCGACCCTGTTCGCATTCTGGTCAAGCGCGATGAGCTGACGCTTGAAGGTATCAAGCAGTTCTACATTGCCGTTGAAAAGGAGGAATGGAAATTCGAAACACTTACTGATCTCTACGAGACCGTAACTATTACTCAGGCCGTGATCTTCTGCAACACTCGTCGCAAGGTCGACTGGCTTACGGAGCAGCTCCACGCTAAGGAATTCACTGTGTCGGCCATGCATGGTGATATGGACCAGCAGCAACGTGAAGTAATCATGCGTGAATTCCGTTCGGGTTCTTCTCGTGTGCTGATCACCACTGATCTGCTGGCCCGTGGTATCGATGTCCAGCAAGTGTCGCTGGTAATTAACTACGATCTTCCTACAAACCGTGAGAACTACATCCACCGTATTGGTCGTGGTGGTCGTTTCGGTCGTAAGGGTGTTGCGATTAACTTTGTCACTGAGGATGATGTGCGCATGATGCGTGACATTGAGCAGTTCTACAACACCCAGGTTGAGGAGATGCCTCTCAATGTGGCTGACCTTATCTAAGCGGCTTTGTCTTCAGGCCGTTTTATTCTCTCGCACGAGCAAGATCGGCTTGTACCTGTCCGTATAAGGGCTGCATGACTCTATGATCAGCTTAGTGTATATGAGTACGGCTATTTGCTGGTACCATAGCTCGACTTGCACGAATCCTATACCAGCATAGGTCGAAAATTTTCTTTACGATGACGTATTCCACATTCCTCCCTGGCCACTGATTTTACACTTGACATGCAGTGTCTCTTAGGCCTCCGGTAGGGGTCCGAGCTTGAATTAGTTGAGCGCGAAGCTGGTTAGCATAAATTTCATATGAATTTGTCGCTCTTGCTTGTGCCACACTTATGACACCTGTGCGTCCACTATCAGTCAATACAGGTCTTTGTACAATGGATGACTCGCTGGCCAGTTCAGGGCCTTCCGTGAAAGCATGTCTATCGGCGCAGGTTTCGCGTACTTCCTGTCATGCCCGTATCAGATCTCTACCTTCCAATCTACCTCAGCGTACACCCATTAGACCCGTGAGCCCACGTCGCCGCACAACGATTGCATGCGAAAGATGCCGACTGCTTAAGGCACGGTGTGACGCGTCTTGGCCTCGATGCAGCAACTGCTGTAAAGTGGATGCCGATTGCAAAAAGTCTTATTATACAAGTGGCTCAGCCAAGCAATATATCGAGAGTCTAGAGCAGCGTTGCATGGACTTGGAGCAATGCTTGGATGCCTTAGTTACCCGCTCGGCTGACAACCCAATGACACCCGCAGACAGGGAAGCGATCGCCAAGGATCCTGCTACCATGCCATGTCTCCCTGTTATAACGGAGACGGGCAAGCAAAGTGAATTTTGCGTCACACCCCTGTTGCTGCCTCACATTCCGTTACCTGAAGCAACCCCATCCACATGGACATGGGATGGTTCCATGATGACGGACCTTTTTCCGATGTACAGTCCGGCTTCCCTTCAGCCTGACACAAAGCCCCAAACAAGCCTTGATGTTCAGTCAGGATCGCACAGCTCGTTGGAACTACTTTCCGATCTTGACCTTACTGGGATGCGCGACACCATCTAAACACGTTGCTTATAGGCATACTTGCGTTCATGTCCTGTCCCTGTGGGCGCCATATCTGTGTCACCTACGCTAGGATCATAGAAGCTTGGGTGAGAGCGAGAATACGTACATTTTTCCTCGAAGCAATTGAGCAAGCGTTAAGACACTCATAGCAAGCCAAAGTACGACGACTGCCAGAGTAATCACCACAGAGAGAACCTTGAAGCTACCCGAATCGAACACTTGGCCAAGCTGTATTGTGGCGATACCAAACACACCTAAGGGGAAGGTCGTTCCCCACCACCCAAGATTGAATGGAAAAGGTGAAACAAGAAGTAGATCTCCCACCACAAACAGTGCTAGGACAAACCAGAAAAAGCCCAGGCCCCAGAAGCCTAGTGACACGACGACGGATGCTCCGAGTAGGCCTAAATTTAGAAGATGCGCATCTTGTGGGGATATAGAAGTTGGCGCAAAAATCGGCTGTCCCAGATCAGTTTGAAGTTTGTTTATAGACGTAGCCAAATGAAGCAAACCATAAGAAGCCTGAGCAGAAGGACCAAGGGGTAAAAAGACAGAAATGATGACTTTTGCAGGAGGTATTTTAAAGAAGACAAGTCGCGCGTAGTAGATCGTCATTTGAAAAAAAATCACGCTCAGAGCGGCGCCTTTCATCATATAGGCCACGATGATAGTAATCTTAGCCGGTCTCAAAGGAAGCACATCCGCTACAACTGCACCTGCGGAAGCTGTAACGGTCACTGCCACAATCGGGAGAAACCATAATCCTGTCACTGTATTGAGCTCATGTGATTGACGCGTAGCCTTTAAAAAGGGCACCAGGAGAAGTAAAGAAATAGAAAAAATAGAATTGATCCACCAGAGAACCCAAACAAAGATGGCAAAGGAATGATGGCGCCCATCGGAGATAAAGCCGAGCACACACATGTTGATCAGTGTAGTGAAGCCCATCGAGAGAGCCCCAAGAAACATGGAGCTGACTGGATCAAGTAGTGTTCTTAGCAATAACGGTGGCCATATGATGCACCGAAGTACAGAAATGATCATAAATACAGCGAACAATAGAATGTTGATACCAAAAAATATTAGGGCCAGGGCATGCAACCCATTAAACCGGTAAGGCAATGATTCTAGAAGAACAGATACAATACCAGTGCCCATATTAATGGAAAACCATGCAGGGGAAAAATGCAACAAGAACATGCGTCCCCATGCCCAGAATTTGTTGTTGCGACGATCGTCAAGGTCTGTCTTGACCACTGTGTCGTCCGGCTGCCGATGCGGAAGGCCCTGCATATGGTCTCTTATTCATAAATAACTTTTCAAAAACCACTGCTGTTGCCTGAGCGCCGACGCACCGCACGAAACGCAGGTATTCTTGGGCTAGTTGGTGGCGTCGTGAAACTTATGGCAACTTCGCGCCGAGTGGAGGCTCCACGTGCCTTCGCGTCCGGCACTGCCGTGTCGACGCGGCATACCAACACCGTCCAGCACCGCCCAATACACGTTTGCTCAGCGTGATTCCTCCGTTGATCGTGCTATCGTGCCAAAGTGAGCCATATGACATCACTTGGCTCTGAATATCACGCAAAATCCATCCCTTCAACTACGTATTCGCATAACCCCCAGGAGCATTCACCGGACGGTTCGGTCCATCATAGCGAAGTGCTTTCGTCACAAGTGAACAGCCAGCTTACCCCTACGATTCTACCTATCCATTCCAAGAGTATGGGTCATTCCACTCTCTCCGCAACCGAAGAGATGGGCCACAGTCGTTCTCTCTCTTCGGTGGACAAGATCGAGGAGAAGCAACAAAACACTCGCAGTGCTCGAATGTCCCAATTCGCGAATGCTATGCCTTCTAACAGTGCTGCTATGCCTCTTACAGAGCGCGTTAAGCTATGGTCTTCGAACGACACTATCATGCTTATATTTTACACATTTTTGTCGATACTAACGCGTCTCTATCGTATTGGCAGCAACCACAAAGTCGTTTGGGACGAGGCCCATTTTGGTAAATTTGGCTCCTACTACATTCGACACTTATTTTATTTTGATGTTCATCCACCTCTAGGGAAGATTCTTGTCGCTGTGGCTGGCTGGTTAAGTGGCTTTGACGGCAACTACGAATTTGAGTCGGGCTCTGACTATCCGGACAATGTGCCTTTTGTTCGAATGCGCATCATTATGGCATTGTACGGTATTGCCATGGTACCTGTGGCATACATGACAGCACAATCTCTGGGATGGAACTGGAGATCGAAGCACTTATTTACGTTGATGGTGCTACTTGGTGCGTACATTCGACTTACACAGACAATGGCTGGCTTACAATCTCACGTTTCATATTACTCGATTCCATGTTACTTGTTTTCACGCTCTGTGTTGTTCTAGGCCTGGTTCGCTTCCATGCCTGCCGTGGACATCCTTTTACGAAGGTGTGGTGGTTCTGGCTTTTCTTCACTGGTGCCTCTATTGGATGCGTGACTAGTGTAAAGTTAGTGGGCCTATTTGCGACGGCACTGGTAGGTCTCTACACTGTGGAAGACCTATGGAACAAGCTAGGAGACCTACGCATGCCCGTGGTAAGTGCCATTGTTTTGACCCTCAGCGAGCGTACCTGCGGCACTGGTGTGCTCGGATTGTGGCACTCATTTTTGTGCCTATTTGTATCTATTTGGTCAGCTTCAAGCTTCACTTTATGATCCTTTATAAAAGTGGGTCTGGTGATGCCCAGATGAGCAGTCTCTTCCAGTCAAACCTGCAAGGCAGTGAACTCTCTCAGTTCCCGCTGGAAGTGGCGCTTGGCAGCAAAGTAACGCTAAAGAACATGGGCTTTGGCGGCGGTCTGCTGCACTCTCACATCCAGACATACCCCGAAGGGTCACAGGAGCAGCAGGTGACCTGTTATCACTACAAGGACACCAACAATCATTTTGTTCTGGCACCATTATTTGATGAACCTCCTCTTCCTGGTCCTAATGATACTGTGACGGAGCCGCCTATGATCATTCGGCATGGTTCCGTGTTTCGACTGTCGCATGTAGAGACGTCCAAGAGTCTTCGTGCACACAAAAGTCCCGCCCCGGTGACCAAGGAGCATTATGAAGTGTCTGGGCATGGTGATGGTACAACAGGCAATTCCCATGACTACTGGGTAATTGAGATCATCGACGACCTGCAAATGGGCAAAGTGCGTCCCGAAATGCCAGTGCATACACTTACCACGCGCTTCCGCCTGCGCAATGTCCAATTGGGCTGTTATATGCGTGCAGCCAATGTGGTCTTGCCTGACTGGGGTTGGAAGCAGACGGAGGTGACATGTGTGCCTGATGACCAGCCATATGATACCTTCACTCACTGGAACGTGGAGAACCACTGGAACCCTCGTCTACCGATCTCAACGTCGAAACAGCGCTATCGCTCTCCATTCTTAAAGGACTTTTTGCACCTGAATGTGGCTATGATGGTGTCGAACAATGCACTGGTACCTGACGAAGATAAGTTTGATATCCTGGCATCCAAGCCGTTGGAATGGCCGTGGATGTGGAATGGTCTCCGTATGAATGGCTGGGGTGCTGACCAGGACAAGTACTACCTCATTGGTAATCCAGTTGTCTGGTGGGGTAGCACTGCTTCTCTATATGTGGCTGTGGTATTGCTTGCATGGTATATTCTGCGGCGCCAGCGCCACATTATCGACATGGATCCCAAGACTTGGGCTGATTTTTTGTTTGGCCTAAAGGTCGGTGGCCTTGGCTGGTTCCTGCACTATTTTCCATTCCTGATGATGGGCCGTGTGACCTACATTCATCATTATTTGCCAACTCTCTACTTTGCTGTGATTGTGTTTGTGCATTTGCTCGACCACTTTTTGTGGAACGAGGGCACGGCACGCTACCGCATTGACTGGCGACTGTTCCTTCAGACTGGTCGCTTGCAGGCCGGGAAGCTGAATCCCCTTGTTCAAGACACCTCGGCGCCTGTGTTAGGCAAGCCGTTGTCACAGCGCACCAAGAACATTTCCTTTGGCGTATGCGCTGCGCTTGTTATCTGTGTGTTCCTATGGTTCAAAGGCGTGTCCTTCGGCTTGTATGGGGATATTAGCGACTGGCACTACCTCAAGTGGCGCAAGACATGGAATATTTACTAGATCAGAACTCCAAACTTGTGTCATTCAGAGCAACGCACACCGCGGCGCGGTGATGCCCATTGTACTGGCGCATTGTTTCGCCGCTAGACAGTTCCCATAATCGTGCCACATGGTCAGACGATGCAGACACAAGATAGGCGCTATCGGCACTGAAGGCGAGGTCCCACACCCACCGCTGGTGTCCCGTGAGCACTTTATCCAGTTTGAACTGGTAGTGGCTCGTAGACCAAATTTTGACCGTGGTATCTGCGGAACAAGTCGCGAGATAACGCGCATCAGGGCTCAACGCGCACCGTGTGATGTACGTGTTATGGGCCTGGAACTTCGTCACAGGCTGCAGATCTGTCAGTTCGTTTTGGCCATCGCCAACGATCGGAGATCCATCTGCACCATAGGATCCTCCTTGGATCCGCCAGACATAGACATTCCCCTTGTTATTCGCAGCCACAAGACATGAGCCATCAGAGGCAATAGATACACTTCGCATCGGCACCTCTTCCTCGGGCACCAGCTCGTGACTGCATCCGTTCATGCTCAGGTCCCAAACTTTGACGCTGCCATTCTGGTCACAGGATACAAGCTCTCCCTGGTTGGGATGAATCACCACATCGTTGACAGGTCCCGAGTGATTGTACACACGCTGCGTCCGTGATGTGCGCGTATCCCAAATCCGCAATGTGCCATCTTCACTGCCGCTCACCAGCCACTTCCCATCACAGTGCCACGCAACAGAGGTCACATTGCCCGTGTGTCCCTCAAATGTGGCGACAGGAGACACATTTGCACCTCGGCCAGATGCATCTGTGCTAGTCTGTGCGACCGAACTAGGATGGCAGTCATACAATTTAACTGTATTGTGCCCAGCAACTGCAAGAAGCTTTTTATCGGGAGAAATCGCAAGGCGGTTTACCTGTGAGTCCGAATACTGGATCGTGTGAGAGCAAATGCCCGACCATGCCTCCCAGAAGCGAATTGTATGGTCGTATCCTGCAGTAACAAGAATGACTGAAAGCGCATCTTGCTCGAATGTAGCACTTGATGTCATTCTTGACTCTTCTTCGCTTCGGGAAGGCGCACTTTTAGACGCGGAGCTACCTGCAGGCGCCACGTCCGTCAGCATCGTTGTGCAGGAGTGCTCGGACACCAGGGTGGAGACTGTGCGCCGAGTGTGCATCGTCCGTGCTCACCACGTGGGTTCGTCACGTGACCATCAACTCTTCCTTGGGACCTCGTCGAATCTTCCTGTTACTCGTTGTGCGCGACAGGGTCCTGTTGCTGCTGTGGTCAGTCAGTATGCAGGGACACGCGGCATGGGTGCCCCGCACCGTGCGCCGTGCTTTATCTACTATGAGTGCTACTATGAATGCAACTCCTGTCTCTACCATGCCGCACGCAGTAACTGATGCGCCAAAAGGCCATTTGCCGCGCATGGCGCGCTCGCATCCTGCCATTTGGACGTCACTTCGTGCACAAGCTCCATCGGCCATTGCATCTCTTGGTGCGCGTGTTCATCTTCTCCCAATGTCAATCTCGGAGGATGATCGCCGCCGCCGCATGGGGCTCGTCCGCGTGGCTTGCACGCATCCCAGCCTTCTGTCTGTTCAGACGATGGCTCGAGAACTTGCTCTGTCCCACTCCGAACGAGCGGAGGTTCCTGAATTGAGTGAGGACATTATGCACAATGCTCAGTTGTCCACGCTCGGTAATGCCCTACTTGGTCTCTTGGCTTCGGAATATTTTCATCTCAAATTCCCCCACCTACCCACCCGTGTACTCAAGGCATTTGTGAGTGCCTATGTGGGACCGAGCACACTGGCTAATGTCGGTGCGGAACTCGGTGTGCTTAGCCAGGGTGTTCAGCGCTGGGACCGCACGGGCGCCTCGGTCGTTACCCGGTCTTTAGCACATGGCGGTACTGCCTCCGCGCCGCTTCTTAGCAAAGACGTGGCCGCGCAGTCGATGCGCGCCCTTGTTGCTGTTATGTTCCAAGAGCTGGGCATGGCTGCGACGCGTGGTTTTGTGCACGGCCAGATACTCAGCCGACGCCTGGACCTTGCCAACCTGCTCAAGTTCCGCGACCCGAAACGGGTTCTCTCGTCCACTTGCAAAAAATACGGCAAGCCTGCGCCGCAAAGCCGCTTGCTGGCGGAGACGGGTCGTTTGAGCATCAATCCTGTTTTCGTGGTGGGTGCTTTTTGCGGTACTATCAAGCTGGGCGAGGGCACTGGCAGCAGTATCCGCATGGCCGAGTACCGTGCTGCGGAGGACGCTCTGCGCCGATTGTACCTCTCCGAATTGCCCGATGGCTCGTTTGTCCTGCCATCAACCACCCTTGATGCGAGTCGTGCGGGTCACGGCCCGATGCCTCACTCGCTCCAAAATGCCGCGGCGCGCCTCATGTCGACACAATTTGAAGCGCAACCGCTCGGCCGCAGCGAAGTGCTGCACGAGTCGCGCGGCTAATATCCTGTATGTAACCCTATGAAAAGTACTCGGGTATCAAAACCTAGTCACGCAGTAGTGCATTGACCACATGGGCCACGCGCAGTTGACGCAAGTCTGTATAGGTTTGGCCTGTGCCAACGAAGAAGATAGGCAGGCCAGTCGCCCAGGTCGATGTGAGGGCCGTGCCGACTTTGTCCTGCGTGTGAGGTGCGCCTTTGTACATACATCGACTGTATCCCACTTGGTAAGCAAACACCCATCCAAGCCGCGTGGATGGGTGACGCCACTGTAGTCCTTCAGTGCCCGATGGAACTTGGTGAGCTGGTCCACGGCCTCGTTTCCGACCAAGGCTTCGCCGACAAACAGCACTTTGTCTGGTTGGTTGACCGCAATCAGCTTCGCAAGTGCACGCATTAGTGGTTCATTGTCCTGCATGCGGCCCGCCGTATCGATCAACACCACATCGAAGCCCTGCGTACGTGCATAAGCAAGTGCCTCTTTCGCAATACCTGCCGCATCTTTGCCGTAGCCGCGCTCGTACAGTTGCAGCATTGTCTCGCCCGTGTCGGGCATACCGTCTGCCACACGATGACCGTCGATCTCCAGTTGGCCGAGGTTTCGAACATGGGTTCGGAGCTGCTCCACAGCTCCGCTGCGGAACGTATCGCAAGCAGCAATGAGTACACGATAGCGATTTTGCAAGAGCCAGAAGCACACCTTAGCCAAGTTCGTTGATTTACCGACACCATTCACACCGACGAAGCCAATGGCATAGGGATTCAGTGCGGGTGACGTCTGACCACGTAGGGCATGGGCAGGAAGTGTTGCAGCCAGCTCTGCACGACGCTTTTTCTTGCTCGCAATCTCTAGAAGGATATCTGTGCTGGTACTGGGTGTAAGAATTCTCGTGATCGACTCTTCCAGGGACTTGCGGACCTCCGCCTTGACGCTACCAAAGTTTCCAATGCGCTTGCCAAGAAGGCGCTTTTCCACACCCTCACAGATTAAAGAAGCAACATCGTTCGCCACATTTTTCGATTGCAAATGCATTTGCATAGCATGCAGCACTGGTGCCAAATCTTCTTTGGTGAGTGCGTCCTTTTTCCCGGTAATGCGGGCAAGGAGCGATGAGGAAGAGCCGGCAAGAGTACTGAAAAAGCTTGGCGACGTATCGTTTTGTTCCGCCTCGTCGTCAGCTAGCTCATACACGCCATCTGCGCGCTTCCTGCCTAACTTGCTTTCATCGATCCACTGACTCAAGTTCACCTGAGACGTGTCTGCCTTCTCCTTACTGAAGTCCAATGCAGCGATGCTGCCTTCTGCAAGAGGCTCATTGCTGTCACCCCATTTGCGCCGATCTTTCCCTTGGGCTGACTTCTTCGTCTCGGTGCTCGGGGACGCCACGGATGCAGCGGTGCCGGTAGTGCTTTTAGCTTTCTTCCCCTTGCCAGAGACGACGCGGCGGCCTCCTGGTCCAACGTCAGCCTTCTCATATTTGAATGTCGGCGCTGGCGAATTGCTGCTCGGCGATAGCTTCTCTGGTGTAGAGTCTACCGGTTCGGCAGGACGAATCTCGCGCTTGGCTGGCTTTGCAGACTCGAGCGTGCGAAGGATCTGCATGAATTCCGTGCCCCACTGCTCCGTACTTTGCGCAAATGCAACAAGAGTACTGAGAGATACACTGTTGTCCAAGAGACCTCTCACCAAGTCGGAATACCGCTCAACAAAATGTCCGCACACAACTTCTAGCAGAGGTTCCACGTAGGTGAGTGACAGGATACGCTGGTGAACGGCCTGTGTAAGAATAGATTAGCGCACCATAAAGATGAGATTATGCTCATTAGAGAGGAGCCATCGGGCGGTATAGCCGTCCAGGTCTAAACGCTGCGAGGCTGTGCGCTCCTCCAGGAACGATGTCCGAACGACGCGATTGACCACGTCGTGACTTTTGGCTGATGGTGCAAACAGCTTATTCCATATTATCGCACCACCTATTCATGAGAACGAGTTCTCTGAGCGACTTACCTTTCGTGAAGATCACGAATTGATCCAGCATCGTGGGTGTCGGCTACGTCAAACTACCTCCACTTGGCCCCAGGTCGCCGTCCATGGCTAGGACACATGCACATAGGTCAGGGTCATTCCACCAGGGAATACCAGAGGCGCGCGCAGTATACTGACGTAGTAAGATCAAAGTAACGTACAGTTAGAACACCCCGCAGCAAAGAAATTTGCGAAGGCACGTTCGGAACTGGCCCAGAGCGGTTCTCATTCAGCCGCTGTGCAACCCAAGTGCGAAGGTCTTCTATAAGTCCGGGCAACACACCTTGAAGCTCATCCAAATACGACGCGCTTTTTGCGCGTGTATAATCGATTTCTCTCTGTGTTTGAAGAATCTGCATTGCAAGAGCATCCCGCTCGCGTAGCAGCGCCCTCACGCCCTGCTTTTCCCCTGTTGCACTTAACGCCTGTACGACCGATAATGAGCTCTCAAGACTGAGTTAGCGGACGCATACATACCATGAAAGAATAGCACGGCGTACGGCGGCGCCTTTTTCATGAGCATGAAGAATATGAGACTTCTGCTGGACCGCGTCCGCCGAGGCGTCCGGCGCTGGCATCAGCGGTGGAGAGGCGCATCGCCCCACCGCACGTCCCCAGCGTGCCTCCACAGCGCTTTCGAGGCAGCCATGGCGGAACCGATTGATGCGGAGCAGGCAGAGCGTTTTTCTTCTTTGGCTCTCTTCCTAGTGCTCTTCTTGCTCATAGGTAGCTTTCTTACAAGCTACTACCTAAAAATCAAGCGTATCACGGCTGTACATGAGACCATTGTTGGCTTATTTGCGGGTACGTTGAGGTCGCTCACTCGGCAGGCATGTTTGTTGGACTGGCCCTTCGAATCGGTCCACTAGAGCATGTACGCGACATGCTTTCTTTCAGCAATACAATCATGCTCAATTTACTCCTCCCCCCGATTATTCTGGCTAGTGGCTACGATCTGAGTCAGGCCAAGTTCTTTCGCAACTTCGGCACCATTTTATCTTTTGCATTTCTAGGTACCTTTATGAGTGCGGTCATCATTGGGTATGTATCACGGATCTAACGCAGCGTCATTGTGTGGTTAGCGTCTATGCTGCGCTTGGAGCAACCTAAGCTCTCGCTCCTTGATGGCCTCATCTATGGAAGCACTCTTAGTGCCACGGATCCGGTGACGATCCTGGCAATTTTTAACACGTACAAGGTGGATCCCCACCTTTACAGCATCATTTTTGGTGAAAGCATCCTAAACGATGCCGTATCGATTGTCATGTTTGACACGCTTAGCCAAATGAGGGGCTCGCATCTTTCATTCATGTCCGTACTTCACGGCTTTGGATTCTTTGCAGTCGTATTTAACGTGAGTATGGTTCTTGGCGTACTCTTTGGTCTTTTGTGCTCTTTACTACTAAAACACACGCGCCTACGGCTCTACAAGGAGCTGGAATGCTGTGTGGTGCTGCTGGTGGCCTACGCGAGTTACTTCTTCAGTAACGCGGTGGAAATGAGCGGCATCGTTTCACTCTTATTTTGCGGTATCACTCTCAAGCACTATGCCTATCACAACATGTCGCGGCGCACGCAAAGCATGTCGAAAGGGATCCTTCAGACCCTCTCCAATGTACGTTGACCCTGCTCACGCAGCTCTCCGAAAACTTTATCTTTATTTATCTGGGGCTTAGCATGTTTACTGGAAAAAACCTCGTGTATCAGCCCTTGTTGATTATATTCACCTTGGCAGCTGTGGTATTCTCGCGATACTGCTCTGTCTTCTCCATTGCATGGGTGCTAAATATGCTCAGCGAGTGGCGCACGGCCCAGCGCCAGGCTCGCAATCCTGGGCTGCCACACCAGACGTACCAGTTGCCGCGCAATTACCAGCTGATGTTGTTCTGGGCTGGACTGCGTGGTGCAGTCGGTTTCGCTCTTAGCGAAGGTATTGTGGGTGAGAATGCCCAGGCACTACAGACTACTGTGCTCGTCGTTGTGGTGCTCACTGTGATTGTCTTTGGCGGCACAACGGCGCAGATGCTGGAAGTGTTGCAAATTCAGACAGGCGTGCAGGATGAAGAGGCTGAATCTAGTGAAGATGATCTCGACTCTGACGCTCACGCATGGCTTTCGTATGGCCACCCTGCTGTTTCTGATACCCCTGCGTATCAGGATACACAGCACAGTGGCTATGTGCCGAGTACTGCTAACGATACCAACGAGATTCTACCTTCTGTTAACAGCTCGAGCAATGCGCTTCCTCAGGCGATTGTCGCTGGACCCGGTGGCTTGCGGAGTGTCAGCAACGACGAACTAGATATCATTGATCCTGACGAGCCCATTGATCGGGCGCGCTCAGCGCGGGCTATGTTGGACCAAGCGAACCTCATTTTCCGTGACGGCCAGTGGTTCCAGCGTATTGACGAGCGATACCTTCTCCCCATGTTCAGCAACACGGTCGCCAACCGCAAGCATGAGCAGCGGAAAGAACAATTACAAGCACGGCGCGCCATATCACGCGAGTGGTCGGCCGGCGAAGCGACCAACATTGCAGTACCTTACAATTCGTCCGATGTGGCAGGGCCTTCCGACTCGGGGCGTGTCTCTCCTAATAAAAATAAACAGCACTAATTGTATAGTATCTATGCAGTACCGGGCGACGGAAGATGATCCAGGATGTCTGTCAGCGCCTGGCAGTTCTCCCGCTCCAGCATGCTATGGCCAGCCGGCGTGCGTCGATAGTCCACATCAGTGTGACCCACATCGCGAAGGGCCGCAATAAGCTCTTCCGCCTGGAACATGGGGCACACCATATCATAGCGTCCGTGCACAATATGGATGGGAATTCCCTTGAGGCGCTGCACATGGGCGAGGATGTAGTTTTGGTTACGGTTTGATTCGCCAGCCCCGCCCAGGAACGAGCCATTGATAAAGTAGTGGTTCTCAATACGCGCAAAGGCCTTCGCAAACCGGACTTCTTCGTAGTGGTTCGGCTTCGAGGCATCGAGCGACAGGTAGCTGGTGCGGCCTTCCCATCCCGCCCAGGCCTGTGCAGCACGAATCTGGTATTGTAGATCGGCATCGTCACGAGGCTCGCGCGAAAAGATGGCATCGTATGCGCGGATCATGTCGTGTCGCTTCTCAGGTGGAATCACACGCACGTACTCATCCCATGCCTCCGGATAGAGCTGGTAGCTACCTGGCAGCGACGTATCCATCGGATCGTGCTCGTACACGGCAGCATTGCCCTGGTAGAAGAAGTCCAAGTCTTTCTTGCGACATAAAAAGATGCCACGCAAAATCAAGCGAGACACATGTTCCGGGTGCGCAATCGCGTAAGCTAGAGAGAGTGTGCTGCCCCAGCTTCCGCCAAAAAGATGCATCTTGCCGGTGATGCCTCTGTGGGCGCGCAGCTTATTCATATCTTGGATCAGGTCCGCCGTCGTATTGGCGCGCAGGGCCGGACCTGCATCATTGTCCGAGGCAGAAGGTCGACTTTTTCCGCAGCCACGTTGGTCAAATACCAGGACACGGTAGCGCTGTGGGGCAAAAAAGCGCGCCACAAATGCATCGCTGCCTCCGCCAGGTCCTCCGTGCACGCACATCACAGGCTCGCCATTGGGATTGCCATACTCAGCCCAGTAGATCTGATGGCCCTCAGACTGTACATCGAGGTGGCCAGACGCCAGCGGCTCGGTCTGTTCGTATTTCCAGTCGGCGGGTGTTACTTTGCTCAGGTACATGATGGCGGCGAGTTTGCCCGATCTGTCCCCCGCTTTTAGTACAAATTCGTAGATCTATATGCCTTGTTCCGAGGATAGAATCTAATAAACCCAAGACCCAGAGGTCCTTCACGGTGATGTGTCGTCGAGACGGGCACATGTATCACCATTCCTATTCTAGGCGGGCGACCTGGCCACTGTTTGGTGCTTCATTAGGGGCCTCGCGTACGACAGGGCCCTGCTGAGGCACACCCTGCGAGGCGCTGGATGCCCGGGCCACCTCCTCGGGGCGGATTTCGTGCGGCACTGTAGTGGCCTTGCGCAAAAGCTCATTTACCGCAGCCAGCTGACGCTGCACAGCAAGACGGTCTGCATAAAGTTGCTTGCGACCAGCTTCAATGGAGCGCCGTTCAGCCTCAAGCAATGACTCCAGTTCTTCGAACTGCGACATTTTTAATTGCATCTTCTTAAGCTGGAGCTCGATCACCTGCTGCACAAGCCGCTGGCACTCGCGTTCCTCATGAGTCGCGAGTACATAAGCCTTGGAGGCTGCTGCACCAAGTGCAATCGAGGCAGCATGTTCAATCTGGTCTTTCGGGATCGTGTCCTGAGTGGCTGGTCCGCTAGAGACTGCCTCAGCGGTCTCCTGCTCCTTGGCTGGGTCCACGTCCATGTCAGCTCCTTTCGCTGCGTCTGACGAGGCTTCGGTCTCCTGAGAAGCCGCCTTATCGCTGCTCTCGCCACTAGCCGCAGCAATCTTGCGCTTGATTCCGTCCGTCAAAGTGCCTAGTGCGCTCTGCGCCGCGGCGGCTGCCACAGCCGGACTCACCGCACTGGCCAGCAGCGCAACAATGCTCATGACGGGGTTGTCTGACTGCGCAAAAGGCACAAGTGGCATGGGCTTGTCACCTGTAGGATCACGAGGAGCGTACTGCAGAGCGCCAAGGTCGCCCTGCGCAACGCCATCGAGATAGCGATCCTGGATAGGTAGCTGGATAAACTTGGTCACACATTGCTCGCGTGAGCGAGTGCCGACATGCAGCGATACCATGCCCCAGTCCTCCTCGTACATTTCAATACCCTCGAGCAGCTTGAGCGTTTCCTCGTCGGTCCAGTCGTCATCCCCGCCGCCGCCGGCGCTGCCTGCATGCTTAAAGGCCGTTTCATCCAGACGCACAAACTCACCAGAGTACATGGACGATGGAAAGCGGCCTTCCAAGTAGCAGGGTGGGCACAGCGAGAAATCCTTGGCCTTGATGCTCTGATATCGAGACGAGGTGCAGTCCACACCGCATGTGTCGCACGAGTAAGCCGGCTTTTTGTCGTTCTCTGCCAACTCGCGCTGCGCATGCGCTGCGAGCGAGTTGGCCTCTGCATGGTCCACGGGCCTCGAACCCTTAAGCGTAGATTGGAAAATGGACTTGCGCAGCTCAAGCGGCACACCATCCGTGGGCACGCTCTCAGTACCGGTCTCGCTCTTGACCTGAGCATCAGGTCGAGTACCAGGATGCAGAGGCGCCAGACCCCGCGGTGTATCGATGAGTACACGAAAATGGCCGGTGAAGGGAGGACCCAGGGCGGCTGGTCGCGTTTCGGGGTCAATTTGATAGTTAATGAGACCCCACTGTTCCAGGAAGGCATGCACACGCATGATCGCACATACGTCACCAGCAAGATTACGGCGGCAAGCTGTGAAAGTCAGGTACTCGCTGGGGTTCAGGCGGTACGTATTAATCATAAAGTCACGGTATTCTTTGTACACAGTCGGGGTCTTACTGCGGTTCTTGTTATTAAAGAACTCAGGCAAGGAGCGCTTCTCAATTGCGTTGATCGTCGACATGTCGAACCATGTCGAATACGAAGGAATGATCACCTCCTGCGTCTGTTCCGCCAGGTACTTGCGCGCCATATTTACGGCATCATCTCGGTCAACAGACTCTGTCGAAGCGTCGGCCGCCTCCGCGGCACGAACCGCGAGAGTTTCTTGCGTAGAAGACTCTTCGAAGGCCACAGCTTGCCCTGGCAGATTGCCCATCGCACCACCGGCAATCGGCTCACTCTCATACTTTTTGCCAGGAATGGGCTGGCTGCCAGATAGGTCAATGGGTGTTGCACCAACGGGTCGCTGTCCCACATGCAGCTTGATCCGCTTTGAGGCTGAATCATCGCTGATGGACTCAGGCAAATTGTGCTTTTTGGAGCGCCGAGCTTGCGCATCCGCAGCGTCACTCGGCACGCTCTGGTCGGTACCTGCCGCCGCAGCGCTTTCGTTCGTCTCCTCTTCCAACTCGTAATCCTCTTCATTCATGATCTCGTTGTACAATCGCGCATCTTGAAGCCAACGCGTGCTAATGTGCCATGCCGTTGTGCGTGGCGCAGGTGCAGGCTCAGGGTCCGAGAAGTCCTTGTCTGGAAGCCAAGTGTCGTAGGAGTCTGGTCGGTACCACACATGGATCAGTACATGCTTTTCATGGTGCGCTAGTGTGCGGAAATACTCCGATTCCGGCGGCTTGGAGCCTTCAGGGGCTGTAGGCGCTGCATCCGATGTCGCGGGACGTAGGATATGTGTTGCCTGCGCCGCATCGTCGGTCCACTCACACTCTAGGTCAGTGGCAATGGCACGCAAGTGAGTCTTTTCAGCCTCGGTCACGTCGGATGACACAGCAATCCGCGGCGTCGGAATTAGGCCTTGGGAACGCAATTCGGCGCGGACGTGCGCGATCATTTCCACGTACGTTGTGCGCTGTGCATCCGACGACATGTCCCACTTTGTGACCTGGTGCTCGGAAAGGAAGACAAAGCACGCCAACAGTACTTTGTACAGTGAAACAGTGGTATCCAGCGGCGAAAAGTCCGTGTAGGAGCGGTACGTCTGCAAAACGGCGGCTGGCAGACGCGGCGGATGCCGCGCCAATGGATTGGTCGCCTTTGGATTGGCTGGTGATGGCGCGCCAAATCCAAGCGCGCGCTCCTGGAACGAGTACAGGTCAAACACGAACTGGGCCAGCTGTCGACCAGTCAAGGGTGACTCTAGACAGGGCACCTTGAGCGAGCGTGCCTCCAGTGCCTCTTTCAGTGGCACGACTAGCGGTTCTAGACGCTGAATGACATGCACATCATTTGGGAGACCCTGATCAGGGAATCCGTTCACGTTCAGGCTCATGCCGCTCTCGTCGCGGTCGTCCTGCGCGTACACACTCAAGACCCCGACGGCGGGTGGTCGTGTCTACGCGTTTCGGCCGAGTCGCGTACCACGTGGGATCGCCGACGGGCCGCTCGTCTCGTCTTGCACTACGTACGTGGCCACTGCGTATCTCATATTAGAATGGCTGGCAAAGGCTGGTTCCGACCTATGCATGGGTTCCATCCTCATGCTCCTGCATTCCGCCACCGTGCTGCAGCTACCCTTTTGGGCGGTGCGATGTGGTTCTGGCTCCTTGTACGCGCCAAGGAAGACGGCCCTGTCCTACTGGTATGTGCTATACAATGAGTTTTCGATGAGGTACTGACACCCATGCTCTCTTTCTGCGTCTTTCTCTGCCTCTTGTGCTGGAATTTCCTGCTCCTGATGTGCTTTTTGTGATGCCTTCCGTGACATTTTTGGATAAATAGGGATGGCGTCACCCTTGGGACCACCACGGCGACCACCATGGCGACGAGCACCATTAAGTGATTGGTCTATACCTAGCGCCTGTCTATCAATGGCATCTACACGCCGTCACAGCCGAAAGTGCACGCGCATCGTTTTGTAGAGCGCTAACGACGGGGTATTTGCTTGTTCGCTCATGCTTTGACGTGCTGGCCGTTCAGCTAGTGGTATTCATGATGGCCAACCGTGTAGGACTGTTCGGAGTGACTAGTTTCGTGGATGTCCAGGCCTGTTCTATGACCTCCACGTGGTTGCCAGGAGCGCGTCTGTAGCAGAAGCCCATCACGTATCTTACGACGACATGGCTTTGTGGCATGAATCAAAGCATCATGTATGATTGCAATAGGATGGCATACTTATTCGTTATATATGTGGGTAGTATCTCGCCCCGTCCCCCTACGTGATGCCTCTTGTGCGCCAAGGTCACTCTGACAAGGTGCCAGGCGCCCATGCAGCCGGTGCCGATCAGCACTCACTGCGTCAAGTGACTAGCACCCTTCGACCTAAGTCTTCCAACTTGCGACGTCTCTTAGGCATCTCAGATGCACATCGGGACCGTCCTATGCTTCCGGCATTGCTCATAAGCGAGCCGCTCACTCGCACAGCCAGCCGGACACTGGCGTCTGAGAAGTCAAGCACAGAGGTTACCTTGTCGAAATCGACCCGCTCCGAAGGTAGTTTTGCTGCATCATCTTCACAGTGGCTACGTAAAGGTGCAGGCTCTTCTGTGGCCCTCGAAGACGATCACAAACTGCTTCAGAAGCAGACCCTTACAGGGTTCGTCAAACGCAGCACGGGACCCCTTAGTCTTGCATGGTGGTCCGACACTCTCTCACAAACTGAAGGTAAAGAGCCCGGGCGCGGATGGCGCCCATTCAAAGCTGTACTGGTCGGTGACACTCTTATGTTTTACAAGGTGCCGACCAGTATGGTGCCTGAAGTGCGCCGTACCTTCCAGATCCGCTCGTCACAATGGCCCCTCACTGTTTTGTCCACGGATGATCCTCTGGATCTTAAGATATCCGAAGATTCTACTACGCTGGTCAGCGCTCCCGAGAGAACCATGCACGCCAAAGGCAGCATTGAGTCGCTCAGGATTCCCACCGTCCATTGGACTAGCCCGTTGCGTCATCCTGAACTAATCATCGTGCCTGAATCCACCTCCTCTAACAGGTGGGTTACTCGCGTTGAGAGTGGCAGCGTGGCAGCTTTGGCACACGAGCTAGTGTTTGGCACGCAGCGCGTGGCGTCTGCCGATGACGCACAGGACACGGACACGAAAACGTTTCTCCACCTTGTTTTCTACGTCTTATGCACGGTTCGCACACCATGGTATCTCTTTTTGCGTGCATTACGAGAGTTTGTGGTGCTACCTGATGTGGAATCAGCCGGAGTGCAACGTGTGTCATTGTTTCTGGATCTGTTGCTGTGGAAGCGACCGCTCCTGCATGAAGGCCACGAAGAGTTTTTTTTTGAACATTTGCATGGACTGATTCGTGAATTGGGGGGTACTTCACCATCGTCAATCGCACCTATGGTGCGACAGCTTCAACTGTGGCGTGATCAGACGCAACTAGAGGATCGGCATTATCCCACCGACTGGCTTGGCCGTGCAGGTGCATCACTGAGTCACCGCACAGACCTGGCCCCACTGGCCTTGTGCTGGAATGTGGCCGACCTTGTACGTCAAGACCCGGCTGAAATCGCTCGCCAAATACAAAGTTTCCATGCTGATCGCTTGATGGCGTTTTTGCGCGTGCCTGTAACAGCCTACCGCTTGTCCAGCAGTGTGACCGAGTGTCTACTTCGTTCGTTCCGGTTTGATGCATCTCGGCCACACTGGCTTACTCACGTTATACTCCGACAGTTACTTGTCGATGAGGCGCCCGAGCGACAGGGAGATGCTGTACACATCGAGCGTGTTCGCATCTTGGAGCATTGGATCGAAGTAGCTACGTCCCTTTTGCACCGATCCGATCTCGCTGGGTGGGTAGCCGTGTGTGCCGCATTATGCTCACGCGCGGTTGCGACACTGGATGTGCTGTGGCGCGGCCTACCTACACGTAAGCGTGATATTGTCACACTTGAGTGGTCGCCACGACTCGCCTCCTTCGGTTGGATCGAGGGTGTGCGTGCGGCTGTGGAGTCTGTATTCGCCACGACGGGGGGACGTCAAGTGACCGATGTGCAAGGCGGCATTCCCTACTTTGGCAATGCAGGTATCTTGGGCGCCACAGCAACGACTGTAGCCACTGGCTCGCCAGCACAGGGAATGGACATCCAGCTCATACCACTCGCGTCACAAGAGCCAGAGTTTGAGAGAGTGCGACTACTAGCCCAGCGTCTCAAGATCTTGTACCAAGACGTATCCCCTTCCCAAGGTCCTATCCCGATTCCCGAGTACCAAGCCCTCTTCCAGCGCCTGTCGACGTATGAATTTGCCTTGCAAACGGGTCTCGCTGACTACATGGGCAATGCTGTTGTGGTCGACGGACGCGTAGTCGAGGGTATCCACGTCGACTCGCCGGACGAGTGGCCGTCCAAACCCGTGGAAAATGCTGACGCTTTATTTCTGTTTCCGAGCATTTTTCCAGTCTTGATGCCCGGTCGGGACACAGCAGATGCTATGTTGGAACGCAAGGATCTGCTCGCTGTGGATCCCAGAGGTCAAGCCTATGCATCCAAGGCGCGTTGTGCGATTCGTGTCATGAGCTGCGCGGAAGAAGTTCACATGAGCGATGATCTGATTTTGTACCCAATGTCGACTCTCGTAGGAATGGAGAGCAAGAATGCAATTATGCAGACTGCCGCACCCTTCGGTTCAACCCACGCCTCTAGAAAACGCTTTCCTGTTGAGATTCGAGCAGCAACGCCAGCACGTCTCGTTGATATCTTGGTGTTGGGAACAGAGCATTTGGTTGTACGGGCCCCTGTGCAGCCACCCACCGAGCCTATAACATACGAGTCGCTCACCGTGGAGCTTGATATGTCGAGTTATCGAGACGCGCTGCTTCTTTCATATCGAGGTTGGATCTCCGCCGCTGAGCTCTTTAAGTCACTCGTGCGCCGCTGGAACCTGGCCGAAAGTGCCAGTCGTGAGATGGTACTGTATGAGCGCAAAGGCATTCCTAACCAATTTCCGTCCTGGACGCCTCTTTCGAACGCTCCGTTTGCTCGAGAGCCCATGAATTGGGAAAGATTCGTCTCCATCCGTCTCCATGTACTGTTGGCGCTTCATCGCTGGCTGGAGCTGTACCCTCGCGAATGGATCGCAGATCTCATCCAGTTTGATGCGCTTTATACTTTCTTACGGACCGCCCACCAAGAGTGCAATGCCATTGCTACAGACTTGCTATCTCTTGTCGAAACGATCAATGCCATTCTGCAAATATACCCCATTCTCACGACCAATGCCATTGCTAGTATGGGACTAGATTTTTTCGCCCCTTGTGAGTCGCCCCCCCATGTATCCATTACTTTCGATTGGGCACTTCCTGCTTGTGACCTCTTGGCTTACTTGGAGTCACTGGCGACCCTACCATACGCGTTGGTGAGTGCACACGACTTGGCGCGTGCGTCGCTTTTGCTTGAGCAGATTCACAGTGCGCGCCGCGAGTGGTTTGAGGCAGCGACTCGCGACCATATGACCTGTCTCAGCATGTATCGTCTCATGCGCTGTCTTCCACCAGGTCGTCAGGTGGCTCATGCGCCAGCAGGCTCGAGCTTGTGGGACATGCTGCCTCCATCCATTCGCGAAATCTGTATGATCCACGAAACGGTGCGAGAATGGGTCGAGGCACAAGTCACCGAGCCTCGCCTTGGTTTATCCCGCCGTATAGAGCGTCTCTCGCGTCTGCTCGATACTGTCTTGTTGAGTCGAGCCTCAATGGTGCGCGCGATGCGCTATGACTCTCAGCAGAATGGTGGTATGAATATGCCTGTCCCTCAGACTTTCGTGGAATGTGCTATCCTGGAGGGCATTACAAGTGAACGCACTCAGAACTTCCAAGCTGCATGGAACGGCGTGGCTAGGCAGCGCCAGATTTCAAGTTTGTCGGACCTTCTCCTGCACCGGATTCCTATACCGCAGGGTCAATTCCTGCCCCCTTGTACGCCGGACATCGGTTGGACGATTGCGATCTTCTCACATTGGGCCGTTCGGCCCAGAGCGCGTCATGGTAAATCGATTCTCCTCGAATTTAGTCTGTACATGTCGACGGCTGATCTCGTAAAAGACGCACTTAATTTACAGAACAACAACGCTTCCGATGACACGCTTAACACTGTACGTTCACGTCTTGATTGGCTACGAGAGTCAACTCGCAAGGCCATTTGGCCACGCGAGAAGATGCTAGAAGATGCAGCTATGGAAGCTATGATGGAGCAAGAGCTAAGTTCAGTGTCCATGGCGCTATTTGATTCACTTAACGCAGCTCGCGCCGAAAAATTGGCCGATATGCAGTTGGCTTTGAGGCGGAGCAGTGAAGCGTACGCTAATGATCCCTCCTCCGATTTTCTCGCCAAACTCGATAGCAAGACATTGGTGGAACAAGCAGAATCCGTGCGCACGCCATGTGATGCACTCCTGCAAGCGATTCCAGCCAGCCGCGCTTCAAGTGTGTTCCGGTGCAAAGGTGCCCATATACAGGTTTGGCCCTATCAGAAACATCCTTTTGTGATGGAGCTCGAGGCTCCCTCCGGGGGTAAATGCATATTGAAGCTGCCCAACTATGATGAGTTTTGCCAGTGGATTACGCACTTGCAAGGAATCCCTTATGTCCGTATCAGCGAAGCGTTTGACGTCGGTGCCTATGCGGCTCAAGTGGCTGATCACCTGGGCCGCACAAGTGCAGCCCAGGTATTTGGTGTACCGCTAGGGGAGCTGTACGCCCGAAGTGGGGGTGCGACCCTCCCTCCTTCGATCGAGCGCCTGCTAGAAGAGATCGAGTCGCGTGGACTACAGGAACAAGGCATTTATCGGATCAGCGGTACCCGCTCAGCCGTGACACGTCTACAACAAGCGCTTAATTCGCAACCTGTACATCTCATCAACTTTAGCAGTGCAGATATTCATGTGCTCACCAGTGTACTCAAGCTTTGGCTACGAGATTTGCCTGAACCGCTGGTCCCCTTTGCCTTTTATGATGCTCTGATTGGATCTGAACGAGTAACCCAGCACGAAGAACGCGTACGTCTCATACGCAAGATTATCGCCTCGTTTCCCCCATGTCACTACCTAGCACTAAAGCGAGTCACCTACCATCTCGCGCTGGTGACCAAATCATCCCGTTCCAACCTTATGGCAGCTCACAACATTGGCCTTGTGTTTGGATCTACATTGTTAAACCCACCTTCAGCACCGAATCGAGTGGCACGGGGGATCGAAAATCTTGGGCGTGCTGCGCATATCGTCAAAATCATGGTTGTCATGCACCGCTATATTTTTAGCGCCAGAATTGAACACCGCCCCCCATGACGTAGATCACAGCGAACGCGGCATCAGGAACGACTTCCAGTAGCCTAGTGCGTATGAAGAATGTGTGGAGGTAGATGTTGGTGTCGGCACAGGTGCACAATGGAACACCGACATTCCTGGTGGTAGATGTTACAGACCTATGCCCACGCCGTGCCGAGACCGTAGAGTGCACATCGAGGGGTATATAGAATAGAATAGGGTCGTAAGCTGTCGTCACCTACCCTCTCCTCCCCCCCCCTCCCAATTTCTTGCGCTGTGCGCAACCTTCCCTACCACCCCCTCTATCGCTTGCTCAGACCTGGTGTCTAGCTCTTACGCTCGAGTAAGCTTCTTTTTATTCTGTTACGCAGGACGTACAGATTCTTCTCTACTACCGCTGGTCGGATCCTCTTAATCACTCATACGAAAGATGCAGGTCATCGCACCCCTTTTTGATTTTTACAAAGTGGCTTCCTCTCTGTCGCTCTCTTTGGCGTCGTACAAGCCGATTCCTGTTGTCGAAAGCAGCAACGACAGCGATAACCCAGGCCGTGTAAGCGCAGTCGACTCATCTGGTTCGTCCTGGAGCGAAAAGCATCCTGAGAGCGAGTGGGGTAGCCCATCGATCCTGAAGATGTCGAACGACTCTAGCGATGGACGGTCGGCTGCCTCGAACAGCAATGGGTCTGGAAAGACAGTCGGACAGCACGGTTGCACCCTGCTTGACGACTATACCCCGAAAGACAGCATTCATGTCCAATTTCCTAGCTTCAACCGAACACGTGCTAACATCATGCGTTATCGGCAACAAATCGGGGTCAATGGCGGCTCTTGGTTTGTACTGGAATCATGGATGGCGCCTTCGATGTTCTCTTGTGCGTCCGGCGGTAAATCAGCCGAGCTGGATTTTCTTAAAGGATATGGCACCTCCAGTGATGCTATTCAGAGTGCACGGGCACGCTTGGAAAAGCATTGGGATACATGGATCCAGGAAGCCGACTTTGTGAACATGCGCTCGGCTGGTATCAATACGCTTCGATTGCCGATTGGGTATTGGAACCTTCCGGAAAGTAACTTCACAAAGAATACACCCTTTGAGAAATACTCGGATGTATACAAGAACTCATGGGACTATGTGCGTCGTGCTATCTCCTATGCGGACAAGTACGATATTGGTGTCCTGGTTGATGTGCATGGCGCCTATGGATCTCAGAATGGCCAAGCTCACTCGGGTCTTTCCGACGGTAAAATTCAATTCTTCTCACAGTCCAACATGGACAAGACGGCTAAGATGGTTGAGTGGCTCGTGCGCGAGCTGGTCAATGTCACTAATGTCGTCGGTGTAGAGCTGCTGAATGAGCCCCAGAACGACAGCAAATTGTGGGACTGGTACAACAGCACCATAAATGAGGTTCGAAAAATCTCAGATGATGCACAGGCACTCCCATTGTATTTCCATGATGCGTTTAGTCCGCAGCAAGGTTCTGACTTTGCTGCTCAGCGTTCAGACTTTGTCGTCCAAGACACACACTCTTACTTTGTGTACACACAGCAAGACCGTGATATGTCGGCCAACCAGCACACAAAGCAGATTTCTGGGTCTTTACAGGGATCCATGTCTAGCCAGGCCAAGAAGGCCAATGGTAGGGTTATTGTCGGTGAATGGTCGTGTGCCTTGAACCCCAAATCGCTATCCAACTCGAATAACAAGAAGAAAGACGAGTCGGATTTCTGTCAGGCACAAATTGAAACTTACCGCAATACCACCGCCGGTGTTCTTTTCTGGAGTTGGAATATGGAAAACTGTGACCAGAATTCCGGTTGGTGTTTCAAGAAGGCTTGGTCTGATGTCATGAATAAGACCTACAATGCGTGGGGCTTCAATGATAAAGTGACCAACAAGACTATCGACGCTGTGTCGAGCGAGATCGGCAAGACAACGCTGCCTGACAAGTACCAAACTGGTACGGTTTCGAGGCAATCAAATTCTTGCCCATCATCGCAGTCCTCAAATACAAGGCGCGCAGCGACGTCGGCAAGCAGTTCAAGCTCGTCCTCGTCATCAACAATGGACTCTGACACACAGGGATACGCAGATGGCTTTACCTCAGCAAAGGTACTTGCTTCGAGGATGGAGCTCTCTCGCCTGGGTTTCGTTGACCAGTATATCGCTGACTCTGTAAATGCATATAAGAACAAGCTCATGACCCAACCGGATTCAAAAACCTACTCTTCATCCTTCCAAAAGGGACTTTCTCAAATTGAAAACCTCGTTCGTGAGGAAGCGGCGAAGGCGCTTTGAGGATCGATGGACAGTAAGGAGACGAACCCTTGTATCATGAATATGTTTGCTTGTTGCTTTGCAGTTTTGCTTACCTGAAGTGTCCCATTCATATGTCTAAGTAGGTCTACATATCTTGCTGTCTATGGTGAAACCTCTACTACACACTTGCTGTACACATATCAAAACAGATAGGCTGTAAAATCATTTGTTTCCCGTATTGTATGTGATCATATGCAATTATAGGATTAAAGTGTGTCAAGAATAACAACGACTTCATAAATAATATACGATAGGTATCGCGCGTAGTACGAAGGAACTGAGGTCGATATCTGAGGGTATTTCATGAACAAGGACCGCAATTAAATTGGCATGCTCCATCTTGCCAAGGTGCGAAGAGACGGTACCGGTCCATATATTACCCATAGATCCACCCACAAGTGGTACACGAGGCTCAATATAAACTGAAGTTCCGGGAGGAAGCTGAGAAGCGCGCTGCATTGTCTCTTCGATAGTCACATTCGAATAGTTATGTTTTTCGCCGGTTATCTCAGGTAAAAGAATAAGGTTAATGTGACCATTGTCGGCAGACGAATGAACACGGATAGGGACAATCTCGTCCAAAGGAGGGGCAATGTGGCTTGACGAAATGTCTGGGGCCCATGACTCCATGATAGTACGTCCCAATTCTCTCCAGGTGCGCACGTCAACAGCAAGTATTCGTCTGAGATTGATTACAGATTTCTTGAACGTAAGCAGGTTCAGACGCTCCCATATTGACCATTGTAGCAGTTTTGTAGCTTTAAATCCATTTGATTCGTACTCCAAAGTAAGCTCTAAGGGGCCGATTTCAACCTTGGATATATTTATCAGGGCATTAGTATCCACCGTATGCTTTGGCAAAAAGGACCTGAAAAATTTAACAATAGAAGGGTCGACACACAGATGAAGAGGTTCTGAGTGGAAAAAGAGAGATAAACAAGCCTGGGGAGTTCCATGCTGGAGTGATGCTCGGATGTACAAAGATTCGCTCTTCTTGTTATGGCTGTGACATCGACTCCATGATAAAGGCATAGAGAACCGAGTATGTGGTGTTTCGTTGATCAGCCAAGCATTAAAAATAGCTACTCTCAGTTCTGATGAGGTTCCAGAGACCCATTCATAATCAAGTCCAAGACCTTCAACCTCAAGTTTCATGTAAGGGTTTGAATCACTGGACATTTGCTCTGGATATAAATCAATCCGAATGTTAGTGTTAGAAACAGTCAAATGCCAGATAGATCTCTGGTATTCGTCACGAGGGTTTGACGGCGTAAGGCCCTTACCAGAGTAAGCGATATCTTCAATTTCGTCTGGAATTGATGCTTGAGTTATCCTAGAGTAAAATAAGTGGGACAAAAGTTGAGGGGTGCATCCGAAGCTCCCGTGGATAGAATCAAGTTTCAATATGTGTTCATATTTATGAAAAGAATGGTTTGCACTCCCCTTGATGATATGCGCAAGAGGGAAACTGATGATTCCCGCTTCAACACACAGAATTGCCTCCTTAATTTCCATCGAGGAAATTGAGGGTGAAACCAAAGAAGGCTTCCACCGAATAGTAAATGACTCAATATCAAGTCGAGCTGGCACATGTAACAGTGAGCGGTCTGAAAAAGAATTGTTGTGAAATGTACAAGTTAACGAAAGAGGATTCTTGGTTTCATTGCTTTGAAAAATCTAAGTTAGGAATAATGCATACGCACATCAGTCGGAGGAGAGAAGAATGATACAAGATTTGTTCCCCAGTTAATGTCCAAAAAATCCCATTCATAGTCATAAACGTGTAGATTAACATCTAAGTTACCAGTTCCAGAGAGGAAAGGTATATACCATACTGAACTGAGGTTACCTTTCTTGAAGGTGTTATGTCGAAGCCAAGCATGTTCGTGAAAATCATCTGTGATGTAGATTTCGCTTCCGTCAATATGAAGTTGTGCAGAGCCCTAGTGTTAAAATATTAAACAAACCAGCTGAGAAGAAATAGTTGCATCTTTCAAAATGCAAAAAATGCTACCGCCAGGTGAAAAGACTTGAAATTGAACTGAGTTAGTTAAATATGGCATACCATGGTGAAGAGAAATGTGAATTGATGCACCTGCTGAGAAAGAGTCTATACTTGGACGTGATTCCGTTTCGGGTCTTGGTGCAGAATCTGCTGAATTCTGCATGAATTCTGGCGACATGTGAGTCCATAAGGAAGCGATAGTGGATGCAAATATGAAAAAATCATCCGCGAGATAATACATTGATTGCACAAAGGGATTGTCTAGCCCAATGACAAGATCAAAAACATCAAGATGGAGATCGGCTGTGCATTCCTCCGATGGCATAGAGCTCAGGCTGATATTAATCTGAATCCCGATAGGTGCTTGACTGCTAGCACGAAAGTCACAAAAACATCGGGCGAATTCACAATCGGACGATTGAAAAATTGACACTCTACTTGTGTCAATACTAATGCACTCGCGGGATGATATTTCTTGAGAGCGGCTGTTGAGGGTGTGGATATTGTCGCATTCAAGGAGCCATAGACCACTCCTAGAAGGTTTGAAGTTATAAGTTGAGTCAGACATTTGCGATTGAGGGACCTTTAACACCATTTGACCCTTTTCACAAGATATGCTCATTATGGGAACATATGTGAGGAGTTTGTGGACAAAGGACCATAGTATAGACGAATCACTTTGCTTTAATGAATCCGAACAGCTTGTGTCAAAGAATTTGAGGAAAGGAAGCACCCGATGAAGCATCTCCAAATCGAACAGAAATTGAATTGGCGCCATGTCCAAGTGAATAATAGAGCCTGAATGACATAGAGTAATAGCCTGATCATGCGATGAAGGTAAAGGATTAATATTAGTCCATTTGCCTTGACCAAAACATCGGGAACCAAGAGACCATTCCAGGGGGTCTGCAGGTATGACATACTCACTTCCGTGTTTTGCAAGAATCCTTATGATAGGTACTCGAACACCATCTTTGAAAATTTCATGAGCAACTAGTTGTTCAATCCGACATGTCGAAGAAGAAATTCGAGATCCATCATAGTTGCCCTCCACGACCAGGTTTTGACAATCCATGGTTAAGAGTGCACCGACGTCTTTGTTGGAAGCACGCTCTTCTTCATCAAAGAAAATTTGAGTTGTGAAGGAAGAAACATGTATATAGAAAGAGGCTGATCCAATCGATACATCTAGTGCATTGTCTGACGAGCCCGTGGATATCTGCAAACTGTCAATAAGTTCTTCGATCAAATTGAAGCAAAATAGTAGATCACAATTGCTTGCCAGAAAAGTAATAGAAGGTGATTCCAGGCTAATAAGAGGGTCTTTATTATTTGTCGAGTTGCCAGGACTAACATGGAATTTCATGCACTCCTCGATACGAAGAATATCCATAGTGACATAATCAGGTGCATCTTTCTCAGATAAAGAATGATTCAAGGGAATAGCAGAAGAGACCGGAGAATTGGTATTATGATGAGTTGTGTAAGTGCGAGGGCGTAGTGCTTGAGCCTGAATACCTGAACATGACATGTTTTCCTTTTCCCCATCGAAGGAGAATTCATCTACCTTGAAGATGAATTCTCCCTTCTTGCTACCGATGTGAACTTCCACATCATTTACAAGGATCCTTAGTCTCTGAATAAGTGCTTTTCCGAATGAAGCCACAAGATTTTCGAATGTCGAAGAAGATGCCTCGTGTACTATATCCGGATGTTCAAAGTCTTTAGCTTTGGGGATGTCGTTTTCTAGCACGATAAAATCATTAAGCTCCATTTCGGAAGAAATACTAGGGGAGCCGCATGTATCTGTTTCGTTTTTGAAAAGCATCATGGCAAGAGGAGATTGTACAGTAACATGGACCGTGCCATTGAAAATATTGGGCCAAGGTAGTTGTACTCGTATGCATTCAATATAAAACCTTTGAATAGATGGTACCCAGTATGGAAGGATCTCTTGCAATGCCCCCGCGTCAAATTCCAAGCTTTGAAGCAACAAGGCTCCGTCATGAAACTCAAATGAGTCAGGCAAGTTTAAATCTGGCTGAGAAACGAATTTTCCCAGAGTATTTCGAAGAAATAAGCATACAACTCTTTTTTGGACCGATTGTGGAATACTCCACGATAAGAGAGAGGTGAAGAGCCCTCCTGCACTCGCCAGCATGCTCCGTGCGTGCTGTGCGTCAATGGAGGGCGGTGGCCCCGCTGCACAACAAACGAAAGTGGAGGTGTCACTAAGCCAGATGCTTATATACGCACATCATCGTGACCAACTGCACAACAAAGCAGTTGTCCGTGCTTCCGGAAGTGGGTATGGGTGTAGCTGAGTCGCCAGGAATGTCCCGGCATGTATCCAGCAACTCTTTATCTTACCTTGATGCCAAGAAAGCATCATCATTGCGTAAGCGCAGTGATATTAGAGAAGAAGAGGTGGCTCAATTATTAGCTGAAGGACGTGCACATATTCGTTCTCGAGAAGCTCCGCCACAAGAACAGCACTTACATCCCGATATGATGATTTCTAGACATTATAATTCGCCAACGAAGGCCAGTTCCCAATTTCTCCAAACTCCGTTAGGAAAATCAAAGACAAGGCATAATCGAGAGGCGACCACAGGTAACAGCTCCCCCCTATCTGCTGATTGGGGAGAGGAATACCTTCATACGTCAACGAAAAATACTCCAAATATGAACTCATATAAGAATACTATATCCTCACCTCAGCTTAGCAATATGGTTCGCTCCAGGAAGATGGATGAGTCGTTGCCACGAGGTAGACACACGTATTTGCCTCGAAGTTTATCACACACACGTAACTTGTCAAATGCATTAAAACAATGCAAAGCAAAATATACGCTTCACCCTGCTGACGATTCTACTTCGGAACTATTGATACAGCAGCTAGAGTCTGCTGCGGAGCTTGCGGATATGCTGAATCAAGGTCTTCGAGCAAACTTGGAATACCCCACGTCAATGCATTCTCAGAATGCAGAATCGTCACTGAACGCTGATCTACATACTCTCTTGCACTACAGTGATGAGCAAGTTCGGCATCTCACTGAAGCACTACTGGCTCTCATGCAAGAGCATCGGGCCAAATCCTATGAACAAGATGTATCTTGCACTCCCAGGCAAGCAAGCAGACAACGATCGGCTGATTCTTCCTTTTATACGTCTTTCTCACCAGCTACTGGACCTCGTCACCAGCATTCTTTTTCATATGCAGCGCAGCATACCCCTGAGCTTCGTGGCTCTTCACGGCAAAAAGTCGGATTTCCACGGCAAGAGCCCTAATTTCAGGATTTTTATGGTCTGCTGGCAGATCTAGTACTAATGAGCTAATTTTTAATTTTGTCGAACGATCCAACCATGTTGAGAGCACAGCAAAGCGTTCCGTGGCTGAACTTGGCACTCGCTTGCACATGGATTGATCACTCAATCACGCGACCTCCACCCGGTTAGATAGATCCCCTGGTCCGAAGAACCCCCACACTCTGCATTGCCATGGCAGCAGCTCACGACTTGTCCGATAGTGTACTTGGAGGTCCTATTCAGGTGCAAGACAGTAGGCTCACGGATGCATATGGACGCACGCTTCTTCTAAGGGGGGTTAATATTGGCGGTGCAAGCAAATTGTATGTATATACAACCTCTCACGCAGGCCCTCTATACCCTCCAACGTAAGCTCAACATATCTGGATCCGGAGAATGTATCCTTTGTCAATCGGCCATTTCCATTAAGCGAAGCACATGAGCACTGTGCTCGGCTGCGTGCCTGGGGTCTTACTTTGGTTCGCCTACTAATAACCTGGGAAGCTTTGTCACATGCAGGTCCGTGTCCAGAGTACCCGATTGATGCAAACTATGTGACATACCTAAGAAAATTGCTTCATGTTTTTGATCAGCATGGAATCAAGTGTATTATCAATGCACATCAGGATGTTTGGAGCCGCTTCTGTGGTGGAAGCGGCGCACCGGCTTGGGTGCGTGGATTTGTTGCTAACGATGAGACGCTCCGTGCAGCGGGAATGGACCTGCATGGAATTGTAGCAACTGGAGCTGCCCTTGTTCCCGAATCACCTGCAAAACCGATGATAAGTAAACCAAGCAGAGGGCGCTCAGAGCCAACAGGTCCTTTCAACTGGCCGTCGGGATATCAAAAAATGGCGCCGTGTACGATGAATACGCTATTCTGGGCTGGGAGAGTGTTTGCTCCTAACTTCTGTTTGCTAAGAGATACATTTGGTCGTTCCTTGACGCGTGAATCGGCAATGAACATCCAAACATTTCTTCAAGAGGCATACATTGAAGCCTATGCCCAATTGGCGGAAGCACTCTCTCCCTTGCCAGCACTAGCAGGATTCGAGGTCAGTGGCTAATTTCTTACGTGCAGCTCATGAATGAGCCACATCGTGGATATATCAATTTGCATTCATTTCATCAATGGAATTTCATGACAGATCTGCATATTGGGCATTACCCCAATGCCATCCAGGGTATGGCTCTTGGAGAAGGATATGCTCAGGATATACCGTTTTATGTCAAGTCATGGCCTGTTCCATCACGCGTGTCACACAAATCACATATTGACCCGCATGGGTCGAAGGCATGGGCAAAAAGGGATGCGGATCCGCAATTTCCTTCGACACGTGTCACTGACGGATGTATTTGGCGTGAACATGGAGTGTGGGACTGGGATGAGGAAAAGAATAAGCCCGTTGTTTTACAAGCTGACTACTTTGATGTGGATCCTCGCCCAGGCTATGGGCGCCAAGCAATCGAGTGGTACCGCGATTTTTATGGGCCGTTCGCTTTAAAATTCCAGGAAAGGTGAGTTCTAATGGTTAACTCAGGCTTTCTCAAGTACATCCGAATGCTTTGTTCTTCGTGGAACCTATTCCTAACGAGTTTATGCCTCATTGGTCCGCTGGACAAGGCTCTCCGGTCCCTGGCACAACCCAAACATCCATTGCTCTCGCCCGACCAGAGCGCTTTGTGTACGCACCACATTTCTACGATTTAAATGTTTTATTTTTTAAGGCTTATACCGGAATGAGTGTAAATGTACAGGCTTTGAGTCGGGGTGCATTCATTCTCAAGGCACTATATTTTGGTTCCTACGGACTCATGCGCAAGTATGTATAGGTTATGGCTAACCACAGTTACCTTCATCAAATCGGAACGCTCGTAAGGAAGGGACATGAAGCTTTGGGATCCGTCCCCACTTTGGTGGGAGAGGTGGGGATCCCCTACGATGTGAATGAGTCGCTACACAAGAGGCCAGGTCAATACCAATCCCAGGCAATTCTGATGGATGCTTTGATATCAGCATTGGAGCGCAACTGGGTGTCGTTTACTTTATGGAATTACAACCCTAGTAACACAGTTGCTCGGGGGGACACATGGAACATGGAGGACTTTTCGATCATCAACCTAGAGCATCAGGCTCGCGATCTTGCAAACTGGTATGGAGATGAGCCTATGTACGCAGGTGGTCGAGCGTTACCTGCCATTATTCGACCATACGCCAGTAAAGTGGCAGGGATCCCTCAAAGCACATCCTGGAATCGTCGTACTCGACGTTTTTGTTTCACATGGGTATCTACATCTCGTGTGGAAAAGGACTCTATGGAAACATCTGCAGGATGCGTGACAGAGATATTTGTACCCGATTATTACTTCCGAGAAAAGCAGCCAGAAATCGTGTTGAGCGATGGAAAGGCCATATATGAACCGGAAAAGCAAACGGTTCATATTCTCACCGGCAAAAATGAGCCAGGTACCCTCCATTCTGTTGTGATTCACATCCCCAGAGAAAAAAGACTGTACACATGGCAGCTGATTCTTGCACTGCTGGTTCTTCTCATAAGTATATGGATAGCAATGTATGCTGTATAGACTAAAAGTACAAATTTTTCCCCAAGTCCCACTGGCGAGTCAATCTTGGAGGCGACGACGAACGAATATTGTTAGAAGAATGAACCAGTTTATTCAAGTCATTTCCGTGTTTGGAAGAATTATTGTACGAAAATGTCGACCTCGTCTCACCACGAGGTGGTGAAGACTGTCTAGCCGAAATGGGTCGCTCCAAGGAAGGGCCTGCACGCTCAGGCCTAACATCCCAGCGACTGCGACGTGATGGATAGTGATGAATTTTCTCAAAGTTCTTTTTAGAACATTCATCCGCCTGCCTTTGATTGTGTGAATCGACATTTCGTAGCATCGAAGCTAGAAATCGTTTGTTTGTGCAAGTGGGTGGGTGTTTGCGTGGCCTGTGTTAATAGCAATTGTACCTACGAGGAATATTGCCTCTGATAGGCAGGATCCTTCATACGCGCTTCCTCAAGAATTAACTGTGTAATGTAGTCATCTAGTGGATCATCGGAATCAGTGGCAGAAGCACGGTCTCCTGCGGCCGCACTACCCGACGAACGCATAGGCCGTCTAGATGGTGGCTCGCGCTCAATCCAAATGTTGATGTGTCGGCCGAAAAGAGCGATAATTATCGCATCCCAACTTATCGTCTGACGGATACCATGGCAGGGTCTGGGACCGCAGAATTAGAGCGAGTCTCGAGACTGCTCCCGCTTACCTTCCCAATTCCTGAGCCAAAAACTCACTCTACACTTATACCACACGATGATCTTGTGCTAGAACAGGAATTGCTTCGTAACCCAGACAATATGCGCACATGGATGGGCTATATCACGCATGTGGAAGAGGTGAACTACCGCAAACGTCCTATTCCAGACGCGTGGATGTCGTCGGGCAGCGTAAAGCTACTCGGACTGTTGTCAGATGAGACGCAGCGCATCGCACTCCAGCGCATTGTCGGCTTGTATGAGCGCGCTATCGCTGTCTTTCCGTCTTCATATAAGCTATGGCATCGATACTTGAATGCACGGTCGCGATTTGTTGCTGGACATCCAAGAGATGATGAAGAGGGTTATCGTCACAGATACCTTCACGCATCCCATGGGTTAATCGAAACAGGCCCAGAACTCTTGGAAGAGAGGTTGCGCGAGGAAAAGCAAGAGGTTTGGGATTTTGCCCTCGATGGAACAATCGGCTGGCAAGAATGGCGAAGCTTGGCAGCTGCCTATGAACGGGCTCTTCTCTGTCTTCCAATGATGCCGCGCATTTGGCTTGACTACCTGAGCTTGTTTGTGCATCCTAACTGCTCGCCGATTCTTGCTCGCACACACGCTCGTCGCACATTCGACCGAGCACTTCGCACATTACCTGGCTCTCAACACCCTCGTGTATGGAAGTTATACTTGAGATGGGCCGAGCTATGTGGCGGAGAGTTGGCTCGTCGTATTTGGCGGCGGTACCTACATGTGGATGCTACGCTATCGGAGTCCTTTGCAAAACTGCTAGTCGATCAATCAGAAGAACCTAGACTGGCAGATGGGCTTTCAATGAGTATGCTTCTCGTGAAAGAGAACATCACCGACGATGCGTCTCGAGAAGAGGACGAAGACGAGAATGAAGATGGGGATGATGACGAGCTGAGCCCCACGATGCAACAACGAATTCTGGAGGCATCCAAAATGTACCTGAAATTGGCTCGTGAATCTTATCTTGGAACTTATACTAGTCCCGAGGGAAAAAGTTCTTACCATTTGATGCTTCAGTGGTTGGAGCTCACTGAGCGTTACCCAGAAGTAATTGGCCTCACCTTGGAACAAGAGAAAAAGCTCCCTCAAAGAGATTCGGAGGTACCTGCTCCTTCCCAGGAAACGGACTTGCGTGACCCTACCCGCCTGCCGGTCTCACAAATCATCCATATGGATGGATTGGCTCACTTCCCAGACCAGGCAGGTCGTTTGTGGTCCGGTCTTGCGACCTACTATATCAAACGTGGTGATTTTCAAACAGCGCAAGAAACGTTTGAGAAGGGTATGGTGTCAGTTCTTACTGTGCGCGACTTTACGCAAATATTTGATGCTTATGCGGAAACAAGTGAAAATATGATTCAGTTCATGATGGAGGAGCTGGAAGAAGAAGAAGCTGAAAGTGAAGAAAAGCAGGCTGAGCAGGAAGCTGAAATCGATCGACGAATGCATGAATTTGAGGCATTGATGGAACGGCGGCCCTTCTTGGTGAATGATGTTCTATTGCGGCGCAATCCCGACGACGTTCAGGAATGGGGAAAGCGTGTAGTGTTGTGGGGCGATAATGATGAAAAAGTCATTGAAACGTACAAGAAAGCCTTGGATACGATCAATCCGCGAAAAGCAACTGCCAACCTCCATCAGCTTTATATCCGCTTTGCCCAATTCTACGAAGTAGGAGGCGCAAGAGGCCGTAACCGTTCAGATCCAGTCGAGCACGATGTCCCTAGCGCTCGTCAAATTTTCGAAAAAGCCGTTAAAGTGCCTTATAAACGTGTGGATGACCTTGCGGAGGTTTGGTGCAGCTGGGCAGAGATGGAAATTCGCAACTCGAATTACGGGGAAGCATTGCGTGTGATGTCTCGCGCAACAAGTGCACCCAGCAGCTATCAAAAGATTCGCAGTGTGTCCTATTATGATGAGTCAATTCCCCCCCAGTCGCGCCTGTTTAAGAGCCTAAAGTTATGGGCTTTCTATACCGAGCTAGAAGAGGCGCTGGGTACAATGGAGAGTGCCAAGAAAGCATTTGATCGTATTATGGAGCTCAAAATTGCAAACGCTCAAACTATCATTAACTTCGCCTTGTTTCTAGAAGAGCACCAGTATTATGAAGAGGCCTTTAAGGTATACGAACGCGGTGTTGAATTGTTTACATACCCCGTTGCTTTTGAACTGTGGAATGTCTACCTCAGCAAGTTTGTCAAGCGGTATGGTGGCACCAAGCTCGAGCGGGCGCGTGATTTGTTCGAACAGGCATTGGATAAATGTCCCCCTCACCTGTGTAAGCCTTTGTACCTCAAGTATGGACAGCTAGAGGAAGAATATGGTCTGGTTCGTAAAGCCATGAGTATCTACGAGCGTGGAGCCAATGCGGTCACTGAAAAGGACCGCTTTGAAATGTACACGTATTACATTGCGAAAGCCACTGCCAACTATGGGTTGGCAGCTTCGCGTCCCATTTACGAAGCAGCCATCGAAGTACTTCCTGATCGACAAGCAGCATCGATGTGTTTGCGCTATGCTACACTAGAACGAAAGCTGGGAGAAATTGAGCGGGCCCGTGCGATTTACGCACATGCATCTCAGTTTTGCAATCCTAAAACGCAGCAAGAATTTTGGCAAATTTGGAATGCGTTTGAGATTGAGACCGGAACCGAAGATACGTTCCGTGATATGTTACGTATCAAGCGATCAGTTCAGGCACAGTACAATACAGACCGCGCAAATGTTGCCTCATCGATTGTTGCACCGCAAGAAGCACCAATGACCTCAGATCCCATGGCCATGTTGGAGGCACAAAATCGCGGTGAAACCTCAGGGAGCGAGAAAGTGGATGCTCCAACCTTTGTCACAGCTTCACATGTGTCAAAGCCTCAAGTTAGCACAGTGAACCAAGAGCAAGTTGGTGATGGCAACGATGAAGATTTACTGTAGCTAAGTACTAGATTACATCTTTTGATAAAAAAGCAAGTAGGCATGACCTTGGTCGGAGCTGTTTGTGCCGTATTGTATCACATCTTCGATAGGCATAGGGCAAGTGTGAGTATCATCGATATGGATCCACCCTTCATCATCTTGACGCTTCACAGCCACAGTATAGTGACCACCAGAGGCAAGGCGGCCATGATGGTATACCACGCCGAAGAGTGCATATTTGTGTGTGCCTGATACGCGACGACATACTGTACTTAAGATATCAGGCGTAATATCCAAAGTTAGACCATATTCAATGGCTTTTGTGCTCTTTTGAACGCCGTATACTCCGTCAAAAACAAAGCGCTTTAGATGCAGTACAAGCACAGGTGGAAGTACTTCCAAGCAGATTTGCTTTGTGGCATCAACGAAGGTATGGCGTTGTTGAGACCATACACCGGAAATAGTTTCTGGTACGGTAATTTGGCGTAATGCATCATTGATATTACGCACATGCGATGGTTGAATATCCAGAGGTAGTGAGCGGAAAGGCTCGAGAACTACACTGGTTTTAGACCCTGGAGTCATCAAGGTACTTCGCAGTTTACCATCAAATATGCGAGTAATAGGGGATTCTGTGTCGAGAGTACCGCTAGAGCGTGTTAAACTGGTTTTCCCTTTTTGGCCAACTTCCAGCCATTCATCCTGATCAGGGCTTGCAGGCCGCTGGATTTCAAAAGTCTCAACCTCCTCATCACTTGATTCCACAGACGCAGGTGCAGGATCTGCAGCAAAGGGGTCCGCACTGGTCTTTAGGATAGGATTTGACGGTAGTTGTCCCTTGTTTTGTCGCTGCGCAGTGCGGCGTTGAATAAGTTGGACCTCGTCGTGAAGCGTGCTAAGAATCAAGCTGAAGAATTCTTCTGCATCCTCCTGATGACCTAGCTGAAATAAATCAAAACGCTTGTGAAGGCGCATCGCTTCATATATATAATCAGGTAAAAGAGGTGCCATATCATGTTGCCCTACCATAGAAGTGCGATCGGCAAGCGGAATTTCGTTATAGAAGCGAAAAACCGCCTCTAACAAAGGGGTGGAATTGCTGAGATCTTGTGGAACGAGAGAACGAAGCTGATTCAGGAAATGGTACAAGGGACGACAATAGATTAGCATTTGCAATATGACGCTAGCAAAACAAGAGTTGCCTTGGTTGATAAGGCCCACGGGTATTGTCAATGGAGCATCAAATAACGTATGAGCTGTTTTATAAAGCTCATCTATTGTAATAGAAGGTGTTCTCGTATTCCAAGAACGAAAACTGCCAGGTTTGGAGGGTCGTGTGGGTGAGCTGTGGTTTGATGAGACTGTGACCGAAACAGGTGATGAGGATAAACCGTTATGTTGGGATGCAAGTGCACTACGACCAGTGGCACGCACTGGCGTACCAACGGTCTGAGACCATGCCCGAGGCTTTGACCACGCGGGAGAAGAGGGTAAAGACGAATGAGATGAAGTGGGACATGATGAGACAAATGACACAGCTGGGAAGGGGCGTGGCGTTGTATCGCCTTGCATACGAATACCATGAGTTTTGGCACTGCGAAAAGCACTGGCACTAAGCTTTAAAGAAACACCTGGTATATGGGGGGGGACAAGCAAAGGTGTATCATACCAAACAATTCCAGCTGCGCAAGGTGGCGCACCACGCCGAAACGAGTGAGTGTCAAACCGTTTACTAGAATAACGGGGTACAACCTTGACAAGACAGTTGCACAATGGTACTTCACCGATCTGCGTAAATGCAGAAGCCCCTCGCGATGCTAACACATCATCCGAGAGCCCACTCGGAGTCGAGTTCGGCATAGCGACGGAATGAGAAGTGGAGCTCATTACTTCCACCTTTGGTTCGGAGGGCCAAGCATAAATATTTATTTCAAACATATCTATGGTCATCAGGGGTAAGGTCAAATGTGGGGAAGACAAGAGCTATCTACAATGACCTGACGTTTTGATATGAGAAAATAATCATTGATTATCACTTGCCGAACTTGTAGTTATCTTGGGGGGTACTAGACCAGACGGAGACTTGTCCTCGGCTTGACCCGTCATGATCGCATTGATATCCAGCATCAACTGCGGTCTGTCGCCAAGTCCAAGAGGAGCTGGAGATTGAGCAGTGTGAAAAGTTGGTTTTTCAATAAGCTGGTCATGGAAAATTGGGGAATGTTGGTGCGACTCTTGTTCAGATGGCAGAGTACCGAACGGGCTTGTATCATGATCAAGTGGACCTGTGGTTTGGCTCAAGGGCGTCACAGGGGCTGAATATATACTGGTACTCATAGGTGAATGAACACGGTGCAGTGGCGAGCGGGAGCGATGGAGAGGTGGAATGGCAGTAGCTGAAATGAACTCAGAATTGTCTTGGTCTCCAATGACATTCGAATGCGAAATATATGGAACGGAGGGAGTATCCACAGGGTACGCAAAGAGATTCTGCGAATTGCTAGGCCCGCCTCCAAAACTGCCAAATCCTTCGAAACGAGGATCACCAGCATAATTGAGAGAATTGCGAGGGCTGCAGCTAGAATTGCGAGGGCTGCAGCTAGAATTGCGCGCGAGAGAAGCTGAGCCAGATGGAGTAAGAAGACCTGCACTTCGATGCATGAGTGCAGGGCTACTGCTTCGATTGACTTCACCATACATCATTCGTTTCATATCGGGCACAGATTTTTTAGTCAAGAGATCATTGTGGATTGTCGGATGATTTGGCTGGTGGCTCGGAAAAGAATTCTGGGGCATGAGCAGTTCCGAAGCATCCAGGTGAGGTACGTTGGTTTTCGTCACAAGTACATAACAATCATCGCCTGTGCCCATCGTGTAGTGATAAAGCCCAAGCTTCTCGGATACTAGATGAACAACATGTCTTTCTTCTGGGGTTAGTGATTTGGAAAAGGAGAGTTCATCACGCATGCGATCATCTTTAAAGAGAAGAACTCGCGAGTAGATTTCCAGTGTAGAGGTATCATTAAGGTCAAGAACTGGATCTCCAGAGTCTTGTAGTGACATACGGGGTAGAGAGAAGCCAGACACAGGGTCAGAGGAGCGATGTGTTGCACTTGCACCAGGAACAGGAGAGCAGCCGCGCAGAGGGGCATTGTGTATATGCAAATTAAGATGTTCTGAGGTAGGGGACCGCTCTTTCTTACGCTCTTTGTCAGGAAAAGAGGGGAATTGCAATCGTTTTAAAGCTTTCTCTTTCTCAATGCGCTCTTTTTCGCCAGCCTGAAGAACTTTTTTGTATTCAACACGAAGCTTGCGGCCACTTACCTCTAGACCATTTAATGCATTGACCACTTCATTGGCTTCCACAGGAGAATGAAAATTAGCAAACGCCAACCCACGGAAAATGCCTTGGTCAAAGTGATAATTAAAGGCGTAAGGCACAGGGATACCAAGGTCACGAATTACATGAAGAAGTTGCTCTCGCTTAATGTTGAAAGGAATATTCTTGATAACAATGGCAGTAGGAATGATATCAGTCTCACCAGAAACGGCAGCAGGAAGGCTATTTCCAAAACGGATCGTAGGATTCATGGGCAAAGTTGCCGGACTTCCCGTCATACTGTTGCTGCGTTCGGCTGGTAGCGTGAAGGTGCTGCCAGTGGGTGTTGATACTTTACTCCATGCAGGATTGAAAAAGGGGGAAGATGACTTCATTTGGTGCAATGAAGGCGAAGGAAGACCGCTGCCAGACCCCAGTATAGCGCCCGAATCATGAGTAGGGATAGGCGTCTGGGCGAATATGCCTGGATCGGAGGCAGAGAGGGAGTTCGATGATGATATACCATCACTTGATGGCATAAGACCAGGTCCATATAGTCGGGAGAGTCTTGAAGATTGTGGGGAGTCGGGGCTGCTTAATGACGAGAAAGGGAACTGAGAAAACACTGCAGGTTGATCCAGAGTTTGATCCCCATAAGAGGGAGGAACCCCATTTGTAGGCATGGAAAGCTTTACAGAAGCATTCTCTTCAGTCTCCAGAGATAATTTGTCGAGAGACGCGGATAAGGATTGACCAGACATGTTGTAGACTTAATTGTATGATGCCTCGTCAAAATCAAGTCCTACAGCTTTGAATCTTCAGGAAAACTCGACAGTTGATGGAGGAAATCTTGTCTTATATGGTATGGTATAGATCTTGTAGGTTTTGGCGACCAGTGAAACCTCGCTTAATCTCGATCTCCGGTTCCGAACGAAAGCGATGACAGATGTCTTGACGCGCAATTGAAAACTCTGCGAGGACTTGTGCTTTCCGCATTCTTGAATTACGTAAGGATGATGAATCGATGCATAACAGAAACGGCCATAAGAATAGGAAAATGAAGAGCGCGAGGAATCCGTAGAAAAGTTATATCATTTGAAACATAAATATTGCACCTTCGGGTAGCATACGAAAAAATTGGAACGATACAGAGAAGATTAGCATGGTCCCTGCAGTAAGGATGACAATCATGATCAGAGAAGAGTGTCTCTTAGGAGACAATTATGTTTTTGCAAAATTCTCCTGATTCTATACAATCAGTGAAGTGGCATAGATCTAAAAGAAATCTTTTTATCCATACATACGCACGGTCCCATCCGCGCCCGACGTAGCTACAAGAGGGGAAGATGGATGAAAGGCGACGGCAAGAACACCTTCTTGGGATTGCACTTCGTGTGCCTGTACTTCTTGGAAGCATTTGGCTTGATAGGTAGGAACAGATGAATCCGCTTCCCCCATTTTCATCAGGTCCCAAAACCTCACTGTTCCATTGTGACTTCCGCTTACAAACGTCAAACCAGAGGGGTCAATATCCAGACATGTCACACTGTCTCTGTGGGCATGCAGGGAGAGAACACAAGCATTCGCCCGGATATCATATACATGAATGTAATTGTCCTCATGAGCGGTAGCAACTAGAGGTAAAGTGGGGTGGCCTACCACCATATTGGCTTGTGCATGCGAGTCAAAAGGAGGTTTAAAAGCCATTAATTCCTTACCATCAACTAAGTTGAAAAGCTTGACTGTCCCGTTGGTAAATGACACAACGCAAACTTGCAAGTTGGCAGGACACTTCGTCACATATGTAGGCACAGGGATGGAAGACAACGATTTACGTTCCTCTTGGACTTCATGTGCAGGATCCGTGCCAAAGTAGTCCCAGGAAAGAAGTGGCTGAGGCTCTTTCTCACTTGTATTCCAAAGTTGAATTTTACCGCTCGCTGAAACAGATACGAGAAGCATGTCCTCTTGCCCATTATAGGGGAAAAGTGACAGACCCCATACAGCCTGCTCCGACCCGGGAAGTACGGTGGATAGGCAAAGAGACACAGTCTCGCTTTTCGATGGTGTGTTGGAAGGAATATTCCATTGTCGAATACTTGCATCAAGGCTGCCACTGTAGAGAATATTGTGAGTTTTCGAGTAAGCCAAGCATGTTACGGCAGCTTCATGGCCACGGAGGGTTGTCAGAAGCTCTGCCACAGGTTTGGATTGGCCGGTCTGTGCTGCTGTGGGAAGCATGCGCCAGTACTTGATCGTGCAATCATCAGAGGCTGTGAAAAGTCCCTCGCCCGAGCCATCATAAACAAGCGCACGCACAGCATCCAGATGCGAGGAGAAAGACCCATGTGGGTGCCAAAGCTGGACATCCGGTACTTTATCAGGCTGCTGTACGGCTGGATTCCCTCGTGAGGAAGACACAGGCATGACATCCTCCGGTGAATCAAATGGTGGCTGCGATGGAACCGAAAGCTTGGCAGAAGAATCTGCCTCCTTGGCAGCAGCCGGTGTATTGGCCTCTGCATTGGGCCCCGCAATATGATTGGAAACGGGCGCCACCTCCTGGGCGGGTGCGCTTTGAGGTGATACGACGAACTGAGGCCGGGGGGGTTGAGATGCCGAGTCAGGGTCAGTCGGGTCGGTGGTGTGAATGATAGGGTTCAATGTCGCATTGCTTGTAAGATAGGCAATTTCCTGCAGACATTGTTGAAGGAACTCGCGACTTTTTGCGCGACCCTTGGAATCTTTCATACCCATAGGGAGTTTAGGCATGTTGTTCGACGGCGTCGCGGCACGGGATGTGAGCTTTGTACTGTCTGGCATATCTTCTGGATGGGATGTGCTAGCCACGCGCTCCAGCATTTTGTTCGGAACCGCAGTCGTTGCCGGAGTGGATCCATTGGGTGCAGATTTCATGCTGCGATAAGCAAAAGAGCACGTACCGCTCCTGCCGAAGGGCAAGCTCTAGCATCTTGATACGCCGAAGCAGATCAGTCTTTAAATTTTCAACGCTCCGGCGTTCGCCCTCGAGCAGTGCAATGCGTGCCTGATAGTCAATATATGGGAACGTACACGAAGTTCGGCACGCTCGATGGCCCAAGTATTTCTGTCATGCTCGTAGCGGCGCCATTCGCTCTGCAGAAAGTGCAATACGCCCGAGAGATTGTATTCGGGTACGCCTTGAGAGCTAAGTTCTTGATTTGTATGGTTTCCAGACCCATGGCTCGCTTCATTCGACGAGTAGCTCGTCATGCCGCTTAAAGATCGAAAGGACACGTACGTGTCCGTAAGGCGTGGAGTACGGTCGAGCGTCCACCGACAACGCCTCAACCCGGTCTGGTCGGTGGCCCATCAGATGTAGGTGTGTCTCGTGGAGGTATGATGGGCCGCCTCACCTGTCGTACCGCATTGGCTTGACGAGCGCTGTCAACGTGATGGCTGGGGAAGACTCTGTGGGTAGATATCAGGAGACTAACTGGACTAGGAGCATAGAGATATTTTTGCCGACTCTGATGAAGAAGAGGTCGAGCTCGAAGTGGCCCCGACTCAGTCCGGAGACGCAGATGCAGCAGCGGCTCCTAGTGACGAGCTACCCAGCATCCCGCGCCGTGAAGTGGATGCAGAGACACTTGCATCGGAGCCTGTTCCAAAGAAGCGTGCAGTGGTTCCCTCCGAAGATGAAGAGGCTGTGGTGCCTGATGCCGCTGACGATAATGACGATGATGCACCACGACTTAGTGGCAAGGAACTGATCCGCGCACAGGTCGACGCCCGCATTGATGCAGCACTCAAGACGGGTAAGCGCCGGACGAGTAGGCGTCGCACTCAAGGAGAAGACGATCTCGACCTGATGGCAGATGAGGAGGTGTCAGCCCTGCGCACTGAGATGATTGTCGCGGCCGACGAGGACGAGGAGGCCAACCGCTACAAGCAGCCCGCTACGTCAAAGTTACGCTTGCTTCCACGTGTAGTGAGCACGTTACAAAAGTATGTGTATATGTGCTCATCTTTGCAGAACGCATCTCCAACAGGCAATCATGGATAACAACCTTTTGGAGGGAGTAAAGCGCTGGCTTGAGCCATTGCCGGATCGCAGCTTGCCAGCCCTCAACATCCAGAAGGAGTTGTTTGGTGTTTTGGAGAGCATGTCGATCGATACGATCAGTCTTAAAATGAGTGGTTTGGGTCGTGTCGTCGTGTTCTACAGCTTATGCAAACGCGTAGAGCCACCGATTCGGCGCATTGCCGAGCAGCTAATCGAGACTTGGACTCGTCCTATTTTGAAGCGCTCGGCGTCGTACCGTGACAGACATGTGGCGCAAGCGGATTGGCACCAAAACTCGCCTCAGAACCAGTCTAGTCATCTGACGGAGGCGGCTTTTGCTACAGACAAGACGCGCCGTCATGTCGGTATCCCACCGTCGGTCACGACGGGCTTTCAGGTGGCGCCCAAGAATCGAGTGGCTGGCAGCTCTAATGATCATGATCACCAGACACGATTGGCAAATCACCAGCGGTACGCACAAGAGAGACTGACGTACAGCTTAAACCGGTTCAAGTCGCGGCTCAGGGACGCCAATGCACGTCGCTAACCAAGTCGATGGCCTCCCTTTACGGACCTGGCTTTCGCATCTTCGTGCGTGCCTTTCCATGTCTATATTAAAATAGCACCACACTGTCCTCGCATATCAGGAGTTTCAATCTCGTATTGCTTTTGGCTGTCGCAAAACTAGCAACAAAAAGTAACCTCATGGAGGCCCTTGGTGGGTCCGGATCATACAGCGCGACCTAGCAGGGCATCCAAGAGGAAAGGACCAGAGCATGTCATCCGATCGACGGTATGCCTGGTCGTCGGGTAAAAAGGAAGATTACTCCTCCTCCTCCTCCTCGCCGGCCTCCTCGCCGTCACCGCCGCTCTGCGCAGCAGCGCGCTTGCGCTTAACACGACCAGGGCGACCACCAGCGTAGGGCGAGTTCAACGCAAAATCAATGTGCTTCTGCGACTCGAGACGGACAATAAACGAGGGCGAGGTGACGATCTGCTTACCAACGCGGATGTGGCGCTGGTTGATAAGCACACGGGCATGATGAATGCTGCGAGCAAGACCGCTCTTGTACACCTGGGTCTGAAGGCGACGCTCCAAGAAGTCCTCGATCTGGAGCGCCAGCACGTAATCGAGCTTCATGCGCGACTCGTCGAGCACACCAATGCGAATAAGACGGCGGATAATAGCGTTACCCTCGAAGAGACGCTTGGGGTCCTTCTCGTCGAGCTTCAGCAGCTCACGGGCGGCACGACGAATCTTCGACAGGGTCAGGGCAATGCGCCAAATCTCCCTCTTGTTCTTAAGACCGTACTCACCGGCGAGCTTCAGCTCGGCATCAAGACGAGGAGCACCGAAGGGACGGCGGGGGACCTTGTATGTCTTGCTGTGGTTACGAGGAGCACCCTTGCAGTGGCGAGTCGCGAGCGGCATCTTGGTGAAGCGGTACGAAAGAGCAGGTGTGGCTTGCGACGGGCCTCTTCTTCGCTGAGGTCACTCCACCACGGCCGAGTGTGAAATATCACGTGATATGATATAGTTCCAGGAGAGCCTCAGCAGAGTTAACCTTGCGGCCTAGGTTGTTCCACTAACACCGAGACTCGTCAAGATGCCTCACAGTTATGGTTACAGGGCGCGCACCCGGCACATGTTTGCCAAGCAGTTCCGCAAGCATGGTCAGGTGCAGGTGAGCCGTTACCTCCGTCCTTTCCATTCCGGTGACATTGTGGACATTGTCGCTGACTCGGGCGAGCAGAAGGGTATGCCACACAAGTACTACCAGGGCCGCACTGGCGTGGTGTACGGTGTTTTCCCCCGTGCAGGTATGTGAACAACTACGAACTAACCTCCAGTCGGTGTGATTGTGCACAAGACGGTCGGCAACCGCAAGATTGAAAAGCGTGTGAACCTCCGCGTGGAGCACGTCCGCCACTCCAAGTGCCGTGACGACTTTGTGAACCGTGTGAAGGCGAATGCTGCTGCTAAGCGCGAGGCGAAGGCGAAGGGTGAGCACGTCAACCTGAAGCGCCAGCCCGCTCTGCCCCGTGAGGCCCACACCATCACCGTCGCTGGCAACAAGCCGGTCACTCTGGCGCCCCAGGCCTACGACACCTACATCTAAGGTGTGTTGCGCGTGGCTTGCTGGAATACGACCGCAGCCGCATGGATGGTACGACCTGCGTTGCAGTGGCATGTTGCCACTTGCACGATTCAGCGTAGCTAGCGTTGAATGTAAAAATGCACAGTATGCACTATGGAAACAGCTCGAAGCCACGAGGTGTACCAACTCCGAGCACCTTGGCACCATAGGCAAAAGGGTCACCCTGTCTGTCAGTCATAGCCACATACATCGTACACCACCACGTCGCTTGACGGGGGGGCTGGCAGTTGCAGGATGTCTTCAAGGCTGGGGTCAGTTGTGCACACTTACTTGGTGGTTAGCCACGACAAAATGGTGGCAGCGTCCGTAACATGTGCATCCTGCGCGGCCCATGTTGTCTCCCATAGAAGATTTGAGGCTTCCCAGCCCTCGTCAATGCGTACACCCACCCGCACGCCGTGCTGGAGCAGCACGCCCAGCTCAGTCGCTGCACTGACAGGCGGCCCGGCAAGTCGATCGCGGCGCTCCCATCCGTATATCCACACCCTGTTCGGAAGCAGAACAGGAATGTCAGCCGCGGCAAGCTCAGCCGCGACGCGGTGCAGTGGGGCTGCCGAGTCCAGTACGAGACGCACCTGGGGCATCGCACGCTTGAGCAGAATCATCTGGACCACCATATGTTCGTAGTCCGTAGCGACCACAAGCGGTAATTTCCCGCTAGCCACCTGCTGCCATTCTGTAGTCGCTGGGTTGTTGAGTTGCGCTCGCAGGAGCGCCACCTGCGTCGAGAGCGCCGGCTGCCCGTTGTCACTCGGTGCCAGCTTGGCATGCATAGCTACTCTGGAGGCGCGTATACTCATTTTGTCGAGCACAGTGCGAGCGCCTGTATCAAACTGGGCCGAGACACCGCCAAAGAGGCCCTCGAACTGCGGCGCATTGACTACCGTCGAGACACCCGAGGCATGCGCACGGAGCAAGTCGTGCCCGCCAAGTACGAGGCCATCGGCGGCGAAAGACACGGGTGCCGGCCTCTCAGGACGCACGCTGGCATCAGGATCCTCGCCATTGGACGCGCTAGTCTCACTCACGATATCGCTGAGGCCAAGCATCGCGCCATAGGAGATTAGACCTGGAAGAACAACACCGCCCTGAGTATCCATATGGTGCGCATGCGCTGGCACACTTGCCAGGCACGACTTGCCGCCAATGCAAAGGACTTCGCCCTGTGCGAATACCAGCATGAGATCTGTTCCGTTCTGCTGACGGATCCGGCCCATATCACGAATATACACATGTGACAAGTTGTGCAGCACCATGTCAGGAACGCGCTGCAAGGGCGTCGGGAAGGCCAGAGCACGCTGGTCAGCAATGGCGTCTGATTCATTGCGCACACGGGCAATTTCGTCGCGGAACTGCGCCATAGGCGGCGCCTTCCGTGGCTTGGTGCCGCTGGGCGTCGGACCAGAGGGATGTAGCTTGTCAAATTCAGAGCGGCCATCCACAAACACAGCGGTAGGCGTGGCGCCAAGCTGGAGCGGATGGCGGTCCCAGAGCACGACGTCCGCGTCCATGCCGGGCTGCACATGCCCAAGGCGGTGAGCAAGACCCAAAACATGAGCCGGCGCGGATGTCACAGCACGCAGAGCGTCCAGTTCTTGGAGGCCAAAATGGTGCGCCTGGGCGGCTTGGTTCAATAGGCGCCGCGAGTCTAGGACCGGGTGGTCACTCTTGATAATCGGCGTGATATTGTGCGTGCGGAGCAGCTCAGGCTGGAACGGTGTACCAAAGTACGACTCGTACTTGTAGTTGGCATTGGTTGAGAAAATTGCCGCTGCAGGCGTGCCACCGGGTGCGCCATGTAGCACCGAAGGCACGAGGTACGTCTCATGTGCGTGGTGGAAAGCAGCGATCGGGAATTGAAACTCGTTAGCATGGCGCACAAACGCATCAAGATCGTTCATTGTATAGCAGTGCGTCTGGACCTTGGTGCGACCGCGGAGCACATCGACTAGCACGTCAATCTCCTGTTCGTTCGGAAAGTGCAGTTCGCTCGGGGGCGCTCGGTTAAGCTGGCCCGCCGCGAGTCTCGAGCAAAAGTCGTCTTGGCGTGCACGGAGCTTCTGAGCACGCTCCAGCATGCTGCGGAAGTTCCATGCCTCGTCCATGCGCACTAGTTGGTACTTGCGTGCGTTTTCTCCGCATGCCATCTTGATCTGCCGGAACGACGTGCTGCCATCTGGACGCTGCATGCCGGTGTTCTTTGCGTACATTTCGTCGCGTGCATGGCCTGCTTCGCCATTCATGACCATGCTGCGCGGTGGATCGACGACACGCGACGAAGGCGGGCGGCCAGCGAGCGATCCAAGCTTCACAGGGTACGCCTGGCCGCCGATATTGTTCAGCGATCCCGGCAAAACAAGGGCAGTTGTGACGCCGCCGGAGAGGGTGCGGCGCACATTTTGGTCGTGCTCGTTGAATGCATCAATGCTTCGAAGCATAGGGCGTGTCGGACTTAGATGCGAGTTGACATCCTGATTCGATGGCATCGAGGGCGTGCCGAGCACGCCCAGGTGCGTGTGCATATCGATCAGACCAGGGGTAAGCCAGGCACCTGCCGCGTCCATTTCCACGGCATCGGCAATGCGGCGACGGTGGGATGTGGGAGATACTGATTGGATAAGTCCTTGGTCTAGCAAGACATCCATCTCGCGCAGAATCGCTTCTCCAGTGAAGACAGTGGCATTGCGGATGATCGTGGCTCTAGTGTCTCGCACATGGCGATCATTCACTGTGCGCTCTGAGAAGGCAGGTGGTGCTCCCGCTGGTGCTCTCGCAAAGTAGCATTGCTCTTGGGCTTCAAGCAGCCGAGCAGAATTCGGGCTCCTATGGGGTCGAACCCACACGAGTAATACCGCACCGGCAGCAAGAAGATAGACCAACGCTCGAAACCAGCTCAGGCGTGTACTGCGCCTAGATGAAGCCGGATAGATGGTCTCATTGTCGAGGGGCTCCCACTCTACTTTATCGTCGACATCATGATAGCGCGGCACGGGCTGCCAGATGGACATGATGGCCGAGATAAGCAGGCCGCATGGGACATGTGGAGGATATCACAGGGCACCAGCTATGGCTGTAGGGGCATACAGGACGCTACTTACACAGACGGATCCACGTCCAAGCGAAGCTGATTCGTGCGCTCTTCGATGTGGGCAGCTTCATTTTGGGGCTCCATTGGCGGATCCGACTTGTCGTGCTTAGCGAGGCGGCCAAGCAGCATCTGCACAATGTCCTCGCGGTCGGCTTTCTGAGCCTCGGTCATAGGACCATGGCCCGCGGCATTGCGGATATCCCAAAGCGCACGGTCGCGCTGAAGCTCGTCGTGGTGTTCCAGCTCGGCCTTCTGCTCAGCCTCCGGCTCGTCCGTTTTCTTGTTGGCAGCGAGGTGGCGCTCGTGCTCACGCTTGTCCTCCTCAGCACGCAGCTTCTGCGCAGAGGCCTCGTCCTGTGTCTCGAGAGCGTCAATCCGGTCAACCAGAAGCTCGCACAATTTAATGTGGCCGTTAAAGGCGGCCCAGTGCAAAGGCGTATTCCCAGCGTCGTTCTGACGCAGCAGGGCCGTCAGGTCACAGTGCGGTAGAACATAGTGGATCAGGTCTGGTGTCAGGGCCGCGCAGCCTACCTTCATGCCCGTTCGCAAACGCGAAGTGGAGCAGAGAGTTGCCCGACTCGTTCGTGCATTGCAGGGCTAGATGGAATGCCGGATCGCCACCATCCTGAATCTCCGAAAGCGATTCCTTGAGAGCCTCGATGTCTCCGGCTCGGGCGGCAAACAGGATATTATCGACCTGCTCGTCCTTGAGGGCCGTCATTTTGTCGGGACTGGAGAACGGCAGCGACGGGTCCCAGGCCAAGGTGTGTGATAAATCTGACTAAGCACAAAGCTGCGCGGACGGGCGCAGCGAGGCACAGGCTCCGTTTGGCCACGGACGACCTCGCAGCTACTCCATACTGGCCGCCCTAGTGCATCAGGATTCCCAACGAGTCCTCTTGTAGCTGCCCCTACGTGTGATATGTCTCTCGACGGCACGGAGCAGCCGGAGCAGCCAACCTCGCCGCTATCGTCAGAGGCAGAGACAGAGCCTTTGCCATTTGATGAAACGGAGCCGGACATGCAAGCCCCCACCCACACGGACAACACCGGGGACGCAGTGAAGAAAGACGTAATGCCGGAGGACAGCGTTACCCCCGAGCCACCGGTCCAAGTTGAAGATGCCCCCGGAAGTCGACCGGGCGACGAATACGACGCAGAGTCAGGTCCATCGCCGAGCACAAGTGAACAGCCAGTACCTGTCTCACGGGATCTTGACGACGAATCCTCACTGTCTGAGAGTATGGATGAGGACCGTCAGGAAGACATGGAGGACGGTCACTTGGAGCGCAGTGCCCTGGACGGCCTCGCCGAGCTCGCAGCATCGAGCAGCAATGTACCAGAAGAGAGGGACGTTTCAGCCTCGTCGACGATGAGCTCAGGTACCTCGCAGGACGAGGACCAGGAACAGCTGGCGCGCACTCCACCGGCAGATCCCGCCGACGAAGACGATGCCGAGGAGGGTGATGTCACAGTAATGCCCACAACACCATCGTCGCGCAATAAGACGTCTCTGCACCGCGCTGTTATGGCAGCCGTCGGCAAACGGCGTGCAGCGGCCACGGGCGGCGCGCCCAGTCTGTTGATGGACCAGGATGGCGAGAGCTCAGCCCCAGCCTCTACAGCGACGAGTCGACAGGGCAGTCCCGTGGCCGAGTCGGACTCTGGTGACACCAAGGAGACCAAGCGAGACGACGAGGTGGATAGCGAGGCGCCCGAGCCGACACTGATGGACGAGGAAAAGGATGAGATGGCCACAGAAACTCAGTCGAATGCGGAGGAGGCAGCCGCTGAGAGCCATACGCGCGGCGCCGAACAGGTGGACGACGACGCCGAGGCCTCGCAACAGCGCCAGGAAGCGATGGATCTACTGACACGCATGGAGCTCGGATTCGCCATGCTCCGCGAGCGCCTGTACCGCGAGCGCCTTGAAGAGCTCGAGCGCGAGGCAGAGATGATCCAGCAGGGCACGCATCCCGAGCTGCGACTGCTGCACACGCTCATCGATACACGCAAGGAGCGGCGCCTGGCACACCTTGACGTGTGGCTCGAGAAGTCCGAGCACGAGCACGAGCTGCGCGCGCGCGCGGAGGAAAAGATCGCTTGGCTCAACTGGCGTGATCAAGCGGCTACAGTGCGTCGCCGCATGCTGGCTCAGACGGACAGCGAGAGGCGAAAACTGGACCGCGAGAAGCGTCTGCTTGATGCGCCGCCACCTGTGCGCCGTCACCAGCCGTTTGAGGTGGAATTTGTGCGCAAGCCGCTGTCGTATTCGCGGCGCACGCGGCGTATGGGCCACCTGTATATGACTCGCGAGATGACGCCGCACGACACGCGGGGCTTTTTGGCGTACCCGGACGTGCGTGGCTTGGACGAGTACGATGTGTGGATGGACCTCGACCAGATGGGCATCCGCGCCGCCCTGCCGCCGCCGCCCGGTATGCTCCCGCCCGGCTATGCGCGTCCGGAAGATGCGCCGCCGCACGACATGTATGCACCGTACCCGGGCATGCCGGGCGATGCGCCGATGGGCTACTACGGCCCGCCCGGGCCGTATATGGAGGGCCCAGGACCACCGGGGCCAGCTCCTGGACCGGGTCTAGCGCCCATGTATGACGCCATGTACGTTGACCGAATGGACCTGCCGCCGCCTGGGCCACGCAAAATGGAAGTCGGCTATGAGAAGGCGTATGGCCCGCCGCCGCCGATGCGGCACTATGGCGGGATGACAGAGGCGCCGATGGACATGCCCGTGTCGCATGTAATGCATGCCTGATGTCTGTATAGTACACTACGGGAGCGGCTCGCTGCTGCTGGACAGCCGGTTCAGGTGAATGTACACATCCGTGCCGTAGCTGGTGTAAGGCAAGGCTTCACGTACCCCTCCATCGAGATCAGTTTCAAGTCGCCGCCAAAGTAGCGCGCGTACTGTGTGAGTGCAGGTCACGTACCAAGCGTGCAAGCGGGAGACCATAGCCGAAGCCGGCCATGGGTGCCTGGAAGTCGGACGACTCAAACTCGGGATCGAGGTCCTCTGAGCGCGCCGTCGTATACATGTATGTCCAGGCCAGGGGGACTTCACTGCGTGGAATGCCGCCGCCTTCGTCGCTAATTTTGATCGTGATGTCTTCCTTGCCCTCGACGACAATGACTTTGATCGGTGGGAAGTTGTCTTCATTGTCGACGCCGTAGCGTTCGACGACCGCCCGCAGCGAGTTTTTCAGCAGCTCAAACAGCATGTGGTTCAAGTGGCTCGGCACATACATAAACGTCAGGTCCTTGGGGCACACAAGCTGCACGGGCGGCGCGCGGAAGAGGCCATAGTGCTCTTCGCACACGAACCGCGCATTCTCGATCGCCTCGTGGGCAACACTGCCGACGTTCGTGTTGGTGCAAATAATCCCGACGTACTTCTCCGGCTCTGTGCCGCTCACATCGCTCAGATGCCCGGGCCGCGTGGCGGCACCACTCACGAAGTAGCCGAGCGTGCCCTGGCTAGGCGCCATGTACGAGCGGCCCAGCGCCACATGCTGCCCAATCAGCATGCGGATACCGATACGCGACATGTAAAACCGGTCGAGGAAGACCTGCAGGTTGGCCTGCTGGCTGTCGTTCGCCTTCGAGCGTTTGTACTCGAGTACACCCTGCGCCAGGGTGGTGACCACGGCATCGTGGCGGTGCTTGATGCGTTCCAAGCACCGCGTGAAGTTTTCATTGTACTCCATCAATTCCTGTGGCCAGTCAATGTCGTCCAGTCGCGTGCTGAAGCCATAGTTGAGGACCGGCCACCGCTTTAACGTCTGCAGTGCGCTATCGCGCTGGCTATTCACCGTGAGGTGCTTCTTGGAGGTGCCATCGTCGAGCAGCGTGTTGTCCTCCAGACTCGGGTTAGGCGACGCCTGCAGGGCCTCGACGGGCACATCGACGGGCGCACGTGCCAGCTTTCGCTGGATGGACTCGGATAGGCGCGGCGCAGGGAAGGACACGAGGTCCTCGAACGACTGCGCGTACCAGTTCTTCACCTTGATGATCGACGGCACATTGGCGAGATCATGCGGCAGCTCGTGCAGCTCCTTGACACGATGGGCTAGGCGCACAGGCAGCTCCTCTGCGGTGTTAGTCACGCGCAGAATACCTACCCAGGAGAAAGGAGCTCGCCAGCAAGAGAGTCCCTGGATTCGTGTTGCGGCCAAACATGACCATCTGCCGGAGCGACACACCGGTCGGCGGGAAGGTCGCAAATCGCTCAATCTGCGACCATACCTTTTTCGTGATCTTGTAGGCCCTGTCGTTAGCCTGGGCAGCTGCTGCTAGCCACGTACATCCCACGCCGACCCCGGACTGATAGAGGCCCACCGGTCGCCGGCAGAGCCGTCTGGGGTCAGTACCTCCACATCACGTGGTATCACGTGATCATGCCAGCGGGCCGGCGTTCGCCGTTGCACGGCGTGGCTGTCTCGGCGAACTCGGGCCGTGACCCATCCTCTGCCTATCAATATGGTCTACCGGATCGCTACTCGCAGTGCGCAAGGTACGTCGTCCGCGCGTCCCAGAGGCGCCGCTCCCGCGCATCTTGTGACAGAGACTAACATAATTAGCCGCGACGCGCCGTGCTCTTGCTGCCGCTGTGCCGCGCCAGGCTGTGATGCCGGCTGTGGCTGCTGCCCCGTACGTACCTTACGTCGAGCTGTGCTGACCTGACAGGGCTCGTTTCTACTCGGACAGTAAGTAAACAGCAGAGGAGCTAACATCCTAGAGCCGACCCCGGAGGCCAAGGCGTCTTCGATCATTGATGCGCTGCCCGGCAACAGCCTGATTTCGAAGACCACCTGGGTGACCATCGGCGCTGGTCTCACTGCGTTCGCTGTGTCGAACGAGCTCTACGTGGCGAACGACGAGACCGTTATCCTTGCTGGTTTCTTGGTCTTCGCTACCCTGATCGGCCGCACGGTGTCGAAGCCGTACGCGAACTGGGCGAACTCGTACATCGAGAAGATCTCGAACATCCTGAATGAGGCGCGCCAGGGCCACACCAAGGCCATCCAGACTCGCATTGACGCTGTCAATGAGAAGAAAGATGTGGTGGACATCACGAAGGCCATGTACGCGCTGGCGAAGGACACCGTCCAGGCCGAGAAGGAGGCGTTCGAGCTGAAGCAGAAGACACAGCTGGCCGCTGAGGTCAAGGCGGTGCTCGACAGCTGGGTGCGCTTCGAGGCTCAGGAGCGTGAGGCCGAGCAGGCCCTGCTCACCGAGACGGTGATCAAGAAGGTGGCCGACAGCCTGCGCGAGGAGAAGTCGCAGAAGCAGATCCTCGACAGCGCCGTGTCGGAGATTGAGCGTACGTGGGCGGTGTGCTGACTATGATACAGAGCTCGTCAAGAGCAAGAAGATCTAAGGATCTGGCATGTAGGCGTTGCATAGCGGCCTCGCTCTTCCGTCTAGGAAAAGGCCACCATATGGGCCAGACGCTTGCGCTGCGCAATCTGCTCGTCGGATAGGGCCCGCTTCTGCGCCGATGAAGCGGGTGTTTCCGCCGGCGCCGTCGGCGCCGGCGCTGCCTCCTCCGCCGCGTCAGAGGACGCAGGGCGCGGGAGCTGCGGCGGCGGGGTCGGCACGGGGCCCGTCCGGAAGTAGGCATGCTGTAGGCACTCTGTCGAGCGCAGCCGGCGGAGTGGATCGAAGCGCAGGCACTGCGCCAGAAAGTCGAGCGACTCGGTCGATGCCGCGGTAAAGAGCAGCGCGAGATTCTGCTTCGGGAACGACTCGAACGGCTTGTAGTCCGGAAGAGTGTGGTGTCCCGGCCAGTCAGCTTGCGAGGGCGTGCCTAGCGCGCGAAAGATGGTCGTAAGCTGTGCAGCATCCGTCTCGCCGGGCAGGTACGGCGTGCGGAGCATAAGCTCGGCAAAGATGCACCCCACAGACCACATGTCCACGGCCGTGGAGTAGGCGCGGCTGCCGAGCAGGAGCTCGGGCGCGCGGTACCAGCGCGTGACGACCTGTGACGTCATGCGTGCCCCTGGATCGGCACACTCGCGCGCCAGGCCAAAGTCAGCAATTTTCAGCTCGCCCGTCGGCGAAACAAGCAGGTTGCTCGGCTTGAGATCCTGGGTAAGTGAGCCGACGTACGCGGTGAAGGCACCAGTGTCGATGACAGTACTCAATGCCTCGGCAGAGCATAAACATCCAGCTTTTTATGTCGTTCGCGCGGAACACGAGCGATCGGTCCTTGATGATGGCCTCAAGGTCGGTATTGAGGTACTCGAGCACCAGGTTGATCGACGGCACGGACGCGCCTGACGAAAACACATCTAAGAGCTGCCAGTGAGCCACTTTAACGTACTCCCACCACATTCGGGTGCCGTAGCTCCTTGAGGAACTTGAACTCACGCATCGCCGTGATGTCGATGCCATCGCGAGGGCCCGCCGCGGCGATTTTCAGTTTCTTGATGGCCACCTTGGTGCCGGTTTGGACATTGCGTGCTAGAAATACAGCAGCAAAGGTACCCTCGCCGATCTTGTCGAGTTTCTCATACTTGGATCGCACCTGCTGGTTCAGCTGTCGCGTCGCATCGCTGGCCATGGCCCTCGCCGCCCTGGTCGTCGGACGCGTGGTGGAGGACGAGGCAGGTGGATTTGGGCCGATTTCTCGAGCCACGCACGCCGCGCCACACCGCCATGGCGGATCCACCCGAGAGGGCCGGCTCCAGCCACGAGTCTGCGAACGCAGAGATGGATGGGGCACCTGAAGCTGGAGACGTGAAGGTGGCTCTCGCGGCGGGAGCGGACGTTGTGCCGCCCAGTGAGGCGGAGTCGGCGCAGGGCGAGCCACACAGCGAGGCTGCGCCGCCACAAGACAAAGGCAAGCAACGTGCTGCGGCGGACGAGCGGGCGGACCGCGAGGCAGAGCGCCCCGACGTGCCGAGCGGAGAGCGGCGCCCGCAGCTGCCAGCCGAGAAGCCGTTCGACTTTAACCGGTTCCTCGAGCAGATGAAGCACCGCAGTGCGCTCCCCGTGAACGAGTACGTGCGCAGCTTCTTCCGTGGCTTTACGCGCCGGCCGTACAAGCCCGATGAGCAGGTGAAGCTTATCTTTGATTTCCTCGACTTTATCGCGGCGCGCATGGCGGAGGCGGCCGTGTGGGCCGAGCTGCCGCCCGGTGAGTTTGACCAGGCCACCGAGGCGATGGAAAAGCTCGTGATGAACCGGCTGTATACCTTTACCTTCTCGCCTGCCATTGCCGCCGAGGGGCACTGGCCGGTCCAGAGCGACGACCTGGAGCGGGATCGCATGCTGACGGAGCGCATTCGGCTGTTTGCGTGGGTCCGCGAGGAGCACCTGGATGTGCCCCGCGGCGCGCACTCGGAGCGCTTCTACAGGTTTGCCGCGCAGGAGCTCAACAAAATCAACCACTACAAGGCGCCACGCGACAAGACCATCTGCCTGCTGAACTGCTGCAAGGTGATCTTTGGGCTCATCCGGCACCTGGATACAGAGGAAAGTGCGGACGCCTTTATGCCGCTGCTGATCCTGGTTGTGCTGCGGGCCAACCCCGCGAACCTCGTATCGAACATGGAGTTTATCGCGCGCTTCCGCACGCCCCAGCGGCGCACGAGTGAGAGTGAGTACTACCTATCGAGTCTCGCGGGCGCCGTGGCGTTCATCGAGCGTATGGATCATACGACGCTCTCGCACGTCACGCAGGAAGAGCTCGAGCAGCGCGTGCAGCAGGCAGCGAGGCAGCTGGAAGACGAGGCTGTGCCGCCCCCCGATGGCCGCGCGCCCCTCTCGCTCAGTGCCTCGATGGCCGCTGCGTCGCTCGCGGACGATACACGCGCCTTCTTCCAGCGCACCGGCGAGGCAGCACGTATGGGCTTCTCGCGCCTCTTTACGGAGCGCCCCGACCAGGTGGCGGCACTGCCCCCTGCGGAGCTGCAGCCGATGCCGCCCGTCACGCCAGCCGCCCCGCCGGCCCGGCCGCCGACACTGGGCATCGCGCCGCATGCGCCGCGGCGCACGGCGTTCTCGAGCCCGTCGTCAGACCGTGCAGTGCCGTCCCCGGGGACCGGCGCACCTGCCTCGCCGTCGCACGACGTTGCAGCGGCGCGGCGTGCCCAACAAGAGGACGACTCGTACGAGGCTGTCTCGGAGGAGCAGGTCGCAGCCGCCACGCAGACGCTGCAGTCCATTTTCCCGCAGGCCGACGCCGCGGTGCTGCAGATGGTCCTGGAGGAGTGCCACCTGGATGTCGAGCAGGCCATTGACCGGCTGCTCGATATGACGTGAATAGACCCAGAGCTAGGCGCGCTTGGCGCGGGCCATCTTCTTGGCGACGCTGCGCTGCGGTAGCTTGACGCGCTCGCGCCCCTGGCCGACTTTGGCAGCGACCTTCTTCGCCTGCTTCTTCTGCAGGCGGCGCGCCTGGCGCGCAGGATCGCTCTTCTTGAGGGCGGCGCGCTGCTCCTTGCTGAGCCTCGATAGGTCCGCAGCCATGTCGGGACGCACGCCGGGCGAGGAGCCATGGGGCGTGGGCGCGCCACTCGCACGCGCGCGCGCAAGCGACTCCGGCAGGCGGCGCTTCGGGGGCGTGCGTGGTGAGTCGGCGGGCGGCGCGCGCTTACGCGACTCGTCGCCCGTCGTCGCCTTGCAGCGCGAGACGCGCAGCGCGCGCTTGCGCAGCTTCATGCGGCGGCGGAACTCTTGGCCCTCCGCCAGCTGGATGGGGCGTGCGGCGGGCCGCGCCGAGTGCCGGCCGGCCGCGACGAACGCGGCCTCTGCGTCGTGCAGCGCGACCATTTCGTCCACGCAGAGGCTGTCGATAAACTTGACGTACGCAAAGCCCTTGCCGAGCTGCGTCGCCTTGTCGCGGACGATGCGGACGCTCTCTACCCATTCGCCGGGGCGCATAGCGTCCGACGCTGGCGTCCCATCGAGCCGCACGGCCTGCGACGGCACGAGCGGCGGCTCGCCACGCTCTTCGCGCACGAGCCTCTCAAAGAGCGCGCGGACCTCTTCCTCCTGCGCCTCAAAGTCGAGGTTGCCCACAAAGATGGTGCGCTTCGGGTCCACGGCGCTGGCACTGCGGTGGCTCAGCGAGGTGCCGTCAGGCAGCTGCACCCGGTCGAGCCCGGCCGCGACGATCTCGTGCGGCTCGAGCGGCTGCACGGTGTCCGCACGCAAGTGGCGCCCTTCGAACACGGTGTTATCGAGCGCGCGTGCGAGCAGGGCGGCCAGCACGGGGCCGCTCAGGCGCGCGTCGTGCGCCTCGCCGCTGGGCTGGCGGTGCGCGCGCACCAGCGCCGGGTCGCCGAGGCGCACGTAGGCATGGACCGACTCGGCGCGCTCGTTCAGGTCCTGCCGGATGTAGGCGATCTTGCGCTTTTGCTGCGCGGTGAGCGGCGGCGGCGCTTCGCTGCCGCCCTGCCGCTCGCGGAAGAGGCGCGCGCGCTCGCGGCGCTTGGTAGACGGGCCGGGCGTCTCGTCTCTGGGCGCAGCGCCGCTCGTCGGCACACGGAACGAGACACTGCGGAAGCGCAGCGACACGACCTGCGTGCAGTCGGGGTACGGCGACACGGCTTCCACGTGGCGCTGGAACTGCTTGCGTACGGCGCGCGTCGTGAGCGCAGAGACAGGCACGTTGCCCACAAAGAGGGTGCGCTTGTGGCGGTCGAGGTCGCTGTCGTCCGCGTGTTCGAGGACGGGCTTTCTCTTGCGTGGCCCGTCCTTGGATGCGAGAATGTCGCGGACCGCCGCGGCTTCCTCGGCGTACTCGTCGTCCGAGAGCCCTGAGAAGTCGGCCGCGTCCTCCGCCGGCGGCGCGGGGGCCGGCGGCGCCTCTGGTGCGGGCACGGGTACTCTGGGTGGCGGCGGCGGCGGCGCTGCTGCAAACATGGCATCGAGCTCCTCGTCAAAGCCGGCGCTGGGCGCCCTGCCGCGCTGCCCCTCGGCCATCGTAGCGCTCGTCAGAGCGGCGTCCTCTGTCGATCACGTGTGTTATCCCAGCTATGGAGGCGCCCCTCGGCTAGGCCGACTTGGTGGCGTAGAAGCGACGGAACTTGGCGTCGACGTTCGTGAGGTAGTACGCCTCGGGCCACAGGTCCTCGAGGCTGCCCTTGGGCTCGTAGTCGACGGCGTTGTGGGTCTGCTCGCGCGTTTTGAGGGCGTCGACGTACACGGCACAGGGCACGACCTGCATGTCCGCCAGGCGCTCGTTGAGCTGCAGCGCCTTGCGCATCGCTTCGGTCGAGCCGGCGACGCGAATTGTGAAGATAGAAGCCGCTGAGCCGGAGCCGAACGAGTACATCAGCAGGCGCTTGCCGGCGAGCTGCTCGTCGGAGCTGTTCGCCACGACCGAGGCGAGGCCGCCGTACAGCGAGCCTGAGTACATGTTGCCGCACCGGCGCACGGTCGTCATGCCCGGCTCGAGCTTGGACGCCATCATCGGCTTTGCGAGCGCGGAGAACAGCTTCTCGAGGTCCTTGTTCATGATGCTCGCGCGGCGGTCGGCCTGCAGGTACTCTTTCGGCACACTCGCGAACGCCTCGTGGTCAGGGTGCACGAGAAAGTCGTTGAAGAGCATGCGCGCAAAGCCCTTCTGCACGAGCTTCGAGTAGGGGCTGTGCAGCACGGCGTAGTCCACGTCCTCCAGCGAGAAGCACGAGCGCGGCTCAGCCGCGTTGCGGGGCTCCTTGGCAGGGAGGCCGTGCGCCTCCGCGAGCTTGGCGTACTTGGTGCGGAACGCGTCGTACGCGTGGTCGATCGAGCCGAGGTACGCGTACAGCGTCTCGGGACCGTCGACCTGCGGGTACTCGGACGACAAGTCCGGCTTGTAAAAGTCCCACGCGTTCACCATGTGCGTGCCGTGCACCGGCTCGATGACGAGCGGCGCGTTCGGGCCCACGAGCATCGCGATGGCGCCGGCACCACCGACGGGGCGCGCACTGCCCTCCGCGTAGATGGCAATGTCGCCCGCAAACACAATCGCGTCGCGGCCGTCCCAGCTGCGGCTGTCGATCCAGTTGACCGCGTTGAACAGCGCGGCCGTGCCTCCGTAGCACGCGTTCTTCGAGTCGATGCCCTCGATGTCTGTGTTGCCGTGCTTCTCAAACAGGTCCATGAGCACCGTCTTGACCGACTTGGACTTGTCAATGATCGTCTCTGTGCCGACGTCCAGGCGGCCGATCGAGCGGGGGTCGATGTGGTTCTTCTTCATCAGCTGCGACACCGCTGCGGTTAGCAGCGCCACGCACCTGTCAGCGCAAACGAGTGAATGTCCTCGCGGTCGTCGGTGAACGCCATGTAGTGCTGACCAAAGCCCACCGTGTACTTGCCCTTGGACACGCCGTCAAAGTCCTCGAGCTCATCCTCCGAAATACACTGCCGTCAGCCGACCCGCAACGCACCCGCTTCGGAAAGTACACCTCAATCGCCTTGACGCCAACGTTCTCGGGGCGGCCCGCCATCGTGGATTCTACGGAACGGCCGCCGCCGCCTCGCGCCGTCTTCCCTGGGTGGCTTTGTAAGCATGCGCCTATGGCGTGGTTTTGGCCCACTACGGCGAGGCCGGCGCCGCCGCACCAGGGTGGCTCGCGCCCCACACCCAGCGGTCGAGCGGCGGCGACGGCGCGAGCTCGAGCGGCACCGAGATGGAGCGCCGCTTCCGCCGCCCATGCGCAGGCGACGCCGCCGGCTCCCGCACGCGCTTGGGCCGCGCGCCCGCGGCGCCCGCGCGCGCCGTGGGCTCGAGCACCGAGAGCAGCACGCGGTGGAAGTCGTGCTGCTCCTGCATCCATAGCGAGGAAACGCGCCGCGGCCGCACACGCTCGCGCGCCTGCTGCACGTCCGCGGCGGCCCAGTCGTGCAGCTCGCGCTCCCACGTGGCGTCCACGTCGTCGTCGGACCACGCCTCGTCGAGCCACGCGCTGTCGTGCCGGCGCGTCAGCGCGCCGAGGGTGCTCGGCATGCCCGAGGGGCGCTCGCGCCGCCGCCGCCCTTGTGCGTCCTTCGCATAGGTGTGCATGAGCGTCGAGGGCAGCGAGTACGAGTCGGGACGCGCGCGCGGCACAAGCGCCTCGAGCGCCAGGTCCGCCCACACGCTCTCGTCCGGCTCGGTGCCGGCGGGGCGGCGGAAGAGCGCCGCGTGCGGCCGCGCGCTGGGCCCGGGGCCATAGCGCGGGAAGGGCCACGCCGGCGGGGCGGGACTCGCGCCCATCTGCGCCTTGAGCCGCAGGTGCGGCGCCAGCGTCACATGCCCGTCGGCGCCGACGCTGTACGGCAGGGGCCCCTCGTCGTCGCGCTCCTCGAGGGCGGCCTGCGCGTGCGCAGAGCCGCGCGCCACGGACGAGAGCGCGTCTTCAGGCGCGTGCGTGTCCATGTGCATAGCGAGGCGCATCGCGAGCCGCGGGTCGAGCTTGGGCTGCGACGAGCCGGCCGGCTGCAGCGTCGCCGGCGTGTGGTGGATCCAGTACGGGTTGCCCAGGGGGTACGACGGATGCTGCTCCATCGGCAGCGTGTCCTGCTCGAGGTCGTCGCCGCTGGGCAGCAGGTGCTCCGGCACCGCGATCACCTCGTCGCGCAGGGCCGCCGGCCGCTGCGGGCCCGCCGCCATCAGGGGATGCTGCAGAATCGGGTTGTGGAAGCGCGGATCGTCCGCGTGGTGCAGCGGCGGGAACACGAGGTGCCGCACCTCACGCCGCGCGCCCGCGCGCGTGCGCCTCGTCGCCGCCGCCATCGAGGCTGGTCGCTGGGCCGCGGTGCCTCCACATCTACCTGGCCATGCGCTGCCGCCACGCGTCGTACTGCGCGAGCATCGCGGGCGTGATGCGCCGCGGCATGTGCTGCGCGGCCTCTATCAAGTGGCGCTGCGCGATGTGCGCGCAGCTTGGATCCTCGCCGATGGCCCGGAGGCCGGCTTCCTGGCAGATGCCCACGACCTCGGCGCCTGAGCAGCCCGTCGCGACGGCCGCGACGGCGGCCAGATCCACGTCGTCGGCGAGGGCCATGCGGCGCGTGCGCATCGCGAGGATCTTTTCGCGGACGGTCGCGCTGGGCGGGCCGACATACACGAGTCGGTCCAAGCGCCCGGGGCGCAGCAGTGCGGGGTCGATGCAGTCGGGGCGGTTCGTCGCGGCGACGACCACGACGTGGCTCGCCGCGTCGATGCCGTCCATCTCGGTAAGCAGGCTCGCGACGATGCGGTCACTCGATCCATGGCTCGCGTCCATGCTGCGCACGCCGCTGATCGCATCGATCTCGTCGAAGAAGACGATCGACGGCGCCGCCGCGCGCGCGCGCCGGAACACCTCGCGGATGGCGCGCTCCGACTCGCCGACATACTTGCTCAGCAGCTCGGGGCCGCGCACCGCGAGGAAGTTGAGCCCGCTCTCGCGCGCGAGCGCCTGCGCCGTGAGCGTCTTGCTGCAGCCCGGCGGGCCATACAGCAGGGCGCCCCGCGGCGCGTCGATGCCGAGGCGCGCAAACGCCGCCGCGTGGCGGAGCGGCCCCTCGACGCACTCGCGGATCTGGCGCTGCACGCTGTCGTGGGCGCGGTCGTCGTCGGCAATGTCCGCCCACGTCACTTTGGGCGTCTCGACGAACACCTCGCGCATCGCCGACGGGCGCACCACGGCCTGCGCCGCGGTAAAGTCAGCGAGCGTCACGGGCGCGGGCGCGGGCGCATCGCCCAGCGACAGGGCCGCGAGCCCGTCGTGCAGCGGCGCGCCGAGACCGCGCGTGATCGTCGTCAGGCCCGCCTCGCGCACGAGCGCGGCGAGATCGGCGCCGACGTAGCCGTGCGTCCGCGCGGCGAGCGCACGCACCTCCTCGGGCGCGAGCGCGTGCGGCACGGGGCGGAGCAGCACCCCGAGGATCGAGTGCCGCGCGGCCGCGTCCGGCACGCCGACCTCGATTTCGCGGTCGAGGCGCCCGGGGCGCCGCAGCGCGGGGTCCAGCGCGTTCGGGCGGTTCGTCGCGGCGAGCACAACCATGCGCGACGGCGCGCCCCCGGGCGTGCGCGTCGCAGCCGAGCCCATGCCGTCCAGGAGCGTGAGGAGCGTCGCCACGACGCGGCGCTCGACGTCGCCGGCGCCGTCGCTCTGCGCGAACGAGCTCGCGTCGCGGCGCGGCGCGAGCGCATCGATCTCGTCGATAAACACGATGCTCCGCTCGTGCGTGGCCGCCGCCGCAAACACGGCGCGCAGCTTGGCCTCGGTCTCGCCATGGTACATGGACGACAGCTCGGGGCCGTCGATCGTGATGACGTGCGCCTGCAGGGACGCCGCGACGGTGCGCGCGAGCGACGTCTTGCCGGTGCCGGGCGGGCCATACAGCAGCACGCCGCGCGGCGGCGTGAGGCCGTACCGCGCAAAGAGCGCCGGCTGCGTGAGCGGGAGCTCGACCAGGGCGCGGATCGCCGCAATCTGCGTGTCGAGCCCGCCGAGCGCCTGGTACGCGGACGCGTCGACGAGCGTCGCGGGCGCGGGCGCCGACGCCTCGAGCGCCAGGTGCGTCTCGCGCGTGATGCGCACAGTGTGCGCCGGGTGCGCGCGCTCGACGCGCGCGCACACCGTGTGCCCGAGGCACGGGAGCGTGTACGTCGTGCCGACGACCACGGCGCCTACGTCGACTGGTGTGAGCGATCGATACGTACGCAGCGTATGCAGGAACACGGTGCGCAGCAGCTCCGCGGGCGGCGCATCGCCAGCCTCGAGCGCGAGAACGACGCTCGTCGCGCACGGCGCGTCGCGCAGCGCGGCGAGACGCACGGGCTGCCCGTGCAGCGCGCGCGGCGCCATCAGGGCGGGCAGCGACACCGTGCCGCGCGGCGCATCAAAGTCGGGCCACACGGTGCCTGCGACGGCACCGAGCGCCTCGTCGGACGCGGTGACAAGGACGTGCGCGCCCGTGGGGATGCCTGCGTCCTTCAGCGCATCGCTGTGCACGAGGATGCGCGTGTCGACAGCGAGCGACGCACACGGTTCGCGCACCGACGCGGCGAGCGCCATGGCGGCCCAGCGCCGCGGCGCGGCGGCGGGGCTCGTGCTGACTAAGCGCCCAGGACACGCCACTCGCGCCGGGCGCGGCGCTCCGCATGCTGCGAATGGGGTCGGGAGTGCGGCGCCTGGACGGGCGGCGCGTGCGTGGTCTGCACAGCAGTGCGGTGCGTGCGCTTGCCCAGGCGGAGCGCAAGAGTGACATGGTGATCGTGGGCGCGGGCGTCGCGGGCCTCGCGATGCTCGCGGGCCTCGTCGCGAGCCCGCGGCTGCCGGCGATGCACATTACGATGGTCGACGCGACGCCTGTGCACCGCTGGGGCGGGTGGCTCGAGGCGCAGCGCGCGCGCACGCGCCCCGCGAGCGACACGCACGACGGCGTGCCGTGGGAGAACCGCGTGATCAGTCTCAACATGGACAATGTCGCCTGGCTGCAGCGGCTCGGCGCGTACCCGTACGTGGAGCCGACGCGCATGCGGCGCGTCGAGCGCATCCGCGTGTGGGACGGCCTCACGGGCGCGGCGGCCGAGTTCGGCACGGACGGCCGCGCGCTCAGCGTCATGGTCGAGCTGGCGAACCTGCAGCAGGGGCTGTACCGCTTCCTCGCGGCGCGCGCGCCGCACAGCCGCGTCACGTACGAGATTGTGGACGAGGCGCGCGTCACGTCGATCGACGCGCCGGACCGCAGCGCGTGGCCGCGCGTCTCGCTGCGTGCCGGCGAGCAGGACACGGTCGTGACGACGCGCCTGCTCGTCGGCGCGGACGGCCACCGCTCGCCGGTGCGCGCGTTCGCGGGCATCGAGAGCTACGGGTGGCCGTACGGGTGCAAGGGCCTCGTCGCGACGCTGCGCACCGGGCACCACACGCGCAGCGCCGAGCCGATCGTCGACCAGCAGGCGTGGCAGCGGTTCCTGCCGACGGGCACGCTCGCCTGCCTGCCGCTCTCGCCGACGTCCGCGACGGTCGTGTGGGCGCTGCCGCCCGAGCTGTGCGACCGGCTCGTGGCAATGCACCGCGCGTCGCCCGTCCTAGACGGCACGTCGAGCGTGCTGGCCACGCTGCTCTCCGCGGGCTTCCGCCTGCCGTGGGCGGAGCTCGAGCCGCTGCTGCACGAGGCGCCCGCCGAGGACACGCACGCTTTCGAGCAGCGCGTGCTCGCCGCCGTCGCCGCGTACGAGCAGCGCGCCGGCGCGCACGCGCCGAGCGCCTACACGAGCGCCGTGCCGCCCTGGGCCGACGCCGTCGACGTGCGCAGCGTCGCGAGCTTCCCGCTGCAGCTGCAGCACGCCGCATGCTACCTGGGCAGCACGCTGAACCAGACGAGCGCGTGGCCGCGGCCCTCGGACGTGGTCCGCGGCGTGCTCACCGGCCTGGGCCTCACGCCCGGCGGCGCCGCGCGCGGCGCGGGGCAGGGCCGCACCGTGCTCGTCGGCGACGCGGCGCATGCGACGCACCCGCTCGCGGGGCAGGGCCTGAACCTCGGGCTGCAGGACGTGCGTGCGCTGCTGGCCACCCTCGAGGATGCGTGTGCGCACGGCATGGACATTGGCACACACAGCGCGCTACAGAGCTACGAGCGCGCGCGCTACCTGCCGAACCAGGCGATGCTCAGCGTCACGGACCACCTGCACTGGCTCTTCGCCACGCGGCCGTCGTCGCCGTACCATCCGAGCGCGCACGGCGCGCTCGCCGCCGCGGCGCGTGAGCAGGCGCTGCGTGCGCTGGTGTGGGCGCGCTCGACGGGCCTCGACGTGGTGAACGAGTTGGGGCCGCTCAAGCGGCTGTTCGAGGCGGGGGCCGGCTCCGCTCCGTAGACTAGGCAGGCGTGCCGACGCGGTACCACACGTCGCGGCAATCGACGGCGGCGGCGCGCACGGCGCGGCGCGGATCGTCGACGCCCTGGGCGGGCCGCCCGAGCGTCTGCACGACGGGGCGCTGGTGCGGGCGCAGCTCGTCGGCC